AAAGTCTTTAAGGCGAGCATCAGAGGTGGGAGTACGGACAGAAGATAGACGTAAGTCTTCAGCAGATCGTAAGGGCCTAGACGGGACATACTTGTGTATAAGGGAGGATAGATAGGTGAGAGAGGAGTTGGGGAGAAGAAGCAGAGCCAGAGAAAGAAACACTGAAAGAGCGCTGGGAGAGGTAGGAGGAGCACCAGGAGAGAGCAATATCTTGTAGACCGATATTGCAGAGGATGATAAGAAGCTGTTGATGATCAACAGTGTCAAAAGCCGCAGACAGGTCAAGGAGAATTAGGATAGAGTAGTGACCACGAGATTTTGCAGCGAGTAGATCATTGGATACTTTGGTCAGTGCCGTTTCCACAGAGTGCTTCGCATGGAAACCAGACTGAAGCGGGTCTAGCAGAGAGTTGGACTCGAGTAAGTCTGTCAATCTCGCATACACAATTTTTTCAAGGATCTGGGATGCAAAAGGCAGTAGCGAGATAGGACGATAGTTGGATGGGGAGTTATGGTCAAGATTGGGCTTCTTTAGAATTGGGGTACCTCCGTCAATCGCTGCTTCCTAGTACTGACGAGTACCATAAGCACTGCGCTGGAGGACCATATCCGCCGCAGCTTGGTTGGGGGCTCGCCATCTTCCACCCACTCTGGACCCAAGACCAGGATCCAGCTTCCAGTAGGTAGACCTCTTAGTCCAGAGAGCAGGAACAGCTCTTACAAGAGCTTAGTGATTACACTCAGGGGAGTATAGTGATTATAGCAATCTCCTGAGTGTATGCAGTTCTCCAATCCTCCAAACATGAGCCAAGACTTCATGAAGGGTAGAACAGGTCTGAAGCTTTATTGGTAGGTTGGCTTCATATAAAATTCCTCAGGCCAGAGTCACACCTCCTGGACCTGATGGAGCACTGCATTACAAACTGTACAGACCAATAAAAACAGTGTAACACTGACTGACACTCCCACATACATTAAACAATCCCTACCCTCTGCCTGTGACATAATTAAAGGAACACTATAGTCCTCTAAATTACTTTAGCTAAATAAAGCAGTTTTAGTGTATAGATCATTCCCCTGCAATTTCACTGCTCAATTCACTTTGTTTCTGTTTTTGCAGCCCTAGCCACACCTCCCCTGGCTATGATTGACAGAGCCTGCATGAAAAAAAAAACTGGTTTCCTTTTCAAACAGATGTAATTTACCTTAAATAATTGTATCTCAATCTCTAAATTGAACTTTAATCACATACAGGATGCTCTTGCAGGGTCTAGCAAGCTATTAACATAGCAGGGGATAAGAAAATCTTAATTAAACAGAACTTGCAATAAAGAAAGCCTAAATAGGGCTCTTTTTACAGGAAGTGTTTATGGAAGGCTGTGCAAGTCACATGCAGGGAGGTGTGACTAGGGTTCATAAACAAAGGAATTTAACTCCTAAATGGCAGAGGATTGAGCAGTGAGGCTGCAGGGGCATGTTCTATACACCAAAACTGTTTCATTAAGCTAAAGTTGTTCAGGTGACTATAGTGTCCCTTTAAGTTAATGCATAAACCTAATTATCCACAGAATTTATACAAAGTCTAGAAAACACCCCAAAACATAACATATCCCCATAAATCTTACATCCCCTGATAGGGTGAGCAACATATCAAAAGATCACCCAGATCAGAGCAGAGGTTCAGAAACTTTATGGAAGTCATATCTTTGCCCAGACGAACCCAGGATTTCATGCCCAAAACAGTTCCATAGATCCGCAGCTAAGTGCCGCTAGAGGACCGACCGAAAATAGTTCAAGGGCAATCGCAGCTAAGTCCCCCTGAAGTCTATTCGCGGTTTTAGTCCATGCGAACAAGATGGCTGCCACCACATGTTTGAATGTTGAATGGCGGCCACTTCGACTGTTTGGGAGTTCGAAGAACCAATGTTTAAAATGCCAATAGGCACAATTAGGGTCTCTAAGCCATAGCCACAGGGGAAAAGACTGGCCAGTAGTCCCCTCCAAGACCCAGTGGCGAAGTTGCTTTCATCACCGCCCCGATCTGGGTGACCAACATATCCAAAAATCACCCAAATCGGGTCAGGGGTTCGGGTTTTTCATGGAAGTTCTAATTTGGTCCAGTTTGGTAGTTTAAAAAATGAACAAATTACCGAACGTAGTCAATAGTCATACCATGGAGCTTGTTCCACTCATCCAGATGAACAATTCAACCGAACAGTGCCCTTCCAGGTGATGTAGAAACGAACACAGGCGAAGATTGAAGTCCGGTTGTGTTGGGAGTTTCAGTGTCTGAAAATAGTTCCATGAACTCGACAACCAAACACCGCTTCTTGCGTTCATGTGAACAAGATGGCCACCGCCTCGTGGTTGTTCATACAAACTGCGGCCACCCAGACGAACAATTAGAACACTGCAGTTAGAATCGTTAAGAGGTGATGATAGGGCTTAACAAGCTCCCGGGTGGTCCATAGTTCGTGCGTCTGTTCGGTTCCTGAACAGCATGGAGAAATGGCACGAACACAGTCTTTTAACAGGCTTTTTGCATGGCCCAAAGTCTTTGGGCAGGAGGCTAGCCAGTAGGCCCCTCGAGGAACACATGACAGTGAGGCATTTCTGACACAAGGTGTCCGATTTGTGATCTTGCCCCTTTTACCGCTGGAAAAGTAGAGGTAATAAGGCCTAAAGTGCTCATTGCCTTTCTTATGGAACTGTAATCTTTTCTTTGGAGCATAGAAATGTATTTCTTGATTCGTTTTTGTTTCTCTATTGGTAATGAAATGGACAGGGGTCCTGATTCCACTAAGTCATGGTGCTGATGATAGACCGAATGGTAATGCCTTGAATTGAAAGCGTAGCAGTTTCCTTTTCCTTGATTCTTGGTTTTTACTGCGAATCTGAGATATTTCCTTGAAATCTCAGCCATAGGTACATAGAGACAAGCATCTTTTAGGTCTATTTTTGCCATGTACTCCACGTTGCAGAATGTGGGTTACCGATAAAATATTCTCCATACGGAACCTTTAGTATTGTATACAGGAGTTGACTCTTTTGAGATCCAGAATAGGTTGAAAAGGTTTTTTTTTTTTTGTCTGGTTTTTGGACAAGAAAAGGGCGTGAGAACACGCTCTGGAACTTTTTGGCACCTTTTCTATAGCTACCTTTTTTAAAAGGGTAAGTGATTCTTTTAGAAGAGCTTCTGACTTTCTTTTTGAATGGTAAGATGATACCAGGCATTCTGAAGTTGGATTCTCCGAGAACTTTATTCTGTAACCCTCTGCTATTGTATTTAATATCCACCTGTTTAAAGTGGTGTCTTTCCATTTCTGAACAAAGAATCTTAGACAACCACCCACTCTTCTGGGTCAATATCTCATTTTCTTTTGAAGTTTGTTCGTATTCTCTCTCTTATTATCTCTGAACGGTTTCGGACCTCAGGTTTGAAACCTTCTATTGCTACTGCCTCCAGACATCCTATAATCTTGAAGAGCCTTTTTGCTGTCTGCCATCTGTTTTATAATCTCCTTCAGTAAAGAGCCAAACAACTTGTTCTTTTCAAAGGGCAGTTCACACAATGCCGCTTTTGATGTCGTGTCTGCTGTCCATGTTCTAAGACATAATGCCCTTCTTGCCACAGATGATAAGCCCATGATGCTGGCTGTCCCCTTTAGCATTTTCTTTTTTCTGTCAGCAGAAATTTGTTAGGCAACCGCATAAGATTGAACAAATTTGACAGGTCTTAATCCGTTTTATCCAAAACCATATCTTGTAAGGATAGCCACAGATTTTGAGCTTTCACTATTGATGCCCCGAAAATAGCCGCATTGCACTGGTAACCTGCAGCCTGATATGCCAGTCTAAACAAAGTTTCTGCACGCTTGTCAGTAGGTTTTTTTTTTAGGCCAGAACAGAGCAGAGGCCAGAACAGAGATCGGCCGGGGCACCAAATTCTTTGGAACTGTTTTGGGCCATCACCTCGTGGCCGGCCTGTCAAAACTTTACTGGTGGCAATCCAGTCTGAGTGATACTTGGCAAAGATGGACACTCAGACCTGAGCTATCCGGGGATGTAACTTTTGTGGGGTTCCTGGTAATATTGGGGGTACTTCTGGTTATTGTATATTTTGTGTATATTTTTCTCTAACTGAGAGATAATTACGTTATAATTTTCCCACTAAATTATCTCTCAGAAACTGAGGCTATTGGGAGGAAAAACCCTGTAATGTTGTGTCAGAGACCACATGCTAGAGGTCAGTGCATAAGTCGTGTGTGACTAAAATAAAGCCAGTTGATTCCCAGATCTCTGTCTCGTCTAGTTACTGGGGGAAGAATGCTTGAGTGTTTAATGGTTCCAGTCCGGCTCAGAGAAGGTACTAGCAGAGGTAACCAGTCGGGTTACCCGGGGTCCGTTACACATACGTTTTTCAGTTCCTCTGTCGGAAAATCTTCGAGACTAGAGACTTCTGATATGGAAGTGCTAGAGCATTCGTCTGAAGAAAGGTCTTTTTTTTTTCTACATATGTCTGGAAGAGGGACCACACACTCAATACAGCATAAATGTTTAGCTTTGCATGTAGCCTTTCTGGGCGCTGGAGCTGAAATTTTCTCCTTTTCTGGACATGCAAGACTGGACATATCTGTAATATGATTTAGAATATATTCATAAAATAGAGACTTTAGTAAATATCACCTCAGAAACCTCACACCTGTATGGGAGGGCTGGTGACACGGTGTACCAATAATGACAACCACCCATGGTGCCAGCAAGGCAAGGCACAGTATTTATAGGCCTAAAAATTTTGATTTTGCTCCAAATTTTGAAGTTCCGATCCGCAGTAGCGCAATCGGAACTTCAGTGGAACGCAAGCCAACCCGAGCATGCGTTCCACTGCTGTGCGCAGGCGCACGGCCCGTATCTAGATTGGTGGACCGCCGGGACCTCCTCCTTCCTTTGTCGTCATAAATACTCCCCTTCCACTTATGTTCCGTAACACAACATGGTAGGGCATCGCTCAGCTCACCTCTAAGGGAGCTTTCGGGTCTTATTCCCCAGAATCATCCTGTGAGCTTTACCAGATTTATTATGTAGCGTCGTGTCCGTCCCGATTGTAGGGACAAGAAGAACTGGGATGGTGTGGAGGAATGGCTATTTGTATGTAAGTAGATGGGAATTATGTAAATTGTTTTCTATTTTCAGAGCTTCTTGTCCACTTAATGGAGGTAACTACCCACTTACATAGTTGCATAGCTGAAAAGAGACTTGCATCCATCAAGTTCAGCTTTCCTCACATATGTTTTTGCTGGTGATCCAAAAGAAGGCAAAAAAATCCAGTCAGAAGCACTTCCAATTTTGCAACAAACTAGGAAAAAATTCCTTCTTGACCCCAAAATAGCAGTCAGATATCTCCTTGGATCAAGCAGCTATTTCCCCACTAATTAGACATTATATCCCTGTATGTTATGTTTTTGCAAGTATTTATCCAGTTGCTGTTTAAACATCTGTATGGACTCTGATAAAAAAAAAAAAAAAACCCTCTTCAGGCAGAGAATTACATATCCTTATCCTTATCTTACTGTAAAAAAAAAACCTTCTCTTTGCCTTAGATGAAATCTCCTTTCTTCCAGCCTAAATGTGTGACCTCGTGTCCTATGTATAGCCCTGTTTATGAATAGATTTCAAGATAATGGTTTGTACTGGCCCCGAATATATTTGTATAATGTTATCATATCCCCTCTGCGGCACCGTTTTTCCAAACTAAAAAGATTTAAATTTAACCTTTCTTCGTAACTAAGATGCTCCATTCCTTTTATCAATTTTGTAGCTCGTCTCTGCACTTTTTCTAGTGTCATTATATCCCTCTTTAGAACAGGTGCCCAAAATTGCACAGCATATTCAAGGTGTGGTCTTACCAGCAATTTATAAAGAGGCAAGATTTTATTTTCATCCCGAGAATTTATGCCCCTATTTATACATGACAAAACCTTACTGGCCTTAGCAACTGCAGATTGACATTGCATATTGTTGTCTATAACAATTCCCAAATCCTTCTTGTGTGTGGTTATCCCTAATTTACTACCATTTAGGGTGTAAATTGCTTGTGCATTATTGACCCCAAAGTGCATAACTTTGCATTTCTCTACATTAAATTTAATCTGCTATTTTAGTGCCCAGTCTCCCAGTCTATGTAAATTCTTCTGCAGCAAAGCAATATCCTGCTCACATTTTATTCCTCTGTACACTAAAACATGGATTTCAATGCTTTTTTTTTCAAGATCATTTATAAATATGTTAAATAGAAGTGGTCCCAAAACAGAACTCCGAGGGACACCACTTACCACTTTTGTCCAGCCTGAAAATTTACCATTAATGACATCTCATACTCTATCCTTAAGCCAATGTTCTACCCAAGAACAAGAATATTCATCTAGAACAATTTCTTTTAGTTTGAAGACTAACCTATTGTGAGGAACCGTATCAAATGCCTTGACAAAATCCAAGTAGATCATATCCACTGCAACACCTTGATCTATACTTCTACTTCTTCGTAGAATGCAATTAGGTTAGTTAGACATGACCTATGTTTCATAAAACCATGCTAATTATTACTAATAACAAAGTTTTTTTTTTTTCCCCAATGAATTCCTGAATATTATCCCTCAATAACCCTTCAAATATTTTCCCAGTCACAGAAGTTAAGCTCACAGGTCTATAATTTCCAGGCAAGGATTTTGAACCATTTTAAAATCTAGGAATGACATCTGCTTTCCTCCAGTCCTCCGGTACAATCCCTGACTTGTCTCAAGTCATCCAATCACAAGTTATCTGCAAGTTTTTTGCAGCAATCATTTGCATATCTCTTGCCATAGGATCCTCATTAATATATACTGAAGAAAAGGTTATTTAAAATGTCTGCCTTTTCCTGGTCTTCATTAACGAACACTCATCTGTTTCCATTGTACCTACACTTTCAATTTTGTTTTTCTTTTAGAATTGATGTACTTGAAAAAAAATTTGGGGTTGGTTTTGCATTCTTTGGCTATTTAATTTCTAATTTTCTAGTTTAGCCACACTAATTGCCTTTTTGCAGGTATTATTGGCTTCCCTATATCTTATATAGGATGCCTCTGATTTGTCCGATTTTTAAATGCCCTTTTCTTATTTTTAATCTCTTGTTTTACTTCTCTACTAAGCCACATTGTTTCAATTTGTTTCTTTTATATTTATTACCCAATGGTACATATTGAGAAATATACCTTTCTAATATTTGTTTGAATAGTTTCCATTTATCCTCAGTGTTTTTTTCACTAAGGAGTTTATGCCAGTCGATATGTTGTAGAGCTTCCCTAATCTTTTTGAAATTGACTTTTTAAAAATTATACGTTTTAGTATACCCCACATGCTTTTGCTTTTTTGAGTTTATTTTAAAAATTACCATATTGTGATCACTATTTCCCAAATGCTCCCCTACTTGAATGTTGGTCAAAAGATCAACATTGTTTGTAATAACGAGATCCATAAAAGCATCCTTTCTAGTTGGTGCTTGTACCAGTTGTGACATGAAGGTGTCATTTAACACACTCAAAAACCTGATTCCCCTTGCTGAAGTACTAGTCCCTCTATCCCAATTAATGTCCGGGTAATTAAAATCTCCAATAATTAATAAGCGTGTGTGGCGAAACCGGCCTTGCCACGTGTCCTTGGAGGGGGCTGCTTGCCCGCCTCTTGCCTTTGGACTATGGACCAGACTTTATGTGAATGTGTTAACCCAGATAGCTATGCCATGGAGCCCATTCGTGTAGTTAAAGACTTCGCTCCATGGCAATTGAACTGTGTGAATAGGATCTGAGCGCTATTCGGTAGTTTTGTGCGCTCAGATCCCAGCTATCTGGGGATATGTGACATGTCTGTGTTTTATGTATAAAATGTGACTTTGTGTATTTTATAATATTTTAATGCTTTGCGCTCACCATGTGCATCATGGAGTCTTGTGTCTGTCCTGGGAGATAATTGAATTACTTCTCAATTCAATATCCAGGATAGAAGACTCTGAAACTGGTTTGGGCCGGAAAGCCATGCTTCATTTAGTCACAAAGGACTTTCCCTTAACTTTTGAACCCCTGGTCTGATTCGTGCCATTTTTTAATATGTTGTTCCCCTGAATGGATTGATTATGAAAATGTATGTTTTATGTTTGTGACATGTATATTTTAGAAGTTATAAATATTGTGTAAAAACTGTATTCCTCTGCCGGTGATAATGAGATTACCCATTGTGTTCAGTAATCATATCACAGGCAGAGGGGAGGATTTTGTGTGGGAGTGTCTGGGTGTATTGTACGGATTGATTGGTTATTTTGTAACGCCCTGTGGGCTGCACTATGTTTGTGGATTGGGAATAAAAGAGGCTGTATGTGACAGTACAGGAAGTTCCTGTTTAACCCTCAAAGTGAAGTGTTGTCTCATTCTTGGGGGGAATTTGACTGTATGCCGATTGCCAGGAGTGTAAGCTGTTCGTAGGGCTTTTCCTGTTCGGCTGCTTCCAGGGTTCGTGTGTCTGCTGTTCGAGAGTTGGTGAATACGTGCAGTTTGGAGTTCGGGAGGTTGGTGATTGCAGTAGCTGCTGGTCTATCTGGAAGGGCATTATCGCCTAAACGGTTTTTATCCCCTTGTGAGCGAAGCGGTCCGTTACAACGTGTTACCCCGATTTGCAGCTTTCCCAATTTGCTCTAACCGCTACTGTTCTTCCTAATTAATATTTACAATAGGTGGTTTATAACATATCCCAACGAATAATTGATTTCCCTTTGTTTGCTCCAAGCAGATATCTACCCATAAAGCTTCCACATTTTCCTCGTCACACTCCACATGCCTAAGATTTGACTTTAGCTCATGGCTGACATACAAACATACCCCACCACCCTTCTTGTTTTTCCTATCCTTCCTAAATAACGTGTACCCATTTAAGTTAACTGCCCAGTCATGTGTCTCATCCCATCATGTTTCTGTTATGCCTATTGTATCATATTGTTTAGTGTATGCTATTGCCTCTAGTTCGCCAATTTTGTTATATAGGCTTCTTGCATTAGTAAGCATACATTTATTATTATGAGTCATTTTTATCAATATTACATACCTCCTCTGTTCTGAGCTTTCCCCCTCCTCCCCCCTTATACTGAGCTAAAGCCCATCTTCTTTTTATCCTATCTCCATTCCCCCCCCCCCACTAGATTAAAATTTCCTTTAACCTTCTAGCCATCCTATCCCCCAGCACAGCAGACCCTCTTCCGTTTAGGTGCAATCCATCACTGCTATACAGGTTGTACCCAAGCACAAAATCTGCCCAGTGCTCTAAAAACCCAAAACCCTCTTTCCTGCACCAAGACTTCAACAAAACATTTGTATGATCATTCTTTGTGTCCTGATGAAAGTTTCAAGCTAAGAACTGAAACGTTGACATGCGTGACAAATACTTTTGTTCTTAAATCCAGGAGTGCCGGCATTTCTCTATTTTTTATATATATATATATATATATATATATATATATATATATATATATATATATATATATATATATATATATATATATATATATATATATATATATATATATATGCACTCACTGGACTTTCAACCACCTTTTACTTTTATTCACCGTACAGTTATGTTACATCAAATTTTCAGTCTCTCTAAACATTCATCAGTATAACTTTTACAAGGGGAAAAAACCTATAAATAGCCATAGTGCAAAACATGTGCAAATAATTCCCACCAAATACCAAAGTAATCCCACAAGAGAAATCAAACCAATCTCCAATAGACCTCTCAGACAGAGTATTAGAAGAATTTAACATTTAATTCAAGGGCCCTATTTAACCTTGACCTGCAGAGAGTCCCTGGAGGAAGCATTTCCCAAGTAAGTGGATTAATCCAAGAGCGGACATTAGGTTGTTAGAGTAGGACCTGCCAAGAACGGGGTACATTGACATTGTGGCAGGCTTATGCAATGTATGACCATATACTGTAACTAAACCTCCATTATTTTATCCTAGGTGAGATGTTTTTGAATAAAACTATTAAATTCTGTGAGACTTGAAATTGCTGTGAGTGTTCTAGATTGTGTATTATAGATAAATATAGATTTATATATATTTTTTTTTTTTATGCTGTCTTGATCACGTCTCATTTGATCTATGAATAAAATCTACATTTAATGGCTGTCTCCTAACCAACAATTTTTGGGGGATTGAACTCCAAACCATGATTAAAGTGAACATGCTCTTCCATTGCTCGAGATGTTCAGTCAACGTGGCACTTAGAATTTACGGACTTCGGACCACCCTCCAAATGGGCCAAATTCGGATGCATTACAATTGCTGAACAATGGAAAATAGATCAATATGACATGTTTTGGATTTGAAAGATAAAAGATTGGATCGTAATATGTTATTAGGCTGCACATAGGCTGCCTGCATACTATCGCTTACCTTCCCTGGATATGCCTGTCGCTGATTGTTGTGCTACTGGCAGCTTGTATAATGGAAAGAAATATTCCAAATCGCATGCTATGAAGCCAGACCCTCACAATACACAGGCATCTAAATGGTATGTAATGAAAACTATGGCAGCAAGCCCTTCAGATTAGTACTTTTTAGACCATGTTGTCCAATCTCAAATAGCACAATGTCACACCATACAACTAAAAACCTATTGTACAATGTGACTCAATATTTAATTCTGATCCAAACGATTTACATACATGCCATCAGTCTCTAATGCTACTGCAGCTAGTTTGCTAGTAATAAATTTTAGGATTATTATACTATATATTAATAATTCTATTTTTTTTTTTTTTTTTTTAAGTCTTACAGGGTGTGTTTACCAAGTTGTTCAAACTACAGGATCAGAAAGAAAGAATGTGCTGAAATTAATACCAGTATCTAATTCATTGGGTAACTTCTTCCCATTAGTTCAGCCTGCTGTCATACAAAATGGATCCCCTGTGAATGGTAACCTGCCAGCTGGATTTACAGTGGCCACCCCGGTGCGGAACATCACTCTACCTTCACCTGTAAGATTACCCGTGGTACAGCAGCCTGGATTTGGAAATTATATTATCACAACTACAGGAAATCTTAAGGTGCCTCTGGAAACTGTCCAAGTGGACAATAAAGCCACTAACCTTCAGAATACAACTGTAATCCTTGAGAAATCCCACGTGAGCACTGTGTCTGGGCCTCAACTTGGAAATCAGACCTTTGTGATGATGAATCCCAAATCTCCACCATTTGCTATGCAATCATCACCAAAGTTGCCTTCGGGACATCATCTCCAGATACCTGCTAATGCTGAAGTTAAATCTGTTCCAGCATCGCTGTTGCCCTCTGCAATCCAGCAGAAGATACTTGCGGCTGCCAGCTCCAATGATGCTTCAAAGAATCCTTCAGTTATTTATGTTTCTCCAGTGAATACTGTAAGAACATTAGTTACCAATCCGTTGTCCCCCGTTTACCCCAAACAAGGGCAGTCGGGTATCTCTCCTGTGGCCATTGCTTCAACAAACATGCAAAATGTTGGTGGCAATCAGCAATCTGGGAGTACGGGGTCTCCCAAGGCACCAATGAAGTGGATTGTGCAAGAAAATAACAATTCTGCTGCTTGTCTCGTTCCAGTCAAGTCTTCCAATGACACTGCCTCTAAAATATTAAAGATTTTATCTGGAAAACATAGTGAAGAGACCAATATTGCCAATATATTGCCAACACACAACAATCCTGTGGCCTCAAACTCCAATGTCATCCATATCAAAGACAATGCTCTGGTTATGTACAATAATAAAATTTATCTTCTGGCTAAACGGGGATCTGATGTTTTCAATGCACAACCCCCTCAAGCCAACTCACCTGACAAATCTTCAGATTCTATGAAAGATATATCTAATAAAGTCGTTGAAGTTGTTCTTTCAAAAAATAAAGTGTCCAAACAAGACAGTAGTTCAACAGTGTCCCCCTGTTCCGATACCTCAGTGCCGCTGGATGTGAAAACACAGATGACTGATCTCCAGCATACCATTAAACAGGAACTAAATCCAAGGACTTTGCTGGGTGTTTCTTGTTTGGAGGATACCGTGCTGGCCCAAACATCCTTTACCATCTCAAAGGATAGCAAGGCTTGTCCACCAAAAGTAGAGGATACTGTCAATGTAAAACCAACCTCAAAAATAGCATCGCAACGAGCAGTAAATATTCAAAGTCAGAAGGTAAATGCTTCTTAGTAGTATAAAGTTTGTGAATTAAATATGTTTCCACTTTTCAACTAACTAAACAGAAAAAAAAATTAAAAGCTGGAGGAATACTTGTGGTGAATGGTAGGTTTTACTCAAGTAGTAAGTTAATGCTAACTCAAGAAGAAGGGATCGGATAAGAGTTTAATGCTCTGGGAATTTAGCTTACGCTTTATTGAAGCATGATCATGGATTGCTCTGTCACTCCATGCAGTTTGTACAATTAACTTGCCCATAAGCTAGTCTGTAGAGGTTGTTGTTGATGATTTAAAGGAAGTGTGCAGTTTCTGCATAGAATAAGCTGCCCTTGCTCAGCCACATAACTATCCATCAGACATGTAATCCAGTTTACGTCAGAAATACTGTTAAGTGGAAAGTAACCTAGAAATCTTCATAACTTGCAAATAAAACAATTATGACATTATGAAATAATGCTTTTGCGTTTTACTGTGAAAGTAAATAACAGAAAGTAAGCATCTGTTACCATAACCAAAATCCCACAACAAAGAAGCAAATATATAATTTACAGGCTTTTTATATGTGAAGTCCCAATGCAAATGTATAAGATAAAGACTAGACTATAAAACCAAGATACAATTAAAGAGATATACTTTATCAGACTGCACTCCAAACATCGCTATACCTCTGTAGATTCATCCAGTGGTCCAGTGCTGATTACATGGAAGAAGTCTACCTCTCTATCTCATGTCCTAGTAAGAGCTCTGTGAGTTGCAGTCCATAATGTGCATCTCTGTCATTAGGGGCTGAAGTCTCCAAAATAATTTATTACAAAGAGGTTAAAGAAATATCACACACAAAAAAAAATTTCATTAAGAGGGAACACATTTGTTATCTGCAGTTTCCCGATATTACTGATTTAGGAAAGTGTTTACATGTTTTGATTAGTGTAGCACAGTTTGCAACAAAAATTCTATATTTTCCTCTGTGTCATGTGCTTGGCACCACATACACTTTTGCTTTGCTTGTTTTATATAAAGTAATTTATAAATAATATTGTACTGTTAAGTGCACTGTATCTCACTTCTATCAACACAGTTCATTTTTAGGGGGTGTTTTTTGGGGGTGGGCAAGTTCTACATGTAAATTTGGTATTAGGATTAAAATTGCATTGATATGATTTTATCTCTATATAAAAATCTAACTTGTTGATATGACTCACACTTTCTTAGAAGCACTGCAGATTGTGTTAGACCTGTTTATTGGGGAGATACAGAAAACGTTTTGAACTTATCTATGTATTCATTGCATAGTCTGCAAAGTGTGTGTGTACACAATCTGCCTGTTCTCTATTTGTAATCTGTTTGGCCAATCTTTGTTTCAGATGCAGACCAATGTCTTCCCACCTGTGAAGAACAACCACTCTCTTCAATTGAACAGAGTCACCGATCAGAGTTTGAGGCTGAAATTTGGTTTAATCAAAAAAGAAAAGGTCTTCTTAAAAAGGCTACCTCTACTGCGGCCCAAAAAGTCATCTCAAGGCTCTGTCCTTTCAAACCAAAGTTGGAAAAACAATTACACTAAAAGCAATAATATTGTGACAGATAACAGTGGCACGACGAGCACAAATTCAGAGGTTGGCATTTAGCGCAAATCTGCAGAAACACATTTGATGTATTTGAAATCATCACTTCCCATGTTTCCTAATTTGGGCCTCAATTACATTCCTGTCGATACATTTTATCTGCTCCTAATAAGCCTTTTATATGTTCAGATTGATTTAAATCCCACCGGTGAAGGCTTATTGGAAGCTGATAAACATAGTTTCCAATATTGAGTCTCATAACCATGTTTAAAATATAAACTGTCTGGTTAGTTGGTTCAATTCCATTTATCGTGGACAAAATCCTTGCTAAATGACCTTAACAATTTTGACTTCAAAAAGCTGTCCATCAATGGCTCTTTAATAGAAATTAACAGTGGGTGGGGTGTATTTTAATTGTAATAATGCCCAAAGGCATTAGGGGGTGGGGGACTTTTAAATAAATAAGAAATGGAGGGATTGTACAAGAAAACACATGACTTTAAAAAAAGGCTTTCCATCAACATACTATACAATTCCAGTGAGAGTGCTCTGATAGATGAGTCTCACTTATGTCTAGACTTGTGTGGGAACTTTACCAATGGCATGTCCACCCCATCGTATATTTAATTATTGCCTACAACCACCACCTCTGGGTCGGGGGGAATTAGGTACTTCCCCATGTATATTCTTATTAGAGCCCCCACCTATCATCTTTGGGTGGGGTGATAATAGGTTCTTCCTTTATTTCAAATAGAGCCCCCACCCAATGTTCACAGGGTGGGAACGCAGGGGTACAATAGGTCCCCCCTTTATTTCAATTAGAGTCCTCACCCAGAGCCTGTTCTTTAATTTGAAGCTCCCATCCAATACTGACAGGACCCCCCGCTGTATGTTGTTTGTGACTGGGCAGCAATAGCCCAGTCACTAGTATTATGACAGTGAGTGGCTGCTCATTGTTTAGTGGACATACAAAACCTCAAGGCATGGAGAAAGTTTAACAACTCCATTGTACTTATATGGGAGTCATTTTGTTGTTGTTGTTTTTAATGACTAACAGGGTTCTAAGCACATTTATCAAATTATTTTGTTTGAGCAACCAACCCATTTATTGGGTTTGGAATCAATTCTGGCCAAAATTCAATAAACGTTTTGGCTGAAACAGGGTTTTGCAGATATAATGTAATTCGAGGCATTAATCAGATTCTTGTCAGTGATTCTTTAACTGGCATTTTAATAGATCTAGAACTGTTTTAACGGTAGGTGGAAGAACAAATTGATGCCTGTAACTGTGTAATCATCTTGTACGACTTCACAGAAAATAACTCTTAATTTATGAGCAGTCACTCCAGTGGACGCTATTGCGTTTTCCATTTTAAATGAGGGGCAGATGCATATTTTATAGTATCTGGCCAATAATAATTTGTTGTTTTTGTGGGGTAGGTTTTATATTTAAAAGACTGTTACATTTATAGTGGATATCTTTATATTCAATTGATCAGCAGAAATTCTAGTTGAGTACATTCTCTTACAGACTTGCCAGGGCATGTCAGATCCATATTATTTAATTTATTTTTATTTTTTTAAAAATTTTGAACTGTTGTGTCAGTTCGCCATTATACTCACTCTCATATTTACTTCATTTTCCCCCCTTCAATCCAAACGAGTCACCTCAATCTCTAACTTGTAATTGTCTCTATTCCAGCATCTAACTGCTGTGATTTTTCTCCGGTCTCTGGCCCATGGTTTATCTCAATCTTCCTCATTCGAGTTTACAGCACACTTAAAAATCAGCATAACCTCAGAATGTCTCTTTGAACACATGCTCTTTTTACAAGAGGCCTACAATATACATGACCTTTTCATTTGCACTCTCATGAGCCCTACCTCTGCCCATTCTGTGCTGTCTTATTTTTTTAGAGGCCTAAATTTCAGCCTAAGCTTGGAGATTTAAAATGAGATTGTGCCTTTTTTTTCTTCTCTCTCCCTTCTTCACCTTGTAACAAAAATTCTTCATACATTAATCATTTGTAATTGTTTAAACGTCTCTACTTCACTTTCTAGTTTCCTTAATAGATTAACTTTCCTAGACATTCATGATTACCTTACCCCACACATATTACATAGTTACATAGCTGAAAAGAGACTTGCATCCATCAAGTTCAGCCTTCCTCACATCTGTTTTTGCTGTTGATCCAAAAGAAGGCAAAAAACCCAGTCTGAAGCGCTTCCAATTGTGCAACAAACTAGGAAACAAATCCTTCTTGGCCCCAGAATGGCAGTCTGATTTATCCTTGGATCAAGCAGGCATTACCCCACTAATTAAAAATTATATCCCTGTATATTGTTTTTACAAGTATTTATCCAATTGCTGTTTAAACATCTTTATAGACTCTGATAAAAACCACCTCTTCAGGAAGAGAATTCAAAATCTTTATTGTTCTTGTTTAAAAAAAAAAAAAAAACATTTCCTTTACCATAGACAAAAATCTAATTTCTTCCAGTCTAAATGCATGACCTTGTATAGCCCTGTTTATGAATAGATTTCCAAAAAATGGTTTGTATTGGCCCCGAATATATTTGTATAATGCTCTCATTTCCCTTTTGAGGCACCATTTTTCAAACTAAATAGATTTAGTTTGTTAACCTCTCTTTATAACTAAAATGCTCAATTTCTTTTATCAATTTTTTTGTTACCAGTGATTTATAAAGAGGCAAAATTATATTTTCATCACAAGTTTTAATGCCCCTATTTATACATTACATTACTTTACTGGTCTTAGCCACTTCTCATTGACATTGCATATTGTTGCCTAGTTTGTGGTCTATAACAATTCCCAAATCCTTCTTATGTGTTATGCCTAATTCACTACCATTTAGGGTGTAAGTAGATTGTGCATTCTTTACTCTGAAGTGCATACATTTGCATTTTTCTACATTAAATTTCATCTGCCATTTTAGTGCCCAATCTCCCAATCTATCTAAATCTCTCTGCAGCAAAGCATTAGCCTGCTCACATTGTATTACTTTACAGAGATTTGTGTCATCTGCATACACTGAAACATGACTTTTAATGCCTATTTCAAGATCATTTATAAATATGTTAAATAGAAGTGGTCCTAAAACAGAGCCCTGAAGGACACCACTTACCACTTTTGTCCATCTTGAAAATTTTCTATTAATGACAACTCGTTGTACTCTATCTTTAAGCCAATGTTCTACACAAGAATTTTCATCTAGACCAATTTCTTTGAGTTTGAACATTAACTTATTGTGAGGAACCGTATCAAATGCCTTGGCAAAATCCAAGCAGATCACATCCACTACAACACCCTGATCTATACTTCTACTTCTTCGTAGAATGCAATTAGCTTAGTTTGACATGGCCTTTTTCATAAAACCATCCTGATTATTACTAATAACATTGCTTCTCCCAATGAATTCCTAAATATTATCCCTTAATAACACTTTAAATATTTTCCCATCCACCAAAGTTAAGCTCACAGATCTATAATTTCCAAATATTTTCACCCTTTTTGAATATAGGAACCATCTGCCTTCCTCCAATCCTCCAGTAAAATTTCGAAATGAAAATAATCTTGAAAAATTAAATACAGAGGTTCACACTTAGCCCCTTATAGGACCACTATAGTCACCCAGACCACTTCAACTAAATGAGGGTGGGGGAACATAAAAACCCTATAGTACCAGGAAAACGAGTTGGCAGTATAGTGGTTCTTTAAGTACTCATGGGTGAATACCGTCAGACCCCGGCTTTTTGTTTACATTAACTTTCTTGTTTCTAGACCAAGTTTTGTCATGCCTAGGGCAGCACAAAACTACAATGCACCACTGCTGACAGACATACACACACTGAGAGAGGCATACACACTCACAAATTATCACTTGCTTTAATTCAGTTTTGTTCAACCCAGCCTCCCTACCTTTGGGAGAACTGGAGAGGATGGGCTTTCCTTTGGGTGGGGGACATTGCCAGCATCAGTAAGGGGCGAGGGAGCAGAGCAAGAAGATCACAGCACTCTCACTGTCTGCAAACAATGTGTGCAGCCGGCAGCCTTGGAAGAAACTGGCCCACAATTCCCAGGTGCCAGGACAAATTTCAAAGTCACTATGGTGACCTGGTGCCTGGGATTTGCTGAGCCCTGGTGTTGTGTCCTTAAAGGACTACTATAGGCACCCAGACCACTTCAGCTTAATGAGGTGGTCTGGGTGCCTGGTCCAGCTAGGGTTAACCCTTTTTTTTATATCCAGCCTCTAGTGGCTGTCTCATTGACAGCCGCTAGAGGGCTTCCGTGCTTCTCACTGTGGTTTTCACAGTGAGAAGACGCCAGCGTCCATAGGAAAGCATTGTGAATGCTTTCCTATGGACTGGCTAAATGCGTGCGCGGCTTGTGCCGCGCATGCGCATTCAGCCAAAGAGGAGGAGAGCTCCCCGCCCGGCGCTGGAGAAAGAGGTAAGTTTAACCCCTTCCTCTCCATCCAGCCCGGCGGGAGGGGGACCCTGAGGGTGGGGGCACCCTCAGGGCACTATAGTGCCAGGAAAACTAGTATGTTTTCCTGGCACTGTAGTGGTCCTTTAACCCCTTCAGACCGGAGGGCGTACAATTACGCCCTATTTTAGGCGGCTCTAAACGCCGCCGGGCGTAATTGTACGCCCTCCAGTTTTTGTTTACTTACCCGGTCCCGGCGGTCCCACGCTAGCGATCGGGGTGGGGGGGACTCCCAGGGAGCCCCCCCACGGTAGATCCTCCTCCTCCGGTGCCCCCCGGCCATGTGAGAGTGGGGTCCTTGCGAGGACCCCACAATCACATGGCCGGGTAGGCTGCCTCCTGCATTGCCAGCAGGGGGGCTGCCTGTAATGACAGGTGGTCCCCCTGCTGGCTAAAAATAAAATGTATTAGTGTAAAAAAAATATATATATACTTAGATCATATATATATATATATATATATATATGATCTAAGTATATATATATATATATATATACATACACACACATACACTGTCTAGGTGTATTTTACTATATATATATATATATATATATATATATATATATATATTAATATCAAATTACACATAGACTGATACTGATTAAATATATATATAATTATTGTTATATATATAAATATATATAATAAATATGTAAATACGTTAAAAAATTAAATTAAAAAAATATAAAGATGTGTGTTATTTCGTTCTAACTGTATTGTGATATTAATATATATATATATATTTATATCAAAATACACGTAGAACGAAATAATATATATATCTACATACATAAATATATATGTATGTATATATATATATAGATACCTATATATAAATAAAAATATTTTTAAAAAATTATATAGATATACACATATAGATTCACATACGTGTATATATATACATATATTAATTCTACATATATATTTATGTAATATTTTTACATAATTAGGTATCTTAATTAATTACAATTAGCGGGACCTGCCTGACAACCCATGCCAAAAGTAAAGGGAATTTAATTTGCTAGCACTATATTTAACCCTATAACTTTCCAAGACACCATAAAACCTGTACATGGGGGGGTACTGTTCTACTCGGGAGACTTCGCTGAACACAAATATTAGTGTTTCAAAACAGCAAAATGTATTACAACGATGATATCGCCAGTAAAAGTGACGTTTTTGCATTTTTCATGCACAAACAGCACTTACACGGACGATATTATTGCTGTGATACTTTTTACTATTTTGAAACACAAATATTTGTGTTCAGCGAAGTCTCCCGAGTACAACAGTACCCCTCATGTACAGGTTTTATGGTGTTTTCAAAAGTTACAGCATCATATATAAGGCTTGCGTTTCATTTTTTTCACATTAAAATTCGCCAGATTGGTTACGGTGCCTTTGAGACCCTATGGTAGCCCGAGAATGAAAATTACCCCTATGATGGCATACCATTACGCCTATGATGGCAAAATTGGCGTCTTTTTGCATTTTTCACACAAACAAATACTAACGCTAACTTTGGCCAGTGTTTGTGACCAAATGGCTACTAAAAAAGACTGGACATACCCCATTTGCAATACCTTGGGTTGTCTGCTATTGCAAATGGTATGCCATCATAGGGGTAATTTTCATTCTCGGGCTACCATAGGGTCTTAAAGGCAACGTAACCAATCTGGCGAATTTCAATTTCAAATGTAACGTGCTATATTTGACCCTGTAACTTCCCAAAATGCCATAAAACCTGTACATAGGGGGTACTGTTTTACACGTGAGACTTTGCTGAACACAAATATGTGTATTTTATTGCAGTAAAAGGAAACAGTATTATGACACTGACCTTTTAAAATGTCATGTAGAACTAAAAAATTTTTAAAAATTCTTATTTTCTCCCATTTGTTTCATATTAAATTATGTTTCATAGCTAAATATTTGATATTAAATGAAAGCCCTGTTTCCCCTGAATAAAATGATATATAATAAGGGTGGGTGTATTTAATATGAAAGAGGTGAATTACGGTTGGACAGACATGTAGCGCAAATGCCAGGTTTTGTTTAAATTTTGTTTTGTTCACAACGTGCACATTTGGCTCAGTCCTTAAGGGGTTAATGATTGGATTTGTTATTTTTAAACGCAAATTGGTATGGAGAGCAATCTCTAAGAGCATGTGAGACTGCTCTGAAATGCCAAGCAAGTCCCATCAGTCTCCCTTGTTTGGTATTTATCAGCTGACTGTTCCTACACCACCTTAACACATTGCACAGTTTATTATTTCCCTGTGCAGGGATTAGCTTTCCCTCACTTCTATCGGACTGATTAGGCTACGTAAAAATCAGTTTGTCTCATTAAGGAACATTTGTACTGTTGTTTTAGTGCTACATTTTCTAAATCGATGGTACTATATTAATGTTAATAAGCTTCAAATATGCTGCAGCTGGCCCTACTAGCCGAATATAATAAAAACAAAAAACCTATTATATAACTTCTATTGTTTTGTAGTGCATAGTTGACCTGTAAATACATCAATTTTCAATGCAACTCTTGGCTTACCTTTGCTGCATTGGAACAGCCAGCTTTGTGTCCTCTTACACAACTAAAGCACTAGCTCTCTGTCACCTGAATGTTGGTGTTAACAAATACTGACCCTATGTGCAGCCTATACTATGGCTTCAGCAATTCAGCATGCTCATTGGGAGCTGTTTCACACCATAGTGGACTTTAAGGTAGCAGCTCATGAGTAAGGCAGGAGATGCAATGGAAATAAATATTTCTTTATATGTTTCCATTACAAAACATACACAACAGGTATAATACATACTTTTCATCATTTATAAAAATGACAATTGTCCTTTATTTTCTTACATGAATAATTAAGCCAGGTTGATTTCTAAATATTGGTCTTTCTTTACTTTAGCTAATGTCATCCACCTTTAGCCTTCCTTTAAAATGCACACACCCAGAGAGCAGATTTACAAAGGGTGCAATATTTGTGTAACGTATTTGTTTAATTTTTGTTTACAGGATCAGGCTGAAATGCTTCACAACAAAAGAAAATCATCACCAGACACTCAGATAAATGCCAAAAGAATTGCCTTGGATAGCCTTGATTTAGTGGAGGACTCAGACGCTGGAAGTGATTTATTTTTTCTTGGAAAAACAAAAGTGTTGCAAGAAAATTCTACTGCTGAAGAAAGTACATCTTCCATGTCCCCATTTTACCCATTAGAACCCATTCTCCCTTTCTCCCCACTGAGTAGCAGTATTTCAGGAATGACAAGTTCCACACCTACAATCATTCACCAGGCTTACTCAACTCCATCTAAAGTGGCGTCTTCAACCAGCGGCAGACTGTGTATTTCTGCTGCAGATCTGGATGACACTATAAGAGATGAGAAAATCTGGAGGCTGAAGGAACTTCTGAAAGAACGCGAAGAGGCATTAGAAGCCATACGGCGACAGAGAAACACCTGAGCTCTGCTTCATTTCCACTTCCACTGATATTATATTAAAGAGGGTGTATGGAAATCAGAGTGACTCACGGCAGTCGTTATTAAAGTGCACAATGCAGAAAGGAGAATTTCTAAACACTTTCAAAGTGCTAATGGCTGGGTAGCTTTGGTATATAATTTTATTATTTTCATATAGTATTTGTAGAAAGTTATAGGCTGAAGCAAATAGCCTTTTTGTATTTTTTTTGTAAAGGGAATAATCTGTATAGTTGTATGTGTGTAAATATGTATTATTAGACCAAAGTAAACCATGATTCTTGTCACCCTAATATTATTGATGATGAGAATGTTCAGTGCAGCAATTATACTAGTAATACAGCAATTTGTGTAATCAAGGCCCACCAGTAAGATATCCCTTGATAACATGAATGTGTGTTACTGGGTAATGGGATATGTTTTTTCATTTTCTTACCTGCTACGCATTGAACATAAGAATCCTCACAGTCCATTTTAATATGTGCCATTGTATTACTATTCTGCTAAACATGTATTGTAATGCTTTGTGTGAATGGTTACTGCATGTTTAACTTCACCAGTGCTGATGCTCTCGTATGTGCATCTTATAGATAATTACTTTGTAACCTAACTGCTTAAAACCCAACAAAGTAAAAGGAATTTTACTTCTAGCAGAATTTCAGAAAAAAATTGCATCTTTTTCTTTTCTTTTTTTTTTTATATTAGGCACGTGCTTCACAACTCGAGGTATTAAACAGCGATATGTTTTCATATGTCTTTTCTGAAAGTGTAGATTTGAACCAATAATTCTAAATGGTAATGGTGTGAAAGATCCCAACCCCCCCTCCCCCCCAATTCCAGAGATGAATTTCCTATTAGTCAATGTATGTGATATACTGTACATAGAGCATTCAGGACAGCGCTGTGTACTGCCTTTCAGACAGCTTTTAAATGATCAACTTCAAGTTAATTTGGTTTTAAAGTGTAATTCATGAATAGAGGTGTGGAATATTCACTTGGATTATTGTAGATTCAGGAAGTGGTGTGGAATTTCATTCTCAGAAAAAAACAAGTATTTGTCCAAAACAGCTCTAATTCACCATATAACATGTTAGTTGATTTCCTTTTAAATGTGTTACATGAGACGTTTTGTTTTCCTGCTCTGTAAGGTTTCCTTTTATTTTTATATAGTGGGCGACAGCCTTTGGGTTTATGTGTAACCTATAATATAAATGTTTGCACGTGACCCTTATTTTCTCACACCTTTTTATTTTTTAGGTTTAAGATTTAAAGTACGCTTTCATCAACAATTTAAAAAAAAAAATTAAAAAAGGTGACTGCTCTAAATGTAGCAGCAAGCATTGTAATCATGCCTATTTTTACTTATTTTTTTTCCCCCGGTGTGTAATCCTTTGTGTTATTTTGGTAAACACATGATAATTTACATGAAAAAGCAATAAAAAAAGAAAAAAGAAAAGCCAGTGTGTGAACCTGATGAAAAATAAATTCCACATTAATTTCCCATTTCTAAAGTCAGCAAGGTAATAGAAGTCTGAACACTAGGAAACAACTATATTTAGAGAAAATGTTACAAAAACCATTTGCTCTCTCTATAACTTCTACAACTCTGCTAATGAGTGTAGAAGGCTGAATGAAATACTCGTGGCACTTATCCCCCATTTCCAAACCATCTAAGCCCCAAAAATTCAGATTATCAATGCTGTAAATAGGCGCCCCTACAGGACAGTTGCCTATTCTGCCTAATAAGAAATTAAGCCATAATTACACATAATACCTGCAGCACCACCTGCGATGGGAATGGGTTAAATGAATCCTTGAATGATGAGCTAGTGCTGTCGATATTCACACGCAGATAATGACACAATTTCAGAGAACTTACCTGGTGCCATTCAACATCCAGAGCATCAGCCTTCCATGGTGTTTCAGAGAAAGGTCCAGGCAGTGAGTGGGTCTAGATCAGTAGCAGCCTTCGCATATTCACTGCTAAGAGGAAGTCACTGGCTTAAAGGAACACTTAACAAACGTGTTCCTGACCCTATAGTCAGAATCACAGAAGTGATGATATCAGACAATCACAATTTTATCACATGACAGGAGGCTTCGTATTTTGCATAATCTTTCTTTACTAACTCCATAGCAGCAAAGAAAAGAGTGACATAACTGAGAACCAATCACAATGCAGTATAGAGTATGAGGTGTAACGTATGACATCATTTCCTCTTTCTTTGCTGCTCCATCACAAGATAAGTACAACAGATATATACAAACTAACAGGGCGCCATATATATTGTATATATCTGTTGTTTCTTATTGGATTTGGCGTATCCAATTTACAGAGGCTTGCCTGCACTTGGTTTATAATCAGTTTTTATTGTTTATTTCACCCACCTTCTCATCCTTTGTTGACAAGATAAGTACAGACTTGGTTTTTCCTCTCTGTCCTTACACTATTTGTCACCTGTTTCTAAGAACTATTATCTACTATCTTACTATTATTGTTACCTTTGGGGGCTTCCCCCCTCCACCCCTCTGGCTCTGGGACCTTTTCTACTGCTTTTACTAGCCTAACCCTTTACAGGGGGTCTTAACGGCATTCTCGCTGTCTTCACCTATACTTCCCAGTGTCAGATCAATTCGCGGGTTTCTTTCCCGCCTTAATTGTCATTCGCACGTCATTTTCGCGAATGGCACTTTCTGTTTGCCCATTCGCATAGACTTGTTCCCTTTGACAAACGCCTAACGTCTGGCAAAATTCCCGCGAACGCCTTGCATTCGGCTGATTCGAACGCACGAACGCCCGCCGTTCGGGTAATTTTTGCCACCCTAACATCTTGGGGAGGTACTAAACCTCCCATTTCTTACTGCTTTCAGTCCGGTGGCCATTTTAAACGGCTACTACTATCCTGCTTGCTACTCCAGTCTATTATTACTGCCAGATACTCTGGAATACACTCCTGAACTCTGCATCCTTATCAGCTCACTGTGGGACCAGTATCAGGTTAGTGCTTTGCACTTGGGGTCGGTTTCAGCCAGTCGGAATACCCTTATTCTGGCAGGGGTGAGCCCCCTTTCATGTGCTGCTGAACGGACCTGTCTATGCAGGATTCCAAATTCCTGGGTGAGCCCCAGTGACAGCCCTTGCTTCCCAGTCACATAACTCTTTCAGGTTAACCATTACCTATTTTATACCACCCCCTGGTCCCCACCCTCCCCATTTTGTGCCACAAGTGCTCTCACGCATATTCACCGGGTGAGCCCCGTGTGTGATTAACAACATGGAAGAATCCCAAAATCCCTCAGATCTCCAGGCCATGATTGCAGCAGCAGTAGCTGCGTCCATGGAAAAGGCTTTGGCTAAGTCGTTCCAATTGGAACAAGACGCATCTAAGCCCATTCCCAAACGGGCTCATTATGTGGCGGATTCTGAAGACTCCGATTCCTCAAGGGAACGCTCCCACCCTCCTAAGCGCCATTGGAAAGGCGAGGCTATGGGACCACGTAAATCCAAAGGAAAGGCCTCTGCTAAATGCAGACGAGACACAAGCAGATCGGCCCAAAAACCCGCTCAGGCTTCCTCTGGGGAAGAGGACGCAGGTCCATCACATGCTCTAGCCGTGGTTGATGAATGGCAGGCGGCTGCCTCCGACCGGGAGGAATCAGACTACTCCGCTGCCAAGTCTGACCCTTACCTTATAGGGGAACAGACCCTGTGTGAACCCCAGGACTCTGGGGCCACAAACCTAGACACCCCACAAGAGGGTTCAGAAATATTTTTGGACAACTCTGGCCTCCGCATGTTCGATCCTAGGAACATCCGCCATCCCCGTTCGGAAGAATGGACGCCACCCGAACACTTGACCAGATTCATGCACTTCTGGCTCCGGAAGTCTCTGGACAAAGAAGTGAGAAAGCGTATGAGATCTGAATGTCCTCGCCCGAGCCTACCAGATAAGGTAGCACACACCCCCGAATTCGACCCGCTTATGACCACATTCATGTCCCGCGGGGGTCTGGACCCACGCAAGGGCGTGGAAGGTGGCTTCAAGGGAGCTCAGGACAAACTACTAGACGCCATCGGGCCTTTGGCGAGGATCATGGATATGGCAGATGATGCCTATGAAAGGGCTGATGACTTCTCCCCAGATATGGTGCGTGAGTGGGCACGGGATACCTTGAGAGTGGGCACAAAGGTGCTTCTGTTTCCTTGGGAACACTAATGTGGCTCTCTCTTCGGAGAGGCACCGAACAGCACTTTTCAGAATCGATGACAAGCTTGTCGAACTGGGGGATAAAGAATTGGGCCCCTTGGCACAGGGCAAATTGTTTGGCGAGGCCTTCCTTACTGAGCTTAATAAGAGGGTCAACATCCCTCAATAAGGCACAAACGTCAATGCGGAAAGTATTCCGCGGCCACAACAACCGTGGTGTTTTTGGGAGGGCTGGTTGGCAGAGGGTGCCACCACCCGCTTCTGGCCATCCGGCCCCCGCACAACCAGGTCACAACCATTCTACACAGATCCATCTGCCCGCCATCGATTCCATCAGTTCAGGGGATCGGACCGTGGCCGTGGCGGCCGAGGACGCTCCAGAGCGAGATTCTCCAACGGTAAGTTACCATTCTATACTACCTCTAACCCCTTGCCATATTGTTAAAAGGCTCCCATTGGCCCCTGTCATGCCACACTCCCCATACACTTACCTTTTGGGGGTGTGGATATGACAGGAGCCAATCACATTAGTTTAGAAGCTATTTAAACTTACCTCTCCCTTTACTCCCTGCCCTATCGTGGTTTCTGTTTCAGTTCCTTTTAGCGCTTGTTGTGTTCAGTTGTGTTTTCTCCGTATTGCCCTTGGCTTTGTTTCTGACTACGTTTTCTCTTTATCCTTATCTGTTCTGTTTGCCGGCTTGCTGTTAACTGTGTACCAGACCCCGGCTAGTCCTAGTTTACGCTGTCTCTCTGTGCCCTTGACTTCGGATCGTTCCTGACTCTGTCTCCTCTCATATACGTCGAGTCCGGCCATTCTAAGGTCCGGTAGATGTATCTCTCCTCTGTGTTGTCTTCTGTTTAGCTGAATCCTGCGTGTTGGGGTATATTCTCGTTACATTACGATAGGGCCATGGACCCCGCAGATTTGGCTCAGCAAATGGCTTCTTATGAGGCAAGGTTTGTAGAGCAGGATCACCGTATGGATCAGATAGCACAGGCTCTCCAGACGCTCTTGTCTAGAACTATTCCTGCAACCGCACCTAACCCTCCTACACCTCTTCTTCCCAAAGTATCCAATTCACCTAATGCTTCGCCCCATTTAACACCCCCTCCTAAGCTAAGACATGCAGAGGTTTTATTAATCAAATAGAATTCCACCTTGAGATGTATCCACGTTCCTTTCCCACTGATAGGTCTAAAGTGGGATTTTTGATGCATTAACTTACTGACAAAGCACTTGAGTGGGCAAATCCTATTTGGGAGGCCAATGGACCTATGGTGCATAATTTCAATAGCTTTCTTACGGCTTTTCGTAGAACTTTTGACACAACAAAAAGGTCAAAGAATGCCGCAAGAGCATTAATGAGAAATAAACAGGGTTTTAGGTCTGTGGCTGATTATGCTATTCAGTTTCGTACCCTTGCATCACAGGTAGATTGGACCAATAATGGGTTAACTACTGCGTTCATGGAAGGTTTATCTGACACTATATTAGATGAGGTAGCGGCAAGGGAGCTTCCTATTCCATTAGAGGACCTTATTGACTACCTCATTGATATAGATAATAGGATTCATGACAGGCTCTATACTAAGAACAGGAATAGACGTTTGGTCACACCTACTAACCCCAGAGTTGATAAACCTGAGAGTGTTAAAGTATCCGGATACTGAAAAATTACTTAGAAGAAGGGTCGGACTCTGCCTATACTGTGGTAGGCGAGACCATATGGTAAAAGAATGTCCTTTGCTTCCGGAAAACTCTCGCACCTAAGACCTTATAGGGGACTGGCCATGGGTGTGATATTTAAGTCTCCTAAATTGCTTCCTAGCCGTTTGCTTCTCCCTGTTTCCCTTCATACGGGAGAGAGTTGTATAGCTGAAAGCATACTAGCCTTGGTTGATTCCGGGGCTGCTGAGAACTTCATTGACTCTGGGTTTGTTACGAAAAACAACATTCCCATCAGAGAGAGGGAGATACCCTTGGCCATTGAGGCCATAGATGGTAGACCTTTAAGTACTCCAGTCGTTACCCATGAAACTGTACCATTATTCATGTACACAGGGGTTTTACACTTTGAAACCATTCGGTTTCAGGTTATCACATCTCCCTCTTCTCATATCGTGTTAGGGTACCCATGGTTATGTTCTCACAATCCCATTTTCGACTGGGAATTGGGACAATTAAAATCATGGGGCAAAACCTGCCACGACTCTTGTATGATTAAAGTCACCCCTTTAAATACCATTAATGTTCCTACTACTCCTCCTTTGTCTACTGTTATACCTCCTCAGTACTTGTTTCTCAAAACTGTATTCAATAAAAGGGAAGCTGATAAGTTACCGCCTCACAGACCCTATGATTGTGCTATCGATTTATTGCCTGGCACTATACCTCCAAAGGGCAGGGTGTACCCTTTATCTATTCAAGAAAACCGTATCATGGAGGAGTATGTTAAAGAACCGCTAGAAAAGGGGTTCATTAGGAGATCCTCTTCTCGGGCTGGAGCAGGGTTTTTCTTCGTATCTAAGAAAGAGGGTGATTTAAGACCGTGCATCGATTATAGAGGTCTAAACAAAATCACTATTAAAAATGCATACCCTATACCTTTAATTACAGAATTATTTGACAGGCTGAAATATGCTACTGTGTTCACCAAATTGGACCTTAGAGGTGCATACAATTTAATACGTATAAAGGAAAGGTCACGAATGGAAGACTGCATTCAACACTAGATCCGGTCATTACGAGTATACTGTTATGCCATTTGGTCTTTGCAATGCCCCAGCAGTATTTCAGGAATTTATCAATGACGTCCTAAGAGACTTTATTCATACATTTGTAATTGTATACTTAGACGATATACTGATATATTCTACAGATTTACACACCCATCACAGACATGTCACAACGGTCCTGAAGACCCTTCTTGCTAATGGTCTTTATTGTAAACTAGAAAAATGTTTATTTAACAAATTCGAAGTCCAGTTCTTGGGGTATTTGATTTCCGCCAAAGGGTTTCGTATGGATCCCCAGAAGCTTTCTGCTGTCATAGAGTGGCCCCTACCACAGGGTTTGAAAGCAATTCAACGTTTTCTTGGTTTTTCTAACTATTATAGACGCTTTATTAAGGGTTTTTCTTCTATTGTAGCGCCTATCACCCGTATGACAAAAAAGGGTGGTAATACTCGTGTCTGGTCTCCCGAGGCACTTCAGGCTTTCGACTTTCTTAAAACTTCGCCTCTGCACCTATTTTACAGCACCCTATTCCCTCACTGCCTTATATTCTTGAAGTTGATGCTTCTGATATCGGGGTAGGTGCTCTTTTGTCCCAAAGAGAATCGCCTGAAAAGCCATTGCATCCTTGTGGCTTCTTTTCTAGACAAATGTCCAAAGCTGAAAGGAATTATGATGTGGGTAATCGTGAACTCAGGATCCTATCCTCATTTTTACGGATCACAAGAATCTATCCTACCTTGGTGAAGCTAAAAGATTATCTTCTAGGCAGGCTAGGTGGTCACTATTTTTGTCCCGTTTCAATTATATTATCACCTATAGGCCAGGTGATCGCAACATTAAAGCAGACGCTCTGTCCAGATAGTTCGAAACTACTGACAAACAGGAGGTTGATGTTACTCCTGTCATTCCCCCAGACAGGATAATAGCTACTACTATGTTGTCTATTTCTTCATCCCTCTTGCAAACCATACAGGCGAAACAAGGTATGGCACCTAGCGAGAGGCCTATTGATAAATTGTTTGTTGATGTTCCCGAGAGACGGGAGATTCTGTCATTATATCATGATACTAAGACTGCTGGACATCCTGGTATTACCAAAACGATGTCAGCAGTTTCTCGATATTTTTGGTGGGGTTCCTTACGCAAGGATGTCACTGACTATATAAGTGCTTGTACTACTTGTGCATGTATGAAAACGTCTCATAGAGTTCCTTGTGGGCTTCTGCATCCCTTACCCGTTCCCGAGAGACCTTGGTCTAACCTATCCATGGATTTTATTGTTGAATTACCCCCTTCGAATGGTAACACAGTCATCCTGATGATAGTAGATCGGTTTTCCAAAATGGCTCACTTTGTGTCTCTTCGCAAGTTGCCCACATCCAAGGAACTGGCTCTTATCTTCGCTAGAGAAGTATTTCGGTTACATGGTATTCCCGTATCTATTGTGTCCGATAGGGGTAGCCAATTTATTTCCAGATTCTGGAAAGCCTTTTGTTCAGAAATGGGTATTTCTCTCTCATTTTCTTCCGCTTACCATCCCCAGTCTAATGGAGCTGCTGAACGTGCCAACCAGTCTCTGGAGCAGTACCTTCGTTGTTTTGTGTCTCACCATCAGGACAATTGGTCTGACCTGCTTCCTTGGGCTGAGTTTGCTCAGAATAACGCCACTCATGATTCTTCCGGCAAAATCCCTTTTTACATTGTCTATGGCCAGCATCCCGTTTTTCTTCCGGCTGCATTCTCCTCACAGGGCATGCCAGTTCTGGATGAGCATTTGGCTGGTTTGCGTAATACTTGGGAGCAGGTTCAGCGTTCTTTGGTGGATTCCGCTGCTCGCCAGAAGGCTCAGGCTGACAAGCATCGCAGAGCGGCTCCTTCTTATGTTGTGGGGGACAGGGTTTTGCTTTCCACGCAGAATATTCGCCTACGGGTGCCTTCTATGAAATTGGCTCCCCGCTTCATAGGTCCTTATCGTATTCTGCATAAGGTTAATCCTGTTTCATATGCCCTGGGTCTTCCTAGGAATCTGCGTATTCCTAATGTCTTTCACACCTCGTTGTTGAAGCCTTACGTCCTCCTCCCCCTCCTGTCTCCGTGGAGGGTCATGAGGAATTCGAAGTTTCTGCTGTTCTTGACTCTCGTTACCTTAGGGGTCGACTTCAGTACTTGGAAGGGTTATGAGGAAGATAAATAAAATAAAGGGTTATGAGGAAGATAAATAAAATAAAGTAGTATATCACTTTAAAATTATTTAATAATAGCAAGTAATAGCTGTATAAAAAACAAAAGGGCTATAAGAAATAACACTTTACGCGTTTCGCCAGTTCGGCTTCATCTGATGAAGCCGAACTGGTGAAACGCGTAAAGTGTTATTTCTTATAGCCCTTTTGTTTTTTATACAGCTATTACTTGCTATTATTAAATAATTTTAAAGTGATATACTACTTTATTTTATTTATCTTCCTCATCACTTCCTGGTACTATATATCCTTCAGTGGGGATTATACCACTGTAAGCCTTATACACTAGAGCAAGTTGTCTGCTCTGACAAATGTGAGTACAACAACTTTTATTTATTTTTTCTACATTTGGAATCAGAATTGCTACACTATTGGAGTTTCTCTTTTCTGTTTCCATTTTATCTATGCCACTACACCAATGAAGTATTGAAAAGTTGAACCTTCTATCCTGAGACGGGGATTGTACCGTCCGTGCAAGTTAAGGTAGAGCTCCTGATTAGCTCTACCAAATGTGAGTTTAAAATACCTCTGTTTTACACACCATTTCCGTTTCCCACTTGTTATAGCATATTGCACTATTATATTTCCCTTTTTGTGTTTTTTTTGAGGATATATTACTCATACCAACTAAGGGACACCAAGTGTATGTATGTAAAATTTATTTAGAGCGCTGTTTCCTTCCTTTCTTTCATATTGTTTCCTTACAAGGCTGGGAATCTTTGCATTGGTTATTGCTGCTTGTCTATTCTCTCTGTTTCGAAGTGAGCACCCGACACACCTTCCTTTTTTTTTCATGTACCAGACCCCGGCCAGTCCTAGTTTACACTGTCTCTCTGTGCCCTTGATTTCGGATCGTTCCTGACTCTGTCTCCTCTCATATACGTCGAGTCCGGCCATTCTAAGGTCCGGTAGACGTATCTCTCCTCTGTGTTGTCTTCTGTTTAGCTGAATCCTGCGTGTTGGGGTATATTCTCGTTACAATGGATACTTCGGACGGTGCGGGGCTATCAAATAGAATTCGAGACGAGGCCACTCCAACAGGCCCCACCACGCCTGATTCAGTTTTCACGGGCGGACGCTTCTTTGATAGACACGAAACTTCAGGACTTACACTCCAAGGGTGCCATCCAACCAGCTCAGGACTCAACAGGGTCCTGGTCAGGAAGAAAACCTGGGAATTCCGACCCGTCATCAACCTCAAGGAGCTCAATTCCTACGTGGTGTACCGCCACTTCAAAATGGAGGGTATCCATCTTCTCCGGGACCTACTGCGAGACAACGACTGGTTCACGCGTCTAGACCTAAAGGACGCATACCTCACCATCCCTGTGCACGAAAGGAGCCGCTCATATCTCCGTTTCTACTGGCACGGGACACCTTGGCAATTCACCTGTCTCCCACTCGGCCTCAGTCCGGCCCCATGGTGTTTCACCAAAATGATGAAGCCGGTAATGGCGAGACTGAGGGACCAAGGCATAAGATGCATTGTCTACCTCGTTGACATCTTGATATTCGGCGAGGATGCAAGGACCCTAAAGAGGCACACAGACTACGCCGTACACCTACTCGACTCACTGGACTTCGTTATCAACGGCCCCAAGTCATCACTGACTCCCGCTCAGTCGATCAAATTCCTTGGGTTCGAGATAGACTCAACATCGTGCACTCTGCGCCTTCCGGCCGCAAAAATTGCCACCATCCGCAGAGAAATTCGGAAGGTACTTCGACTGACATCCATACCTTTACGACTGCTAGCACAAATCGTGGGCCTTCTCTCGTCATCCATCCAGGCCATCTTTCCTTGACCCCTGCATTACAGAGCCATGCAACACCTCAAGACAAAGTTCCTTCGCAAAGACCCAACATACGACCAGCCGGTCCCCATGTCGGACGCGGTTCGGGAGGAACTGCACTGGTGGCTGAACTGCATGCAGGCCTGGAACGGTCGGGCGATATACGGAAACCAACCAGACTTCATATTGGAGTCATACGCCAGACACTCAGGCTGGGGAGCAACAGACGACACCTCCTCCACGGGGGGTGTGGACTCCCCAAGAACTTTCGATGCACATCAACTGTCTGGAGCTCCTGGCGGGACTGCTGCATCCTGCTCCGGATGGACAATGTCTTGGCGGTAAGATACATCAACCGACTCGGAGGCACCCACTCCCAAGCACTAGTAGAACTCTCGAAGGAAATCTTCGACTATTGCCTGCCTCGCAACATCACGCTGTTAGCGGAACACCTACCAGGAGAAACCAACACGGATTGGTACTCACGCCACTGGAGGGACGCCAGCGACTGGCAACTAGACTCTCATGTTTTCACGATTCTGGATGCACAAAGGGGCCCCTTCTTCCTGGACTTATTCGCTTCCCGCAACAACCGTCAGACGAAGGACTTCTTCAGTTGGCTCCCAGAGAGTCTAGCAACAGACGCGTTTCTGCAACAATGGCCACAACACGGGGCTTACGCTTTCCCTCCATTCTCAATGATTACGAGGGTTCTCCACTGAATCTGCATGCAGAGGGTGATACTGACCCCCATCACGCCTCTATGGCAAAGCCAACCATGGTTCACGGATCTTCTGGAGCTGTCGAACAGGGATCCCCTCCTCCTACCAGATACTCCGTCCATTCTCAGGAACCCGATGGGACTACCCCATCCGCTGGTCAGGGAGGGCCGGCTTCCCCTGGTGGCCTGGACTTTTTCAGGGGTTCCTGGCGAACCGAGGATTTATCGCAGGAAACTAGGGAGCTCCTATGGGACTCATGGGCGCCAGGAACAAGGAGGTGCTACTTATCAGCATGGCACTGCTGGACAACTTGGTGTCTGGGACCGGATCTCAATCCCTTTACGGCACCTATTCCCTCCATCATGAATTTCCTCACCTCTCTGTTCACAACCGGGAAGTCATACCGGTCAATCAACGTGATACGTTCAGCCATGTTAGCGGCTCATACGCCGACTCAAGGGACACCAGTGGGCCAGAACCCACTCATCTGTAGACTCCTCCGTGACATGCGCCTTCGGCGCCCCCCGGAACCCAAATACTCGAGACTTTGGGACGTTGGCATAGTCTTACAGTTTTTACTGGCCCCCTAACGAGAACTCCGCCAGCTTACGGCAAAGTTCACCTTCCTACTCTGCCTAGTCTCCTTTCGTCGGGTGTCCGATGTACGCGCTTTTGATGCCGACGCATTTACCTTTTGCCCAGCGGGAGTAACCTTCCAGGTCTCTAGGCGCACGAAATCTGACTCTTCCTCTGTTTTTTACCCCTTTTTTCCCTCAGACCCACAGCTCTGTTTGGTCTCTACTCTTCGTCGATACGTGGAAGCCACCGCGACGTTGCGGCCTACTTCCAATCGTCAACTTCTCATCTCTTACGTCCGCCCCTACGCTCCAGTCTCGGTTACTACGTTGGCCAGATGGGTTAGATGGCTATTAGCCCTTGCCGGGATAGACCAGGCTTTTGGAGCACACTCAGTTCGGGGGGCCGCGGCCTCTTCCGCCTATGCGGCAGGGGCCTCCCTTCCAGATATTTTACGAGCGGCGGACTGGACTAGAGAATCCACCTTTAGGACGTTCTACTTCCGTTCTCCATCTAATCCAGCTTTTGCTCTACTTTCTCAGCGTTGAAATTGCAAAATACGAAGCCTCCTGTCATGTGATAAAATTGAAGATTATGCTAGCTTCAGTGTACAGATAATCTTAATTTTAATAATGACAGGAGGCGAGTATTTTCCCTCCCTGCTCTCTTTCGCTCTTTCCCCCCCCCCTGTCTTCATGTATATTTCTATCTCTTTATTCACATGTTATTATTGTGCTAAATGCCTAAGTTGTTTTTTCTTACAATTAAAACAGATATACCATATGGGTGGGATGGCTTAGTTAGCATCAATAGATGGGAGGAATGTATTCGCTGTATTGCAATATGATGGTTTACTTAATCATAAGGGATAGACAGCTCATTGTTTTACACAACCATATCCAGAATCTAATACCCTTTACATTCTCGTTTCAGTTTAACCAGATGAATCAGGACACTAAAGACTTCCTTCAAGATGTCATCATCGTCTTGTCATGGAAGATCGTCACTTGACATCAAGAACTCTTCCCTGTCAAGAATTCTTCATATGTTTATGTTCTATTTTCATGTTATACGTTATCTTTATTGTTATTCTGCATTGTGATCTTGTGATGTCGCATGCTTTAAAGAGGAAATGATGTCATACGTTACACCTCTTATACTCTATACTGCATTGTGATTGGTTCTCAGTTATGTCACTCTTTTCTTTGTTGCTATGGAGTTAGTAAAGAAAGATTATGCAAAATACTCGCCTCCTGTCATTATTAAAATTAAGATTATCTGTACACTGAAGCTAGCATAATCTTCAATTTCCCATATGAAAGCATTGGATTGGCTGAGATCGTCAAATTGAGGAGTGGCCACTGGAGGTGATCCTAGGCTGTAATGTAAACACTGCCTTTTCTCTGAAAACGCTGTGTACAACAAAAAAGCCTGCAAGGACTGACTATACTCCACAGAACAAATACTTTAACCCCTTAAGGACCAAACTTCTGGAATAAAAGGGAATCATGACATGTCACACATGTCATGTGTCCTTAACCCCTTAAGGACCAAATTTCTGGAATAAAAGGGAATCATGACATGTCACACATGTCATGTGTCCTTAAGGGGTTAAGGAGTTAAGCTGCAGTTGTTCTGGTGACTGTTTATTTGTAAAGGCTAGCTAATTCACAGTGAGTTTATATATGTCTTTCTGAATTTTAAAATAAATGGACTCTTAATGGGAGCAGAGGGTGGGGGTTTTTGTGATATTGAACTCCGTATGTTTACAATCACTCGCAGTTCCCCTGCAGCCCTTCACTCTTCCTGAATTGACAGTTCTGAGTTGGCAGTGTGCAGTCTTATCCACTTCCTCTTCTATAAGTCTATTATGGAGGGAGTGGATCTCTCTCTCTCTCTCTCTCTCTCCCTCTCCCTCTCCCTCTCCCTCTCCCTCTCCCTTCCAAGCCTATCCGAACATCAGGTAGGAAAACATAAGCATCTGACAGGAGGTTTCATATTCTCCTCTGATCGCACATAATTGTGTCCTGTCTGTATTGCAGTTAGTATGTAAGCCTCCTGTTTCCTTATTGTCTGTATTACAACCTGTAGCATTATAATGTTTCACTTACAAAAATAAGTACATATGAAATTTATCTCCCTAAAAAAATAGGTTAAATTAAATGTTTTGCTTATAGTCTGTATTAATAAAGCTGGATGTTTGGGGAGTTTAATTCTGATGGTTTCCTGCCTAGCTTAGCATGTAACAGTTCAGTTCCATAGTAACTATTTTCCATCCTGCAGGCTCAGGTGTTACAATATAACCGTGCATGATACATTGGACAAGTTCTGACCTGCATCATACTTTACATTGCCACCACTGGGTAAAGCTTTCTAAACCTAGACTGATTCTCCTATAAGCTCGTCATGGAAGACTTTTGTGTCCAACTGGGATGAGAGCGACAGAGAATATTGTGACACCATGGAGGAGATTTACAGAAATGTGTCTAATAGAGAGATTGGACAAGGTTTTAATAACTAAGAAAGCCAATTAAAACTAACTGCTGGTCCAGTTCTAAAAAGTGCCTCCCCCTACCGCACAAATCTAAATTATATAGATATACACTGTCATGAGAAAAAGAATATAAACTCTCTTTAAATTCAATGGTTTTACATGTCAGGACATAACAATCTTTGATCTCCCCACCGGCCCGAGAAAGGCACACAGCAAGTATGCGGGCCCAGCTCTCCATGGGCCGACAGGGGAGATGAAGACTTGTCAGTCTCTACGGGGCCCCTATGCTCATGGGGCCCCCGGGCATCTGCCCAGATTTCCCATGCAGTAAGAAAGTCCTGTTGCCAGAAGAATGTCTCTACTCTCTAAAAAAGAACATGGCAGCATGGCTTAGGTTTGCAAAGTAGTATCTGAAGAAATCACAAGACGTCTGGAGATATGTCCTTTGGCCAGATGACACCAAAGTAGAGATGTTTGACCACAATGCACAGTGCCTCATCTGTCTAAAACCACACACAGCACATCAGCACAAACACCTCATGCCAACTGTCAAGCACGGTGGTGGAGAGGTGATGATCTGTTTTGCAGCCACAGGGCCTGGAAATCTTGCAGTCATTGAGTCAATCATGTATATACCTAAGGATTCTAGAGTCAAATGTGAAGCCATCTGCTAAGGTTGGGCCGAAATTGGGTCATGCGACAGGACAATGATCACAAGCACACCAGCAAATCTACAAACAAAATGGCTGAAAAAGAAAAGAATCAAGGTGTTGCAATGGCTCAGTCAAAGTCCAGACTTTAATCCGATTGAAATGCTATGGCGGGACCTTAAGGCATAAATAAATGCCAGCATACCTCAATGAGCTGAAGCAACGTTGTTGTAACAAAACCCCTCTCTGATTGCAGTAGTTATGGTGGTTTTTGACTTCCCTATAGTGATTAAGGTGTGGTTCTCCTTTCTGATATTTTATGGCAACAAAACAAAGGACTCGTCCCTGGACTTCGTTTTCCCCTTGTCATTGCTTGGATTTTATTTAAGACACTAGTTCTGCCCCTTTAAATAATATTGGAACGGTTCTACACTTTTGAAGTGGCAGTTCGGATACAGCCGAAGTGGCCGCCATTCGAACACGTGGTGGCAGCCATTTTAATTCAGTTGAACGCTTTCAGCGGTGTTTGGTTGTCGAGTTTATGGAACTCAAATCGGACATGCGACGCCACAAACACCACTGAACTTTACCTTCTCCAGAACTTTGACGGGAGTCGAACAGTGTTCGACAATACGAACGACACTTAAAACTTGGTTATTTGCACAAACGGCCACGTTCCTGGATTCAAACAGAACTTAGTATTGAAAATAGACCAGGCGCACAGTCTAAATCTGTGGCACTATTTTGGGCATGAAAGCCATGCTTGCGGTCGGTGAAGAGAGACTTCCATAAAACTTTTGAACTCCTGCTCTGATCTGGGTGATTTTTGGATATGTTGTTTGCCCAGATCAGAGCTATCCAGGGATGCATATTTTGTGGGGATATGTTGGAGTTTTGGGGTGTTTCTGAACTTTGGGTAAAAATTTATATTTTCTGCCTGTGGATAGTTAAGTTATTCCATTAGCTAGCTTAATTATATCACAGGCAGAGGGGAGAGATTGCTGACTGTATGTGGGAGTGTTACTGTGATAATTATTGATCCTGTTGGTTTGTGTCCCTTTTGTCCCTGTGTTCCATCAGGTCCAGGGGGTGTGCCTCTGGCCTGAAAATCTGAATAAAAGAAATGCAAGCTGCTCAGTAAACCAGACCTTCTTACCCTCAACTCGCAGCCTTGTCTCGTGTTGTAGGGAACAGCTATAACTGCTAGCTCTTGTAAAAGCTCTCTTCAGCTATACTAGCTCCTCAGGATATCGGGTTGGAACTCTGCAGCGCTCTCCATCTTTGGGAAGAAGGATATCCAGACGGTAGATACCCTCACTCAATAGGGGTAACCGTCACAGTTGTAAAGAAGAGTGAGTCAAAATTCCTCCACAATGATGTGAGAGACTGCTTCTTTTTTCCCCTCTATTGGTTACTTCTACTTGACCGCAAGATGGTCAAGTAGAAGTAACCAATAGAGGGGAAAAAAGAAGCAGTTCAAAAAAATTCTATAAATATTCTGTGACAGACCCATCTGTCTGGATTACAAATGCTTTGTTCACCTGTTTTGCCGGTTACATGAATTCCCCCATTCGTATGCTTTATTCAAGGGAATGTCGGTTTTGTCGAACGGAACTACCGAACGGACGGCCACCCAGAAGAGAAGTGTGCTGCTGGTTAACCTATTGATCCCAATTAGAACGTTGCGGTTAACCACAGACACTTCTCAATTAAAACCGAATGCCGGGTGGTCGTCGTTCGTATGTCGACCACGAGGCGGCGGCCATTTTGTCCATGCGAACGACCAGCGGTGTTCGACGATTATTTCATGGATCTGAAAATGGACACTTTTTCAGCCGAACACCGCTGAAGCCGTCGACCTCCCCTTCTCAATCGACAAAAGTATGCGAATGCCAGCCGTTCGGGAGATTCAACCACACGAATGGACTTAACCCAGATAGCCGTCCCATGGAGTCAATCGCATACCGAAGAACTGAAAGAGACTTTGACTCCATGGCGATTGAACTATGCGAATGGGATCTGAGCGCTATTCTCCAATAATGTGCACTCAGATCCAGGCTATCTGGGGATACGTGCAATACGAATGTAATATGTTCGACAGTTATGAAGTTATGGATTTTCATGTGTTTTTGTGACTTGTGTTTAAAATGGCGATTGCCTCTGCTCGGGGAGATAATTGAGTTACTTCCCAATTATCCCCCGAGCAGAGGGGAGGGAACTGTGATGCATGCTGGGAATATTGTGGGGATGTATGTCCAAAATGTCCCCATGTCCTTCTGTGATTTCAGTCTCCCATTTGGTCCCCTAGGGGAGTGTCCACCAAGTGGGAGACCTGCATAAATACCGGGCAGGTAGCCCACAGTAAATCAGTTCGTGTTTTACCCTCAAAGCGGAGCTTGGTCTCGTTATTGGGGGGATTTGGTTACCAGTGACTAGAGACTGCTTATTTGGATTATTTGCCGCTTGGGAGATATTGACGTTCGGTTACTATTTGCCGTTCGTGGATTTGCAGCTCGTGAAGGGAATTAGCCATACAGGTACCGTTCGGGAGTTTGGAGTGTTCCCTGGCTGGCGGTTCGCATGGTTTTACTATACCCGCTACCCGACCACATTATTGCGAACGGGGAATACTCGCTAAACGGCGGTTTGTACATTTCATTACTGGAGGTACCGTAACAACTGGTGGCAAGCGACGGGATGATCCTCAGCGCCCAAAGAAACCACTACAACCAGGATTAAATGGAACTACAATACCAGAACCTGAGAAGAGCTACCCTAAAGGATTTATTGGAACAAAGAGGCGGACAAGCCAGTAACCTCAGGAAGAGGGATATTATTGCACTATTGCTGGAAATGGATGGAGTAACGGCGGAAGAGGGAACCAATGGACCCAGCACAGCTGACAGAACCCCCGAGGAGGCAAGCTTCGACCGGGCGGTAAGAATCAGGCTGGCCCATTATGGTCCCAACCCAACTACTGAGACTGTCACCCAGGTCATAGCCGCTGTGGAGGCCAACCTGCTACGCCAAAGCGGTGCTGCAGCAGCCCCAGTCACAGCAAACCCGGGAGATAGGAAAAAGGTACCATTTACAGCATTTAAAGCCTTCAGTGAGACAGAAGGAGAGATTGATGGGTACCTTGCTGATTTTGAGCGGCAATGTGCCCTGCACAAGGTACCCCTAGAAGACTGGGTTACTATACTTTCCGGCAAGTTATCCGGCCGGGCCAGCGAGGCTTTCCGGGCCATCCCTGATGAGGAGATTGGGGATTATGGGGCCGTCAGGGAAGCTTTACTCTCCCGGTATGCTGTTACACCTGAGGCGTACCGGAGGAGGTTCCGAGACACGGTTAAAACCTCTGGGGACTCATATGTGGAATGGGCATGCAAGGTGCACCGCACAGCCGCTCACTGGATGGCGGGGTGCCAGGCTGTGTCCGGGGAAGAGGTGCTGCAGATGTTCCTCTTAGAACATTGTTTTGACAAATTACCAGCAGGGGTCAGAGAGTGGGTAAGGGACCGTAAACCCTCCACTCTGCACGAAGCAGCTCGCCTGGCGGATGAGTATACCGACGCCCGCAAACTGGACAGTCTCATCAGTAAGGCCCCCGCCAGAGTGGAGTACAGGCCAGCAACACCAGCACCAGCCAACCTATACCAGCCTCCCATGACTCGCCCAGCAGCACCTCCTCCATCTGCCCCGTACCAACAGCCACCTAGGTTTAATGCACGGGAATACACGCAACCCATTCGGTGCTACTTGTGCAAGCAACTAGTGCACAAGCGACCAGAGTGCCCGATGAACAGCGCCAACCAGAACCAGTCCTGGAGGAGACCAGCCGGCGGCAATCCACGACCTCCCCTCCCGGCCGCTCACTGTGTAGAGGAAGAAGAGTGCTGGGGCATCCTGCATGAGGCAGACCCGTTCAGGCTGCTCACCGGTATAACCGTCAGCATCACCGGCAGTATGTGAAAGTAAATGGGAAGGAGGTCAGTGGTCTACGAGATACCGGGGCAACTATGACCTTGCTCCAGAAGCACCTAGTATCCGAAGCCCAACATACAGGGGACACGGTCGCTGTACGAGTAGCTGGAGGTGCCGTGTTACGTCTGCCCGTTGCCCGGGTACATTTGGATTGGGGAGTAGGCGCTAGACATGTGAATGTGGGGGTCATGAAGGACTTACCAGCGGATGTCCTCCTTGGCAATGACTTGGCGCCCCTTGTTTCCGCCTACGCTCCCATGGGTCCTACTGAAGTGGATGCTGTCACGACCCGTGCCCAGACCCGTGCCGCCGAGACCGGCCCACCTGCTGCTGAGACCCAGGTAAGACTCTCTCCCCCGACTTGTACCTTAGACCAGGCCCCTTTAGGTTGGGATACCCCCGAGATGTACGGGAAGGAAACCAGGGAAGACCCGACGCTAGCCAAGTACAGGGCCAGGGCCGATTCTGGGGGAGAAGGAATAGATGGGGAGCACTACGAGTGGGTGGGGGATAGACTATACAGGATCCCAAAGCCGAGTACCCCTCCGCAGAATCGACAGCTAGTGGTGCCTGCAAAATACCGGCAGGAGATTCTGCGGATTGGGCATGATGTGCCATTAGCCGGCCATCTAGGTTCCCGCCGCACAGCTCATAGGATCACGCAAAATTTCTTCTGGCCCAATTTTAACCGAGATGTGCGGGTTTACTGTAGCACGTGTGACACTTGTCAACGGGTAGGTAAGCGGGGGGATCACCCAAAAGCTAGGCTTCAGTCGATGCCTATCATTGGAGAACCCTTTTCCCGCATAGCCGTTGACATTGTGGGTCCACTGGCCAGGGCTAGCCCATCAGGTAAGAAGTATATTCTCACCGTGGTGGACTATGCCACACGTTATCCAGAGGCAGTAGCGCTGTCTAATATAGAGGCAGAGACGGTTGCTGATGCCCTGGTTAAAATCTTCACTAGGGTCGGGTTCCCTCAGGAGATTCTCTCCGATCAGGGAACCCAGTTCACCGCTGTGCTTACCCAGCAACTGTGGAAGGTGTGCGGTATTAAACCTCTACTTAGCTCACCGTATCACCCACAGACTAACGGTCTCTGCGAGCGATTTAATGGCACCCTCAAACAGATGTTGAGGACCTTTACTGACACTTGCAGAGATTGGGAGCGATTCCTGCCTCATCTGCTATTTGCATACAGGGAGGTGCCCCAGGAATCTACTGGGTTCTCCCCCTTTGAGTTACTCTATGGGAGAAGGGTCCGTGGACCCCTAGATCTCATTAGAGGACACTGGGAGGGGGAGACAGAGCAAGAAGGGACCCCCATAGTGCCATATGTCCTGGAACTCCGGGACCGCATGGAGAAACTATCCCTGATGGTCAGGGAGAATCTCCAGGCGGCCCAGGGGAAACAGAAACGGTGGTACGATCGGGGTGCCCGACAGCGGGTCTTCCAGGTTGGGCAGAAGGTTCTGGTACTCAAGCCTGTGAAGACAAACAAGATGCAAGCGTCTTGGCAGGGCCCGTATAAAGTGTTAGCTCAGGTGTGTGATACTACCTACCTTATAGCCAGCTGTTCAGATGAAAGGATTCAGCGATCCTTCCATGTGAACATGCTGAAGGAGTATCAGGAACGACCAGAGGATGTTGTGGCAGTATGTGCCCCAGCTACTGACGAATCCGAGAACTTACCTTTACCTGACTTGTTAGAGAGGGATCCCCAGACAGACCTTACTAGTCTTGTACGGCTGGGGGACCGGCTAAACCCGGCGGAGAAGGTACAGGCGAGACAGTTACTGTGGGAGAAGCAGGCGACGTTCTCCCAAGAACCCGGGTACACTACCCTAGCTGTACACAAGGTCGAGACACCCGGACAGAACCCCCTACGACAACCCCCATACCGTATCCCTGAAGCAGTCCGAGAAGGAATGCGGACGGAGATACAGGAGATGACCAGGCTGGGGGTTATCGAACACTCAGACAGTCCTTGGGCCTCGCCTGTAGTTCTGGTGCCTAAGAAAGATGGGACCACCCGGTTCTGTGTGGACTACAGGCGGCTCAACGAGCGGACCACCACTGACGCCTACCCTATGCCCCGGGTAGACGAGTTATTAGACCGCATTGCCAGGGGGTGCTACTTGACCACCATTGACCTGTGTAAAGGTTATTGGCAGATCCCCCTGGCCGAGGATGCTATCCCTAAGTCGGCATTCGTCACCCCATTTGGCCTGTACCAGTTTAAGGTTATGCCATTTGGGATGAAGAATGCTCCGGCTACTTTCCAGCGTATGGTGGATAGGCTCCTCGATGGCTTCCAGGACTTTGCATGTGCATACCTGGATGACATTGCGGTCTACAGTGAGTCCTGGGAAGACCATTTAGTACACGTGGGGGTGGTGCTGGACAAGATTCGGGCCGCAGGCCTGACCTTGAAGCCAGACAAGTGCCATCTAGGCATGGCAGAAGTACAGTACTTGGGTCACAGAGTAGGCTGTGGGAGCCAGAGACCGGAGCCAGCTAAGGTAGAGGCGGTGGCTAACTGGCCCACACCTATCACCAAGACCCAAGTGCTGGCCTTCTTGGGGACGGCAGGGTATTACCGACGTTTTGTCCCTGACTACAGTACGGTTGCTAAGCCCTTGACTGACCTGACTAAGAAGAATTTGCCTAAGCAGGTCCTGTGGTCTCCAGCTTGTTCATACAGACGCTTCCATGTATGGACTGGGGGCTGTGCTAAGCCAGGTCGGGGAAGATGGAGGAGAGCACCCTGTCGCATACTTAAGCAGAAAGTTACTACCCCGGGAAGTAAGTTATGCGGCAGTGGAGAAAGAGTGTTTAGCCCTGGTCTGGGCACTGAAGAAATTGAGCCCTTATTTGTATGGACAGGAATTTTCCCTTATTACGGACCATAACCCCCTTGTCTGGCTTAACCGGGTCTCAGGAGACAATGGCAGACTGCTGAGGTGGAGTCTGGCACTACAGCCTTACAACTTCACCATCAGCTACCGACCCGGTAAGCAGAATGGGAATGCGGATGGGTTGTCCCGGCAAACAGACGTCCCTACTTCTTCCCAGTCCGGTCATCCCCAAGTTGACCCGCCAAAGGGTCAAGCCGGGTCTGCCGGAGTGTTCCACAAGGGGGGGAGCCGTGTGACAGACCCATCTGTCTGGATTACAAATGCTTTGTTCGCCTGTTTTGCCGGTAACATGAATTCCCCCATTCGTATGCTTTATTCAAGGGAATGTCGGTTTTGTCGAACGGAACTACCGAACGGACGGCCACCCAGAAGAGAAGTGTGCTGCTGGTTAACCTATTGATCCCAATTAGAACGTTGCGGTTAACCACAGACACTTCTCAATTAAAACCGAATGCCGGGTGGTCGTCGTTCGTATGTCGACCACGAGGCGGCGGCCATTTTGTCCATGCGAACGACCAGCGGTGTTCGACGATTATTTCATGGATCTGAAAACGGACACTTTTTCAGCCGAACACCGCTGAAGCCGTCGACCTCCCCTTCTCAATCGACAAAAGTATACGAATGCCAGCCGTTCGGGAGATTCAACCACACGAATGGACTTAACCCAGATAGCCGTCCCATGGAGTCAATCGCATACCGAAGAACTGAAAGAGACTTTGACTCCATGGCGATTGAACTATGCGAATGGGATCTGAGCGCTATTCTCCAATAATGTGCACTCAGGTCCAGGCTATCTGGGGATATGCAATACGAATGTAATATGTTCGGCAGTTATGAAGTTATGGATTTTCATGTGTTTTTGTGACTTGTGTGTAAAATGGCGATTGCCTCTGCTCGGGGAGATAATTGAGTTACTTCCCAATTATCCCTCGAGCAGAGGGGAGGGAACTGTGATGCATGTTGGGAATACTGTGGGGATGTATGTCCAAAATGTCCCCATGTCCTTCTCTGATTTCAGTCTCCCATTTGGTCCCCTAGGGGAGTGTCCACCAAGTGGGAGACCTGCATAAATACCGGGCAGGTAGCCCACAGTAAATCAGTTCGTGTTTTACCCTCAAAGCGGAGCTTGGTCTCGTTATTGGGGGGATTTGGTTACCAGCGACTAGAGACTGCTTATGTGGATTATTTGCCGCTTGGGAGCTATTGACGTTCGGTTACTATTTGCCGTTCGGGGATTTGCAGCTCGTGAAGGGAATTAGCCATACAGGTACCGTTCGGGAGTTTGGAGTGTTCCCTGGCTGGCGGTTCGCATGGTTTTACTATACCCGCTACCCGACCACATTATTGCGAACGGGGAATATTCGCTAAACGGCGGTTTGTACATTTCATTACTGGAGGTACCGTAACATATTCTATATTTAATAGTTATGTAATATACAAATGTAGAATTTTGACTTCTCTTTTCCGCTATTGGTGACTTATTTTCACTTGATCTGTAAACCAAATCACTGTACTGCCAAACATCTCAAATATAATATTAAAGGGTTACTCCAACCACCATTACTATTTCTTTTTGAAGTGTTCATGGTGGTAGGAGTCTGGATGTGCAGTATTTCAGCTTGAAAGACTGAACATCCGGTGTAATTTTCACTTGTGTGCTGTAGGTAAGTTGCACCACAAGCACACATCACATTGGCAGCCCAAAACTCTGTACCCGGCCTACCTAATGTCAGTTCTGTGCAAAAAATAAGTCAGTTGTAGAGCGCACTGCACACAGGTGAAAAAATTATACTGCTTCTTGTTTTCCCTCCCACCCACACTGAAGGAAGCCCTCCCTCCTCCCAATCCCATCTGCAATTTTTTTTAATCCCCACCTTCTCTCTCGCCCTCCCTTTGCTTGCTCAGAGCATGCGCCTTGAGCCGGTAAAATAGTCCAATCAAAAGCTTCTCAATGAAAAGCCTATGATTGGTCCTTGGTGCAGTTCTTGTGATGTCAGATGGTGGAGCTTCACATGGGGCTGGATTAAGGTAAGTACATTTTATTTTAAAACGCTCTCTGAGCATTTTTCTTGAGTAGACTGATAGAATAATGCCAATAGGACATTATTCTATCCTAAATGAAAAAGGTTTTCGAGTCTCCTTTATTTTCTTTCTAAATTCTTAATGTCTCTAACTGTGTGATCTTTTCTGGTTAAAACCTTTGTGTAGAGCAAAGACAGAAACCTGGAATTAAGTAGCAAATCAAGTAAGTATTGTTTGAGCTTCTCAACATGAGGTTAATGTTTCTGCACTTTGTTATTGTGGCAAACTCACTCATTTAAGGGAGTTTACCATGAGTTCTTGGAGGGGGCTGCTTGCCCGCCTCCTGCCTTGTGACTATGGCCCCTGTGTTAAACTCTGGTTCAGGACTGGAGAGAGACTGTTGTTCATGTGTTTTCCCTGCACTGCTTCATTGAATAGAGCTTGTTGAATGGATTATGCTAATGTTGTTCGAACGACCAACCACCCTGCATGTGGAGTGTGCGGCTTGTTAACCACCCAGAAGTTGTGGTTAACCGCAGCTTAATTGGCAAACCGCTGGGGGGTCGGCGTTAGTATGAACGAACACGTGGCGGCGGCCATTTTGTTTAGCAGAACCCGCTCAGCGGTGTTTGGTCGACGAACTCCTGGAACTGTTTTCGGCTACTAGTTTTACGAACACCGCTGAGACTTCTACCTTCCGTGCGTTCGGCTAAAACCATACGAACGGAGCACTATTTTAAGGGCATGAACTGTCGAACGAGACCATTACAATGAAAGTATGCACGAACAGATCCGTTCGTGCAATCTGTACTTTAAACAAATGTGAAGATAGACCGACTGCACAGCCTAAATCAATGGAACCCTTTTGGGCATAAAAGCCATACTTGCGGTTGGTCAAATATGACTTCCAGCTAACTCCCGAATGGCTAAACGGATTCGAATGATTTTTGGATATGTTTGTCCCCTATGTGTGCTGATTCTGAAAATGTAATGATGTTTTATATGAATGTGTTGTATAATTGTGGAGTTATAGAAATTGGGTAAAAATGTGTGTTTAAACTGTACAGTTAATTATGTTATATCCCAAGCAGAGGGGAGGGAATGTGTGGGTTGTAACCATTGTTTGATTGGCTAATGTATAATTGTCTGTGGTTGTCTCCCTTGCATGGAAGAACTGCATAAAAAGAGAGTACCTGCCATTAAACCTGAGTTCTACTTCACCCTAAATTTTGAGTCCTCTCTATTATTGGGGGAATTTGCTACAAAGGATTGCTATGCTCTGCATATTCCCTTGCTATAATCACTCCTAAGCTCTTTTAAGAGCTTGTTCCTGTTTTGCTACCTGAAAGAGTCTACGGGGGTTATGGTGTCTGCTGGAGTGCTTGGAGTCCTTGGTAAGCACTAGGAGCATCCATCAATGGAGGTACCCAGTCGGGGTGCCCGTTGATCCATTACAGTTATTGTTTTATTTTAGTGTTATTACTAAAATGGAAAACTTGACTGGAACTGTAAAAAAATTTATGTATGTTTTCTTGTTTGTTTGTTTTTATGACAACATTGCAATGTATCTGTATTTTAACCTCTGTCTAAAAAAAAAAAAAGCGGGGGGGGTTGGAGAAACACTTTAATATAATGAATATATGTAGCAGTATACTTGTTGGCTCAATTCATCTGAATTGTTTTTCCAGAAAGAATTGCATTAGCAAAATTCCTCTTAACCAAAACGCCATATTTACAAATCCAGATTCCAGCCACACAAATTTTTATTTTTAAAACAAATCGATTCAGACAAACCCAGTTTTGTAGATATACTGTAACACAAAGCAAGGAGAGTGTTAATCACTAGAGCTTATAGTCTACATGATTTATTATTAACCTAAGCCTTGAGAAGTACAAATTGTAGTACTCACCATAATTACTACTCTAGTTATGGTCCCCAGACTGTAGAGGAATGCATTTCTCTTCCAAAAGTCACTAGGCACTCATTTAATGCATGCATATTTGCTGAATAGCTCATCTCCTGCTTCTAAACAGTAAAGTAGGATTCAGTGAGTCATATTATACCTACAATCAGGTAGGTGGAGGAGTGACTGGGTGCTACCTCTTCACTGTGAGCTTTACATTAGCATTCCAGAGATTGATAAAGATTGACATAGATTTAAATACATTTATTTTATAAATATAACAGTATTTATTATAAATTGATATTATGCTCAAATGCCAACATTCTTTTTACATTCTGTTGCCATTTTTAGTAAGCTGTACTCCTAGTGATGTCTTTAGGATCCTTACATCCTTACAAATACCTATATGCTGGTTATTTGACCAGTTCACATCTACACTAAGAAAAAAAAATACTAACATCTGAGACCATATGTGAAATATTGCAAGATAAAGGACACTGTATACTGTGTAAAACCTTTCACTTCCCAATTATTTTTTTATATAGTGAGGATCAAGTATAATTTTTGTATGTTTCTCTGAAAATCAATCTATATGCAAATTGCTGTGTTGTGATATGTTAATATGCTAGCTATGCATAGCTTGCTTCAAATACACAGTATGCTAATAATTTTTCAAACAGTGCTTAATAGCAAAGTGATTAAAGGGACACTTTTTAAAAATATATATAATTTACATTTTTATTCTTATGGTCTTTAATATTTTTATTAATTAGTTTACATGTATGTGTCTATCTTCTCCCTATTTCAGAATAACATGTTCCCAACCCCATATTGCACAGTCCATTTCTTCACTAAAAGTGGGTGCTTAGTGGGTGCACTAAGTTGGTTTACATGAAGGGATTATTACATTGGGACACAATACACACTATAAATAAAGATTCACTTCTTGAGAAATACAAATGGCTTGTTGCAGGTGAATAAAAATAAGTATGTAATAATTTATAGCGTTCTTTTTAATTATCTTAAACATTGTGCTTCATATTTAAATTAAAATAAAAACTGTCAGCTGAGCACAGTCCTGTATTGCACCTGCTCTGGTCAATGAAGACATCCAGCTTCTCCTGTGTAGGACCTGCTCTACTCTACACAGTGAAGACATTAACCTTCTCCTGTATTTGACCTGCTCTGCTCAGTGAAGACATCAACCTTCTCCAGAATCGGACCTGCTCTGCTCAGTGAAGACATCAAACTTCCCTGTATCAGACCTGCTCTGCCCTGTGAAGACCTCCAGCTTCTTCTGTATCAGACCTGCTCCGCTCAGCGAAGATATCCAGCTTCTCCTGTACCGGACCTGCTAAGCTCAGTGTAGACATCCAGCCTCTCCTGTACCGGACCTGCTCTGCTCAATGAAGATCTCCAGCTTCTCCTGTACCGGACCTGCTCTCTGCTCATTGAAGACATCAACCTTCTCCTGAATCGGACCTGCTCAGTGAAGACATCAAACATCCCTGTACCGGGCCTGCTCTGCTCAGCGAAGACATCCAGCTTCTCCTGTATCAGACCTGCTCTGCTCAGTGAAGACATCCAGCTTCTCCTCTACCGGACCTTCTTTGCTCAATGAAGACCTCCAGCTTCTCCTGTATCAGACCTGCTCTGCTCAGTGAAGACATCCAGCTTCTCCTGTACCGGAACTGCTCTGCTCAGTGAAGACATCCAGCTTCTCCTGTATCAGACCTGCTCTGCTCAGTGAAGACATCCAGCTTCTCCTCTACCGGACCTTCTCTGCTCAGTGAAGACCTCCAGCTTCTCCTGTATCTGACCTGCTCTGCTCAGTGAAGACCTCCAGCTTCTCCTGTACCTGACCTGCTCTGCTCAGTGAAGACCTCCAGCTTCTCCTGTATCTGACCTGCTCTGCTCAGTGAAGACCTCCAGCTTCTCCTGTATCTGACCTGCTCTGCTCAGTGAAGACCTCCAGCTTCTCCTGTATCTGACCTGCTCTGCTCAGTGAAGACCTCCAGCTTCTCCTGTATCTGACCTGCTCTGCTCAGTGAAGACCTCCAGCTTCTCCTGTATCTGACCTGCTCTGCTCAGTGAAGACCTCCAGCTTCTCCTGTATCTGACCTGCTCTGCTCAGTGAAGACCTCCAGCTTCTCCTGTATCTGACCTGCTCTGCTCAGTGAAGACCTCCAGCTTCTCCTGTATCTGACCTGCTCTGCTCAGTGAAGACCTCCAGCTTCTCCTGTATCGGAACTGCTCCTCTCAGTGAAGACATCTAGCTTCTGCTGTACCGGACCGGCTCTGCTCAGTGAAAATAACCAGCTTCTGCTGTATTGGACCTGCTCTGCTCCGTAAAGATAACCAGCTTCTGCTGTATTGGACCTGCTCTGCTCAGTAAAGACATCCAGCTTCTCCTGTAGGAGAAGACCAGATGTAGAGCGGGCGCCCCTGGAACCCAGGTAAGTTCTCAAACAATTCTAAAACAAATTGACAGCTTACTATTAGAGGGTACCAAGACACTCCTTGCACTGAATCCATTAGAACAAGCATGGTTATGGTTCTTGGAGTGTCTCTTTAAAGCAGATATGTCACCAGGAGAAGATAATAAATATAAATAAAGACAAATTGTGATAGGTAGCATAATTAATAATATACAGGGCACATAAGAAATGAAAAATTGGGGGAGAAAACATGACAGGGATGCTTTTAGAATCCATTCTGCTGTTGTCTGTCAATGTGGCATCTGTGATCGACGACCTGACATCATTTTCACATCAGAATGGAGTCCAAATGCCTGCAGAATATACTACAAGCTTAGTTTACCAAATGTTATAATTTACCTATTGCCTGAGCAGTAAAACCGTACACACAACTATTCACTAATGTGGGAAAGTCAAGAAGTCATTGGGAAATTGCATCTTTTTTGGGCAAATTAACTGAACTTTAGTAATTGCCCATGGTCTACATTATAATTCAGCATTAGTAAATGATGATAAGGTTTTTTAGACTTTTGGCCGAAAAAACAGAGATCATTGAAATTTTACAATCCGTTTTTGGAACCTTAAAAAACCAGGCTTAAACCATTTTGGCAGAACGAAGTTGTTACAGAGTCAGGAGGTCCCTGATGCCAGCTTACTTTAAGGGGTTAAGGCATTAACAAACAACCCCAGAGGCTTCTGTTCAGAGCCGTTCAGCTCTGCTCCTTCTATAAAGCAACTTGAGAAATTGTTATGGTGCCTGGAGTAATCCTTTAACCTCGCTATGTCTCGCTCAAGAGATCGATATTGCAAGGTTAACAATAAAAAAGGAAAAGGGTCCTCTTCCCCTATCCATAACCAGTAAAAACAGGTATATAAAAGTATAGAAACACTATTATTGTTTGTGACCATTTCAGCATTGTTAATGGCTAACTGGCAGTTAATAGCAGGTAATTATAAATATAAGACATGGGAATGTGGTTTCCCTACAAGGCAGCTGTGTTTCTTGTTAAGATACTACTCTGATTAATTGTCAACAATTCATGGTTTAGTAAATTACTGATTAGCCTTTTACTTTGCATCTTCACCTATCACGCTTTCATTTCATTCTTCTTTCATAATGTGCATCAACACCATCAGATTAAAGGGACATTGTAGGCACTATAACAGTTGTATCTTATTGAAGTCCTACATCCTTTCCTGCCACCCAAAACTCCTTGTTTTAAAAAAAAAAAAGGAAGACTTGAAAGTATGGCATCATGCCACGCCTCCAAGCCTTCTTGGTATGAAAGCTGGGACTGTTATTCCTCCTTGAAACGTTGACATCAAGTATATAGATATTTGTCTCTGTTAGTCTGTAGTATTTTATGGGTACACAGTAAAGGATTTTTGAGCTCACATAGCGTCTTCCTCATCTACCTGCTTAGCAACTTCATGTCTGTCTATATCGTTACTTAAGGAGACCTCTTCAGGGTATGGCGGGCAATCCTCGTCTGGTACAGTCCCTGTTTCATTATCCTGATGAATGGCCACATCTGAAGAGTCTTTTCCTGAGCTAATGGACTCCTGATCGTAACTCTGGAAACTGTTCTTCACTTTCATTATGTAGCGACTTAGTACATTCTCCTTTTCCTTCGGGTTATTGGGCACCCCATTATCACCAATTGAACGCCGCAGGTGTTTCACCTCCGACTGGAGGCGAATGACATTCTTGTTAAGTTCTGTGATTCGGTTCCCCAGATCTGCAGAAGTAAAATGTACAAGAAGCAGCAACATCTTTATAGGGTTGGTCATGTTAAATGTATAAAAAAAAGCAATTTTGTGAGCTAGACAAGGATTTATCTAAACAAGTCTATATAAAATACAGATGAGTGTAAGTGTAGTGACGAACAGGGCCGCCATCAGGGCATGACAACCGCAACGGTTGTCATGGGCCCGGCGGTCCTGGGGGGCCCGGACTGCTCAGGTCGTCCGGGCCCCACATTCAGTGGGTACATACCGGGTCGCAGGGGGCCCTGCGACCCCGGTATGTACCCACAGGGTCAGCCTCTTCTCCTGGGGGGCCCAGCAGCCGGTCACCTCAGGGCCCCCCAGAGGCTGGCCCTGCTGACACCCGGCGTCATCTTCCGGCTCCGGCATCAGTACGGTGCGCGAGGGAGCTGAAGAGGAAGCACACAGAGAGTGCTCCCTCACGCGCCGGCCCGCTGCCGGGTGTCGGGGGGGGGGGAGGAAATGGAATTTGAGAGGAGGTGGAGTAAAATGGGCTGGGGGAATTAAATGGGAGGGGGGAAAGAAAACGGGGAGGGGGGGGAAAGAAATTAAATGGGATGGGAGGGGGAGGAATTAAATGGGGAGGGGGGAAAGAATAAATGGGAGGGGGGGAGGAATTAAATGGAGGGGAGGAAATTAAAATGAGGAATGGGAGGGGGGGATAGAAATGAAATGGGAGGGGGGGAGGAATTAAATGGGAGGGGGAGGAATTAAATGGGAGGGGGGAAGAAATTAAAATGAGGAATGAAATGAATGAAATTGAGGGGAAAATGAAATTTGAGGGGGGGACAGGAATGAAATTTGAGGGGGAGGGGGAGAGGAATAAATTTGAGGGAGGGGGAGAGGAAGGAAATTTGAGAGGAGGGGAGAGAGGAAGAAAATTTGAGGGACGGGGGAGAGGAAGGAAATTTGAGGGAGGGAGGGGGAGAGGAAGGAAATTTGAGGAGGGAGGGGGGGGAGGGAAGGAAATTTGAGGGAGGGAGGGGGGAGAGGAAGGAAATTTGAGGGAGGGGGGAGAGGAAGGAAATTTGAGGGAGGGGAGAGGAAGGAAATTTGAGGGACGGGGGAGAGGAAGGAAATTTGAGGGACGGAGGGAAAGGAAGAAAATTTGAGGGACAGGGGGACAGGAAGGAAATTGGGGGGACAGGAAGGAAATTGAAGGGGAGAGGAAGGAAATGAGAGGGAGGGGGAGAAGAAGGAAATTGGGAGGGGAAGAAGGAAATTGGAGAGAGGGAGGGAGGGGGAGAAGAAGGAAATTGGAGGGAGGGGGGGAGAAGGAAATTGACGAGGGGGAGGGGGAGAGATTGATATCCATCACACACAATGCACCCCTTGCACACAGAAAAACACACAATGCATTACACACAGACACACATACACAAGCAATGCATCCCTTACACACAGCAACACACAATGCACCCCTTACACACACACAATGCATCCCTTACAGATGCACACACTGCATCCCATACATACACAAACTCATCTTGCAGCCCTTACACATACAAACACAGATTCACACAATGCATTCCTTACACACATCAGGACATCCCCCACACACACACTCCACTCCCTGTGAACAAACTCATTGGTGGAACATGAAGGTTTACCCTGGGACCCAGACCTTGAGCTGTGTAAAGGGCCCTCAAAAAATGGAGCTGCTTCCCGTTCTCCCAGAACAGTGATTTTTGTGACCACAGTTACAAACCGCCTCCAGAGAGCCTGTTGTACACCAGACCAGTGGAGCCAGACGGCAGCTAGAGCCCATCATCATCCTCATCTGGTTGTAAGTAGGAAATCTAGTATATTATTCGTGGCACTAATCTCTAATTTACCTCACATTAAAGGGACACTATAGTCCCCAGAAACACTGCGGTTGTCACGGGCCCAGCAGCCCAGGCCCCACTTGGAGCGACGAAACTGCCGCAGGTGCATCTGCACCAGGGCCCATCAGGTGGCCCAAGCATTTAGGGCCACCCGATGGGCCCTATATCTTCAGGGGTCTGGTCAGCGCTGTGGCCGTGTAATAGCCCGACCGGGCCCCTTAAAAAAAAATTGCGGCTGCAAGTGCTGCTGGGAGGAAGTGACTGCCGGTCACTTCCTCCCAGCTTACTCCACACAGGGGGGGGGAGACAGCCGAGGAGAGGAGAGTGTGTATGTATATGTCAGTATATATGTCTATGTGTGTATGTCAGTATGCATGTATGTTTGTGTATGTCAGTATGTATGTATGTATGTCTGTGTGTGTGTATATCAGTATGCATGTATGTTTGTGTATGTCAGTATGTATGTATGTATGTCTGTGTGTGTGTATGTCAGTATTTATGTATGTATATATCTATCTATCAGTATGTATGTCTGTATGTATGTGTGTATGTATGTATGTCTGTGTGTGTATGTCAGTATGTATGTATGTATATATATATATATATATATATATATCTATTAGTATGTATGTCAGTATGTATGTCTGTGTGTATGTCTCTGTGTGTGTGTGTCTATCTGTATGTATGTCAGTATGCATGTATGTGTGTATGTGTATCTGTATGTATGTCAGTATGCATGTCTGTGTGTGTCACTATGTATATATGTCATTATGTATGCCTGTGTGTGTGTGTGTGTGTGTGTGTGTCAGTATGTATGTCTGTGTGTGTGTCAGTATGTATATATGTCTGTGTGTGTCAGTTTGTATATATCTATCTATCAGTATGTATATGTGCATGTATGTATGTCTGTGTGTGTGTGTGTGTGTGTGTGTATGTCAGTATGTATGTCTATATGTATGTGTGCATGTGTCTATCTGTATGTATGTATGTGTCTATCTGTATGTCAGTATGTATATATGTCAGTATGTATATATGTCTGTGTGTGTGTGTCAGTATGTATATATGTCTGTGTTTGTGTCAGTATGTATGTGTGTATGCATGTATATATCTATCAGTATGTATGTGTGCATGTATGTCTGTGTCTGTGTGTGTGTATGTCAGTATGTATGTCCGTATGTATGTGTGTATGTGTCTATCTGTATGTGTGTGTATGTTAGTATGTATATGTCAGTATGTATATATGTCTCATGTCTATGTGTGTGTGTCAGTATGTATATATGTCTGTGTGTGTGTGTCAGTATGTATGTGTGTATGTATATATCTATCAGTATGTATGTGTGCATGCATGTCTGTGTGTGTGTATGTCAGTATGTATGTCCGTATGTATGTGTGTATATGTATCTGTATGTGTGTGTATGTCAGTATGTATATATGTCATATATGTATGTATGTCTGTGTGTGTGTCAGTATGTATGTGTGTATGTATGTATATATCTATGTGTATATATGTCAGTATGCATGTATGTCTGTGTGTGTATGTCAGTATGTCTGTATGTATCTGTGTATGTATATATCTGTGTGTGTGTGTATGTATGCCATTATGTATGTGTATGTATGTCAGTAAGTATTTATGTGAATGTATGTATGTATGTATGTGTGTGTGTGTCAGTATGTGAGTATGTATATACGTCAGTGTGTGTCTGTATGTCAGTATGTGTGTGTATCTGTATCTCCTTATGCATGTGTATGTGTCTGTATATGTGTGTGTGTCTGTTTCAGTATGTGTGTGTCAGTATACCTGTATGTGTGTATGTCTGTTTCAGTATTTGTGTTTGTTAGTATGTGTGTATCTTTCTGTGTGTGTGTCTGTGTCCTTTTGTGTCTGTGTTTGTGTATTCCTGTGGGCGGGAATTGGAGGCGGGGCTTGGAGGCGGGCACCTGGGGGCCCAGACCTTGAGCTGTGTTAGGGGCCCCACAATTTCTGATGGCGGCCCTGGTGACGAACTTTAGGAAACAGTGATACTTGATCCCAGGGGACAATCCAAACCTTCTCCCCTGTACCTCTTTTACTAAACTCTAATAAGACAAGGTGACATCTCATCTAATTAAAGGGACACTCCAGTCACCCAGACCACTTCTGCCCATTGGAGTGATCTGGGTGCCAACTCCCTTAAAGGACCACTATAGTGCCAGGAAAACATACTCTTTTTCCTGACTCTATAGCCGGCGGCCGCACATGCTCAATAGGTCTCCTTCCGACGGATGACGTTGGCAGGGGAGGAGCGTGGGTGGACCCTGACCCAGTGCCGAGGGACATCGACGCTGGATACAGGTAAGTCACTGAAGGGGTTTTAACCCTTGGGATAGGGGGTGGGAGGGAGAGGGGACCAGCAGTGTGCCAGGAAAACCGTTTGTTTTCCTGGCACTGGAGAGTCCCTTTAATGATGGTGTCACAGTGTTAGATATCTTGTGAATGAGACATTAAAGGTTCTGTCACAGTTTTTATGATGTTAGGAACTTGTCCCTCAATACTTAGTCATCTAGCTCATCAGTCTAGCTTCCCTACTGATCCACCCCAGTATTTCTACAGCAGGAGCAAACCCAGCCGGTGGAGGTAACCTTAGTCTCGCTCACTTGTAGGAGCAGTACTGTAATTTATGACTAATTTCATATCACACAGGGTTATTTACTTAAGTGACAACTGATGGGAATTCAAAGTGAATTTAAAATTACAGCCAAAAAAAGCAAACCGTAAGCATTATTGACTTGGAGAATGTTTTCACATCAGCTAGTTTAGTCGTAAATTTGAAATGCACTTTGAATTCCCAACCTTTCTCAGTTTAGTAAATAATCCTGGCACTATCTACATTCCTGAGAGGGACCTTCCCTTTCCCCCTTCTCCGCAAGCTAGCATTGTTTCAGGATATTGAGAACACAAGACCTTTAAAAGATTCTATTCGGTTACCTTTCCGTCGGCTCTCTTCAAACTCCCTCCTGGCTGTATCAATGTATCTCTGCACCAGAGCTTTGATCACCTGCAAGCGATAAGCGGCCCGGCTCTCTCCATACAAATCACCACCACTGTTAGACTGATCAAATAAATGGTTTCACACACCAAATAGTCAGTAACTAACAGTAAAATAAATTCTGTAAATTAAGCAATTTCTTTCAATACTACATATGTATGCAGTTATATGAACTTATAACAATTGATGGTAATAAATTATCAGTACTAATTCAGAGCATTCAGAGATTAATAATCTATTATCAATACTAATTCAGAGCATTCAGAGATTAATAATCCATTATTAATGCTAACTCAGAGCAGGCAGAGATTAATAATCCATTATCAATACTAACTCAGAGACGGCAGAGATTAATAATCTATTATCAATACTAACTCAGTGATGGCAGAGATTAATAATTCATTATCAATACTAACGCAGAGCAGGCAGAGATTAATAATCCATTATCAATACTAACTCAGCGACGGCAGAGATTAATAATCTGTTATCAATACTAACTCTGAGAAGGCATAGATTAATAATCTATTATCAATACTAACTCAGAGAAGGCAGAGATCAATAATCCATTATCAATACTAACTCAGAGACGGCAGAGATTAATAATCCATTATCAATACTAACTCAGACGGCAGAGATTAATAATCTATTATCAATACTAACTCAGAGCAGGCAGAGATCAATAATCCATTATCAATACTAACTCAGAGATGGCAGAGATTAATAATCTATTATCAATACTAACTCAGAGCAGGCAGAGATCAATAATCCATTATCAATACTAACTCAGAGATGGCAGAGATTAATAATCTATTATCAATACTAATTCAGAGCATTCAGAGATTAATAATCCATTATTAATGCTAACTCAGAGCAGGCAGAGATTAATAATCCATTATCAATACTAACTCAGAGACGGCAGAGATTAATAATCTATTATCAATACTAACTCAGTGATGGCAGAGATTAATAATTCATTATCAATACTAACTCAGAGCAGGCAGAGATTAGTAATCTATTATCAATACTAACGCAGAGCAGGCAGAGATTAATAATCCATTATCAATACTAACTCAGTGACGGCAGAGATTAATAATCTGTTATCAATACTAACTCTGAGAAGGCATAGATTAATAATCTATTATCAATACTAACTCAGAGCAGGCAGAGATCAATAATCCATTATCAATACTAACTCAGAGACGGCAGAGATTAATAATCCATTATCAATACTAAATCAGACGGCAGAGATTAATAATCTATTATCAATACTAACTCAGAGCAGGCAGAGATCAAAATCCATTATCAATACTAACTCAGAGACGGCAGAGATTAATAATCTATTATCAATACTAACTCAGAGCAGGCAGAGATCAATAATCCATTATCAATACTAACTCAGAGACGGCAGAGATTAATAATCTATTATCAATACTAACTCAGAGCAGGCAGAGATCAATAATCCATTATCAATACTAACTCAGAGACTGCAGAGATTAATAATCTATTATCAATACTAACTCAGAGCAGGCAGAGATCAATAATCCATTATCAATACTAACGAGGAGACGGCAGAGATTAATAATCTATTATCAATACTAAAGCAGAGCAGGCAGAGATCAATAATCTATTATCAATACTAACTCAGAGACAGCAGAGATTAATAATCCATTATCAATACTAACTCCGAGATGGCATAGATTAATAATCTGTTATCAATACTAACTCAGAACAGGCAGAGATTAATAATCCATTATCAATACTAACTCAGAGATGGCAGAGATTAATAATCCATTATCAATACTAACTCAGAGACGGCAGAGATTAATAATCCATTATCAATACTAACGTAGAGATGGCAGAGATCAATAATCCATTATGAATACTAACGCAGAGCAGGCAGAGATTAATAATCCATTATCAATACTAACTCAGAGCAGGCAGAGATCAATAATCCATTATCAATACTAACTCAGAGACGGCAGAGATTAATAATCCATTATCAATACTAACTCAGAGACGGCAGAGATCAATAATCCATTATCAATACTAACTCAGAGACGGCAGAGATTAATAATCCCATCAATACGAACCCAGAGACGCAGAGAGAGCAGGCAGAGATAATCCAATAATCAACCACATCAATATCAATACTAACTCAGAGACGGCAGAGATTAATAATATCAATACCAACTCAGAGCAGAGACTAATAACCACATCAATACTAACTCAGAGACGCAGAGATCAATAATCCAATTATCAATACTAACTCAGAGACGGCAGAGATCAATAATCCATTATCAATACTAACTCAGAGAGGCAGAGATCAATAATCCATCAATACAATCAGAGACGCAGAGATTACTAATCCATCAATACTAACCAGAGAGGCAGAGATCAATAATCACATCAATACTAACCAGAGACAGAGATCAATAATCCATATCAATACTAACCCAGAGACGGCAGAGATCAATAATCCACATCAATACCAACTCAGAGATGCAGATCACAATCCATTATCAATACTAACTCAGAGACGCAGAGATCAATAATCCACATCAATACCAACCCAGACGCAGAGATCAACAATCCACATCAATCACAACCCAGAAACGCAGAGATAATAATCCATATCAATACTAACTCAGAGACGGCAGAGATCAATAATCCATATCAATACTAACTCAGATACGCAGAGATGAATAACCATTATCAATACTAACGAGACGCAGAGATTAATAATCCATTATAAATACTAACCAGAGACGCAGAGACACAATAATATCAATACTAACCCAGAAACGCAGAGACACGAACCATCAATACTAACCCAGAAACGCAGAGATTAATAATCTCAATACAACCAGAGCAGGCAGAGATCAATAATCCATCACCAACCCAGAGACGCAGATCAATAATCCATATCAATACTAACCCAGAAACGCAGATCAATAATCCATTATCAATACTAACTCAAAGACGGCAGAGATCAATAATCCATTATCAATACTAACTCAGAAACGGCAGAGATCAATAATCCATTATCAATACTAATGCAGAGACGGCAGAGATCAATAATCCATTATCAATACTAACTCAGAGACGGCAGAGATCAATAATCCATTATCAATACTAACTCAGAAACGGCAGAGATCAATAATCCATTATCAATACTAACTCAAAGACGGCAGAGATCAATAATCCATTATCAATACTAACTCAGAAACGGCAGAGATCAATAATCCATTATCAATACTAATGCAGAGACGGCAGAGATCAATAATCCATTATCAATACTAACTCAGAGACTGCAGAGATCAATAATCCATTATCAATACTAACTCAGAAACGGCAGAGATCAATAATCCATTATCAATACTAACTCAGAAACGGCAGAGATTAATAATCCATTATCAATACTAACTCCGAGACGGCAGAGATCAATAATCCATTATCAATACTAACGCAGAAACGGCAGAGATTAATAATCCATTATCAATACCAACTCCGAGATGGCATAGATTAATAATCCATTATCAATATTAACGCAGAGACGGCAGAGATCAATAATCCATTATCAATACTAACTCAGAGACGGCAGAGATCAATAATCCATTATCAATACTAACTCAGAAACGGCAGAGATTAATAATCTATTATCAATACTAACTCAGAGACGGCAGAGATCAATAATCCATTATCAATACTAACTCAGAAACGGCAGAGATTAATAATCCATTATCAATACTAACTCAGAGACGGCAGAGATTAATAATCCATTATCAATACTAACTCAGAGATGGCAGAGATTAATAATCTATTATCAATACTAACGCAGAGACGGCAGAGATCAATAATCCATTATCAATACTAACTCAAAGACGGCAGAGATCAATAATCCATTATCAATACTAACTCAGAGATGGCAGAGATCAATAATCCATTATCAATACTAACTCAGAGATGGCAGAGATCAATAATCCATTATCAATACTAACCCAGAGATGGCAGAGATTAATAATCCATTATCAATACTAACTCAAAGACGGCAGAGATCAATAATCCATTATCAATAATCCATTATCAATACTAACTCAAAGACGGCAGAGATCAATAATCCATTATCAATACTAACTCAGAGACGGCAGAGATCAATAATCCATTATCAATACTAACTCAGAAACGGCAGAGATTAATAATCCATTATCAATACTAACTCAGAGACGGCAGAGATTAATAATCCATTATCAATACTAACTCAGAGATGGCAGAGATTAATAATCTATTATCAATACTAACGCAGAGACGGCAGAGATCAATAATCCATTATCAATACTAACTCAAAGACGGCAGAGATCAATAATCCATTATCAATACTAACTCAGAGATGGCAGAGATTAATAATCTATTATCAATACTAACTCAGAGCAGGCAGAGATTAATAATCCATTATCAATACTAACTCAGAGATGGCAGAGATTAATAATCCATTATCAATACTAACTCAGACGGCAGAGATTAATAATCCATTGTCAATACTAACTCAGAGACGGCAGAGATTAGTAATGACCAGGTTCACTGAAGCTCACTCTGACAGCTGAGATAATCACTAAATAATAAAGGTGTCAGGTCATAACTATAACTTTCTACCCTAATTCAATGCAGATTATGCCCATAGTCTCAGTCCGTAAAGCAATCTAATGTAACCAAATAGAGTTTCTTTCACTTACAATTGTTGAGATTGGAGGATATTCTTGTTTTTTCTTGGGTTTGTAACAGCACAGGAATCTGAATATGGCTCTGTAGGTGGACAAGCAGCAGGTAAATACAAACAGATTTGTGATACAATTTAATCCACAGTATTTGGGAGATTATCAGATTACAGATTTATAGGAACTCTGCTTTAATTTTGTGACCCAATTCAGAGGATTTGTGGAATTTTAAATCCAAAAACACACGAAGTGATATCTTCTAAACACTTTATTCCCAGAATAAAAACAGCAATGAACATTCATTCAATAAACATTATCGTTGGAAACACTCATCATCCCACTTTTTACATCTCTTGCTGTGTTAGCCCTCCATCCCAGCTATATCTCCCACGGAATCAGCAAACATCTCAATACATAATATACAGAGATATAGAGAGCTTGTGGTGAATCCATGAATAAGTCACGACCTAGCTAAATTTTTTTCTTCCATTTAAGTGTGGCCAGCTGTCTGTCCTAGTTCTGCTGAAAGACAGACGGGGAGCCATGTTATTTAGAGATAAGAGCAGCTTTCAATATCCCATTTGGTGGGTGACAAGTTATTTGATCAATGAAACCCAATCAAATCTCTGATATTATTTCTACATAGGCTGTATTTGCTACCCAGAACACTATAATACATTTTGGTCTCACATTAGTTCTGTTGAGTAATTTATAATATGTTATGTTTATAGCATTACTCAAATGTCAGCTAAAATGAACAATACAAAAATTAATTTCCAATCTCCTAATTATCTAAAGGTGGAAATTCAGGTCAGTATCATCTCACAACATTATTAGGAAGCCTGAAAATTGGGGTCGTCAAAGGGAGGAGTGTAGTGCAGGCACTTTTTGAAACTGGATTAATAGACAATCAACCATTGACCACCATTTTAAAACAATTTACCTGAGCACGTAGAACAGAGCTTTGGGTGTGGGGATGATATTAAAGGGCACAGGCAGTGTCAGCCCCTCTCTGAAATAAGACAGGTATAGCTTGGAACGGGCGAATTTCCATTCAACGTCTGCGTCGTCCTGCAAAGTGAAACGCGTATAGCAATGACCAGAAAGCCGAATTCTGTTATATAGTCTATATCCAGTACTAGTTACAATGTTTCCCAATATGGACAGCTTTTTTTAAGCTAAATTTGGCTAGATGGGTCTCTAGAAACTATGAAACCAAGTTTTTATGCACAAACCCCCATGTTTAGCAGGTAGGCAAAGTAGGGGTGCATACATTCCCCTGAATATTGGAAACACATTACAGTGCCTTGCAAAAGTATTCACCCCCCTTGGCATTTTTCGTGTTTTGTTGTCTCACAACCTGGAATTAACATGGATTTTTTGAGGATTTGCTTCATTTAATTTACAGAACATGCCCACAACTTTGAGGATTTTTTTTTCAACTTTATAAAGCAAACAACAAATAGGACAAAATCACAGAGAAATTCAATGTGAATAACTATTCATCCCCCTAAAGTAAATACTTTGTAGAGCCACCTTTTGCGGCAATTACAGCTCCAAGTCACTTTGGATAAGTCTCTATGAGCTTACCACATCTTTCCACTGGGGTTTTTGCCCATTCCTCCTTGCAAAACTGCTCCAGCTCCTCCAAATGGATGGTTTGCGCTTGTGAACAGAAATCTTTAAGTCTGACCACAGATTTTCTATTGGACTGAGGTGTGGGCTATGACTAGGCCATTCCAACACATTTACATGCTTCTCCTTAAACCACTCAAGTGTTGCCTTAGCAGTATGTTTAGGGTCATTGTCCTGCTGGAAGGTGAACCTCCGTCCTAGCCTCAAATCACGCACAGAGTGGTACAGGTTTTGCTCAAGAATATCCCTGTATTTAGCACCATCCATCTTTCCCTCAACTCTGACCAGTTTCCCAGTCCGGCTGCTAAAAAACATCCCCACAGCATGATGCTGCCACCACAGTGTTTCAATGTGGGGATGGTGTTCTTTGGGTGATGTGATGTGTTGGGTTTGCGCCAGACATAGCTTTTTCTTTGATGGCCGAAAAGTTCAATTTTAGTCTCATTAGACCAGAGCACCTTCCTCCATACATTTTGGGAGTCTCCCACATGCCTTTTCGTAAACTCAAAACGTGCCATTTTGTTTTTTGCTGAAAGTAATGGCTTTCTTCTGGTCACTCTGCCATAAAGCCCAACTCTATGGAGCGTACGGCTTATTGTCGTCCTATGTACAGATACTCCAATCTCTGCTGTGGAACTCTGCAGCTCCTGCAGGGTTATCTTAGGTCTCTGTGCTGCCTCTCTCATTAATGCCCTCCTTGCCCGGTCTGTGAGTTTTGGTGGGCGGCCGTCTCTTGGCAGGTTTGCTGTTGTGCCATGTTCTTTCCATGTGGTTATGATAGATTTGATGGTGCTCCTGGGGATCATCAAAGATTTGGATATTTTTTTATAACCTAACCCTGACTTGTGCTTCTCAACAACATTGTCCCTTACTTTTTTGGAGAGTTCCTTGGTCTTCATGGCAGTGTTTGGTTAGTGGTGCCTCTTGCTTAGGTGTTGCAGCCTGTGGGGCCTTTCAAAAACGGTGTGTATATGTAATGACAGATCATGTGACACTTTGATTACACACAGGTGGACATCATTTCACTAATTATGTGACTTCTGAAGGTAATTGGTTGCACCAGAGCTTTCTATGGGGTTTATAACAAAGGGGTGAATACATACGCATATGCCAATTTTCTGGTTTCTATTTCTAAAAAATAGTTTTATGTTTATATTTTTCTCATTTCACTTCACCAACTTAGACTATTGTGTTCTGGTCCATCACATAAAATTCAGATGAATAAAACATTGAACTTAAGGCTGTAATGTAACAAAATAGGTAAAAAGTCAAGGGGGTGAATACTTTTGCAAGGCACTGTATATCAATTAGAATTTAATCAAGGAGTAGAAACTGCCTCTTATATTAGCCTCAATTTAATATTTTAGGGAGAAAAGTTTCAAATGAGTTAATATTTTTAATCAAATATTTTCATAATTTGATATTTTTTAAATATTGATGGTTTATATATATATAGAGAGAGAGAAAGAGATTTATTTATGTTTTGTCTATTTTAAAAAAATATATATTTTAAAACGTATAGAACATATTAAATCATTTGAAAAGCTCATTCAAAAATATTAAATCAGGACCATATCATAGTTGGTAATGTAAGATGTTTCTTATCTTCCATTGAGGTAGAATTTGTGACAAAAATTCAAATGTATCTTAGGAAACGCGAAAAGCTGGTGGGTGCAGTGATAATCCCACTGAATTGGTGGAATGTGTAGGGCAAGTGGGTGCAGTGATCATTTGTGATTATCCCACTGAGTAGGGCAAGTGGGTGCAGTGATCATTTGAATGAGTAAAATAAGTAATGCACATGTACAAATATAGCGCAGATTATATCGGAGTTCTCACAAGCGGCACAAGTACCAAAAGGCAGAGGTATTTTGCCCCTGCTGCCCCTAGTTGCTCCTCCCCTGCTTTGTGATTGGATAGATGTACATAGCATGGGGAGTCCCATAGCCTGACTGATTGGAAAAGTGGTGTAACGCCAATTGGAATGTCACTGGGTTAACCTTTTCGGAGAGCATTCAGCCAATCACAATGTAGGAGAGTGTTACAAAAGACTGGAAATAACTATGTTATTGTTTAATAACCAATGGATACTGTTTGTCCCTGTATAAGTTTAAACCGAAAGAAGCACGAATGGATTACTCAAACCATTATAAAGACTCCATTCGTGGTACGAACAGGGGACCCCCCAGAGGTTGGCGTGTGCCGCCACTTAACCCCGTCACCCCGCAAACTACCGAACGGTCGACCACCCGGCCAGCGGCGTGTGGCAGCCATTAACCACCCAGGCGGCTGCGGTTTGCGGTTAACCACAACTTAATTGATAGGCCTGGGGGCATCGACGTTCGCACCTAAAGTACCGAACGGAATCTACCGAACTATCAACCGAACGCCGACCCCCTACAGCAGGTCGCGTGGCGATCATTAACTTGTGGTTTCTGCGGTTAACCGCAGGTCAAGTACCCTTCTACCAGGTGGTCCTCGTTCACGTACCGAACGAGTTCCACTACCAGAGAGACAGCGGGGCTTCGCATGAACTGGTACCCGAGTTAGAAGCGAGGTCCCGCTGCCCGCTAAATCATCAGAAAACATGGCCGCCAACAGAGACTCACAATCCAAAATGCCGAACGGACTTTATACGGCAGAAACAGTCCATTCTGTTCGTGGGATTGGAGCGCCATTCGCATGTTTAATATATACGAACGCGAGCCTTTAGATGAATGGTAGAATGAGTGGTTTCCCTGTATTAATGTAAAAGTTATGGATTTTTATGCAGTTTTCTGGGACATAATAAAACGTGGTCTTTTGTGCGCTTGGAGATAATTAGATTGTATAACCGTTGGCCTCATTATCTCCAAGCTGGGCGGGTACTAATTCAAATAATACACTGGATTGTGATTGGATATTTGTCTGTACTGTACCTGTATTCCATCAGGTCCACAGGGGGCTGTCCTTGGACCTGAGGAATCACATAAATTGCCATGCTATGTGCCAGTAAAGCCAGTTCGTTTTGACCCTCAACTTGCAGCCTCGACTCATGTTGTAGGGATCCGGGATATTAATGCTTATATCATGCTTGGGGATATTCTACACTTACAGCTTACTACCGAAAGACCTCCTTTCGACTCTCTGCAGCGGGAACCAGGACATCCAAGCGATCAACCCTCCTGCTAGACTGGGGGCAATCGTAACAGAGAGGGCCAGACGAAGTCATGTAGACATATAACACCTTTTTAGTATTTTCTCTCTTCCAATAAGTCAATGAGTATTATACAAAGTAACAAATACAGATTTTAGTTCTTAAAAGGTACATCTTAAATCTCACAACAGCAAATTAATAAAACTTGAGTTTTCACATTATATAATTGTGTCCTTGCAACATGGCTACCTTAAAAGCAACTTGTTATCCAGCCATGTGCGTTAAATAGGTCCAGTTCATGGGGTAAACTTTAAGGGCTTAGTGCAGACCAGCAGAAGTTACTGACCTCAATCTTCTGGAAGGAATTAGTGATCATAGCAATGAGCATGTTCAGAAGGACGATGACCATGACTATGGTAAACAGACCATAGAGAGCCCGGCCAACAAACTCAGCCACCACAAAGTGATTCATGTCCACCGTAGTCCTTTCTACCATCTGAAACATGGTCCAGAAAAGGAACTGGAAGGTCTCGTTAAAGCTAAAAACATGAAACAAGTAATTATTAAAGATAAACTGTCACTTCTCTGGAATTTACACTATTGAATAAAACTAAGAAGATCACCTAGAACAGTTGTTAACCTTTTTCCATTATACATTCTGTTTTATATTAAATTGATATTAAAGATTTAACAAATTACATCATAAACCAGTTCAGTCAAGGCAAAACCAAGCAAACATTGGAAATTAAGAAGAGAAATAGAAACATTGTTTGCTTTCTCTATGTTTCACGACCGGTCCACCACGCCGCCGTCAGTACTCACCAGCTCCGATGAAGGACACCACATCTTCTCTGTGTCTCCCTGACCTCAAAGTCCTCCCCTCATGGCCTGGGTTCCTTGGCATCCTCTAACATGTCCACAGAGGGGTGAATGCTGGTGATGTAATTTCTGGGTGTGACCAGGATGTGAGTACCCAATAAATCTCCAGCATTTAAAGAAATTTAGGGGACGAGCCAGAGAATGGGAGTGATAATGACAAGTCACTGAAAGGCATGTGTGACTTCCCCTCCCTATTTACATCCCACGTTAGCACTGGAGCACAACTCAGATGCTAGTGAAACTACTGCGACCCTGTGCTGTCTGAACGACCTCTCGTTCTGAAATAATATTTTCATGTTTGCCCCCTCCCCACCCACATGCTGCTGCTCAGCTTTCTGGTTACCCTGTAGAGGTAGAGATTAATCTATGAACGACGGCATGTAGAACTATATCCTACATCCATTTGTAATATTCTTTTTATTGTCACAATCCAATATCAGGGGCTTCTATCCCGTTGTACAGCACTACGGAATCTGCAAGCGCTATATAAATAATAAAATAAAAATAATAATAACATCTGGTTAATTAATGTATTACATTCTCGTTATTATTTTTCCGCCATAAATGTTGTCCTTATAAAGTTTTTACTGTATTTTTAGTTTTTTAAAACATCTGAGTCTTTATCTCTGTGTCTAAAGGTCCGATCCAGTGGCCTTTTTAAAAAATACACATTATTTTGTCTGTGTTTTTCATTTGTTTTATAGGATTTAATAGAATGTAATAGGTTAAACAGAGTGGTAAAACTCCAATGACCAATATCTTTGTCATTCTTAATGGGAAATAAAACAAAAACACTAATTTAAAGGTACACTATAGTCACTAAAACAACTTTAGCTTAATGAACCAGTTTTGGTATATATATCATGCCCCTACGGTGTCACTGCTCAATTCTCTGTCATGTATGAGTTAAATAACTTTTGTTTCTGTTTTTTGCTGCCCTAGTCACACCTCCCCTGGCTGTGACTGATGGTGTCATTTTCAATCAGATTTTAACTTCTTAATTTTATCTCCTGCTCTGTAAATTAAATTTAATCAGGAGGGCTAGCAAGCTATTGACAAAGCAGGACATTCTAAATTAAGCAAACTGTGCAATAAATGAAGTGTAAACATTAGATCTCACTTTACAGGAAATGTTTTGTAAGGCTGGGTAAGTCACATGCAGGAGGGTGTGACTAGTGCTGTATAATCACAGTTATTTAACATCTAAATGACAGAGAATTGAGTAGTAGTGATGCACTGAACGGTCCTGGCGAACATAGCGTGTTCGCGTTCGCCACGGTGGGCGAACATATGCGCGGTTCGATCCGCCCCCTATTCGTCATCATTGAGTAAACTTTGACCCTGTACCTCACAGTCAGCAGACACATTCCAGCCAATTAGCAGCACACCCTCCCTAGCAGACCCTCCCACCTACTGGACAGCATCCATTTTAGATTCATTCTCAAGCTGCATGCTTAGTGAGAGGAGGGAAAGTGTAGCTGCTGTTGATTTGAAAGGGAAATGGATAGCTAGGTTAGTGTATACAGTGTCCACTACAGTCCTGAAGGACTCATCTGATCTCTGCTGTAAGGACAGCACCCCAAAAAGCCCTTTTTAGGGCTAGAACATCAGTCTGCTTTTTTTTCCTGTAATGTAATTGCAGTTGCCTGCCTGCCAGCCTGTGTGTCAGGCTCACAGTGGATACTGTGCCCACTTGCCCAGTGCCACCACTCACTCACTGGTGTCACAATAGCTTGCATTTAAATTTTTTTTCTTTTCACTATAATAGATTGAATAGCAGTTAGTTGTCTGCCAGCTTCTGTGTCAGGCTCACAGTGGATACTGTGCCCACTTGCCCAGTGCCACCACTCACTCACTGGTGTCACAATAGCTTGCATTTAAAAAATTTTTTTTCACTATAATAGATTGAATAGCAGTTAGTTGTCTGCCAGCTTCTGTGTCAGGCTCACAGTGGATACTGTGCCCACTTGCCAGTGCCACCACTCACTCACTGGTGTCACAATAGCTTGCATTTAATTTTTTTTTTTTTCACTATAATAGATTGAATAGCAGTTAGTTGTCTGCCAGCTTCTGTGTCAGGCTCACAGTGGATACTGTGCCCACTTGCCCAGTGCCACCACTCACTCACTGGTGTCACAATAGCTTGCATTTAAAAAAAAATTTTTTTTCACTATAATAGATTGAATAGCAGTTAGTTGTCTGCCAGCTTCTGTGTCAGGCTCACAGTGGATACTGTGCCCACTTGCCCAGTGCCACCACTCACTCACTGGTGTCACAATAGCTTGCATTTAAAAAAAAATATTTTTTTTTCACTATGATAGATTGAATAGCAGTTAGTTGTCTGCCAGCTTCTGTGTCAGGCTCACAGTGGACACTGTGCCCACTTGCCCAGTGCCACCACTCACTCACTGGTGTCACAATAGCGTGCATTTAAAAACCCAAAAACTTTTTTCACTGTTATAGATTGAATAGCAGTTAGTTGTCTCCAAGCGTCTGTGTGTCAGGCCTACAACGTGTACTCTGCCAACCTTTGCCAGTTCAAAGTGCCACTCTTATCTGGTGTCACAATAGCGTGCATTTAAAAACCAAAATATTTTTTTTCACTGTAATAGATTGAATAGCAGTTAGTTGTCTGCAAGCGTCTGTGTGTCAGGCTTGCAGCGTATAGTGTGCCTACTTGCCCAATGCCACCACTCACTCACTGGTGTCACAATAGCGTGCATTTAAAAACCCCAAAACGTTTTTCACTGTTATAGATTGAATAGCAGTTAGTTGCCCCCCTTATCCTTATTTACTGAATATTCCCCTGTATAACAATGTTTGGCATTTAGTGAATATTCCCTATTCTGCTCTGTGTCAGTGTGTATCAGGGATCCTTAGGATAGGTGTCAATCCATATCTGCCAAGTGACCTTATATAGGGGGAACATTCCCTATTCTGCTCTGTGTCAGTGTGTATCAGGGATCCTGAGGATAGGTGTCAATCCATATCTGCCAAGTGACCCTATGTAGGGGGAACAGTCCCTATTCTGCTCTGTGTCAGTGTGTATCAGGGATCCTGAGGATAGGTGTCAATCCATATCTGCCAAGTGACCCTATGTAGGGGGAACAGTCCCTATTCTGCTCTGTGTCAGTGTTTATCAGGGATCCTTAGGAAGGTGTCAATCCATATCTGCCAAGTGACCCTATGTAGGGGGAACAGTCCCTATTCTGCTCTGTGTCAGTGTTTATCAGGGATCCTTAGGAAGGTGTCAATACACATCTGCCAAGTGACCCTATGTAGGGGGAACAGTCCCTATTCTGCTCTGTGTCAGTGTGTATCAGGGATCCTGAGGATAGGTGTCAATCCATATCTGTCAAGTGACCCTATGTAGGGGGAACAGTCCCTATTCTGCTCTGTGTCAGTGTGTATCAGGGATCCTGAGGATAGGTGTCAATCCATATCTGCCAAGTGACCCTATGTAGGGGGAACAGTCCCTATTCTGCTCTGTGTCAGTGTGTATCAGGGATCCTGAGGATAGGTGTCAATCCATATCTGCCAAGTGACCCTATGTAGGGGGAACAGTCCCTATTCTGCTCTGTGTCAGTGTGTATCAGGGATCCTTAGGATAGGTGTCAATCCATATCTGCCAAGTGACCCTATGTAGGGGGAACAGTCCCTATTCTGCTCTGTGTCAGTGTGTATCAGGGATCCTGAGGATAGGTGTCAATCCATATCTGCCAAGTGACCCTATGTAGGGGGAACAGTCCCTATTCTGCTCTGTGTCAGTGTGTATCAAGGATCCTGAGGATAGGTGTCAATCCATACCTGCCAAGTGACCCTATGTAGGGGGAACAGTCCCTATTCTGCTCTGTGTCAGTGTGTATCAGGGATCCTGAGGATAGGTGTCAATCCATATCTGCCAAGTGACTCTATGTAAGGGGACAGTCCCTATTCTGCTCTGTGTCAGTGTGTATCAGGGATCCTGAGGATAGGTGTCAATCCATATCTGCCAAGTGACCCTATGTAGGGGGAACAATCCCTATTCTGCTCTGTGTCAGTGTGTATCAGGGATCCTGAGGATAGATGTCAATCCATATCTGCCAAGTGACCCTATGTAGGGGGAACATTCCCTATTCTGCTCTGTGTCAGTGTGTATCAGGGATGCTGAGGATAGGTGTCAATCCATATCTGCCAAGTGACCCTATGTAGGGGGAACAGTCCCTATTCTGCTCTGTGTCAGTGTGTATCAGGGATCCTGAGGATGGGTGTCAATCCATATCTGCCAAGTGACCCTATGTAGGGGGAACAGTCCCTATTCTGCTCTGTGTCAGTGTGTATCAGGGATCCTTAGGATAGGTGTCAATCCATATCTGCCAAGTGACCCTATGTAGGGGGAACAGTCCCTATTCTGCTCTGTGCCAGTGTTTATCAGGGATCCTTAGGAAGGTGTCAATACACATCTGCCAAGTGACCCTATGTAGGGGGAACAGTCCCTATTCTGCTCTGTGTCAGTGTTTATCAGGGATCCTTAGGAAGGTGTCAATCCATATCTGCCAAGTGACCCTATGTAGGGGGAACAGTCCCTATTCTGCTCTGTGTCAGTGTGTATCAGGGATCTGAGGACAGGTGTCAATCCATATCTGTCAAGTGACCCTATGTAGGAGGACCAGTCCCTATTCTGCTCTGTGTCAGTGTGTATCAGGGATCCCTAGGACAGGTGTCAATCCATATCTGCCAAGTGACCCTATGTAGGGGGAACAGTCCCTATTCTGCTCTGTGTCAGTGTGTATCAGGGATCCTTAGGAGAGGGTCAATCCATATCTGCCAAGTGACCCTATGTAGGGGGAACAGTCCCTATTCTGCTCTGTGTCAGTGTGTCTCTGGGATCCTTAGGATAGGTGTCAATCCAAAGCTGCCAAGTCACCCTATGTAGGGGGAACAGTCCCTATTCTGCTCTGTGTCATTGTGTATCAGGGATCCTGAGGATAGGTGTCAATCCATATCTGCCAAGTGACCCTATGTAGGGGGAACAGTCCCTATTCTGCTCTGTATCAGTGTGTATCAGGGATCCTGAGGATATGTGTCAATCCATATCTGCCAAGTGACCATATGTAGGGGGAACAGTCCCTATTCTGCTCTGTGTCAGTGTGTATCAGGGATTCTTAGGATAGGTGTCAATCCATATCTGCCAAGTGACTCTATGTAGTGGGAACAGTCCCTATTCTGCTCTGTGTCAGTGTGTATCAGGGATCCTGAGGATAGGTGTCAATCCATATCTGCCAAGTGACCCTATGTAGGTGGAACAGTCCCTATTCTGCTCTGTGTCAGTGTGTATCAGGGATCCTGAGGATAGATGTCAATCCATATCTGCCAATTTACCCTATGTAGGGGGAACAGTCCCTATTCTGCTCTGTGTCAGTGTGTATCAGGGATCCTGAGGATAGGTGTCAATTCATATCTGCCAAGTGACCCTATGTATGGGGAACAGTCCCTCTTCTGCTCTGTGTCAGTGTGTATCAGGGTCTCTGAGGACAGGTGTCAATCCATATTTCAAGATGTCAATATGCCATATGTCAGGTGTCAATCCATATCCATTGTGATTTAGGAATGTTAGGTGATTTATGCTCTTCATGGATTAAGACCAGACTCTGCATCAACTGTGTAATTTTCCATGGGAGTTTTGCCATGGATCCCCCTCCGGCATGCCAAAGTCCAGGTGTTAGTCCCCTTGAAACAACTTTTCCATCACTATTGTGGCCAGAAAGAGTCCCTGTGTGTTTTAAAATTCGCCTGCCCATTGAAGTCTATGGCGGTTCGCCGGTTCGCCGGTTCGCGAACATTTGTGGAAGTTCGCGTTCGCCGTTCGCGAACCGAAAATTTCGTGTTCGCGACATCACTATTGAGCAGTGAGTCTACAGGGGCATGATCAATACACCAAAACTGTGTCATTAAGCTAGAGCTCCTCAACCCTATCCTGAAAGCACACCTAACAGTCCAGGATTTAGGGATTACCTGGGTGTGTCTAAGGTGTTTAAAAAAAAACACCTTAGATTCATTTTATCAACTGATCTTACCACTAGCAGTCAATAGGATACAGATGGATTAATATTGGTATGTTTTTTTAAAAAAATGTATTATATGATGAGCTTGTTATAATTGCTAGGTTCTCATACTTATGGATACAATTTATTCTAATAGTTTATTGCTGTAATGTTTATTGTTAGCATGCCTGGGATATTCTGAGGGTCCTTTTCTGAAAATTGCTATTATTATCTTAATTTATTTTAAGGTTAATCTGAAACCCAGTGTGAGTAGAATGAATGAACCTGTTGCTATATTCTCGATAAAACGCACTAATGTGTGCAGTTTTGCACTTGTTGCCTTGCCAACCAGAGCATTTTTTTGTGTTCCTGACAACTTTTGTCTTACCTCCACTCTCTATATAATGCTGCACTGTACAGAGCCCTCCAGTGGCTCCTCTTCCAAGCAAGGGGAACATTTATGGTTTTTCTATTGATCTGGAAAGCTGCCAATATTTCAGGACAGTGCACATATTGGCTGGTCCTTTGGTTCCCTCACTATTGACCAAGGGCTAGGACTTGCAGGACCTGAGTAACCTGGCCAATCACCTGAGCATCCACTCTTTGATATCTACATGTGCTTCTACCAGGGCCTCCAACATCTGTCACACTGCTGCCAAAATCTTCTGTTCTCTTATTCCTCTCCATGAACCAGCTGCTGTCTCTAAAAGCATTAACAATGTCAGCTCTGTCCTCTGCAACTGGACATCTTGCCCCCATTCCCTGCTGCTGTGGCTGAAGGTCTGAAAGAGTCAGACCTTCATGACTTGAAGAAAACAGACCATAACAGACTGGGTTTGGAGTTTCTTGTCTCATTGTCTACACCTAAAAATACTTGGCCAGATACCATGTCTGCCGTCTGCTGGGTGAATTGTTTGATGATGCAGTCTAGAAAGTTATGGTATCCTATTACCACACATCCATCTTTGCTTTAAATTGTCTGGGCAATGCAAGGTATCTTCTCTCCAGCACAAAAAATAGATATGAAGATTTGGGGAGGAACACAAATATTGTAGATTGTTATGATGTAGTGTAGCTGTTCTAACAATGCACCTTAGTGGTTATGGTGGCAGGACTCCAAACCAAAGTCAACATCCAAACAGTTTATGACGCAGTTCACCCCAAATGGTTTCATTGAATCTAAGCTAATACACAGATGGAAATGATATTGATAATTAAGGGAAATTCCTCATTAGCACAATCTGTGACAAAAGGTGAGACCTTGTGGCCCAAGTAAGTATCAAACCTTTTAAAAATGGGATGGTAGTAGGGTAGTCCTGGCACCATAACCACTATAGCATGCATTGGCGGTTGTAGTGATTTGAATGCCCCTTTAAGGACATCCTACGGCCACAATGGCAAAGACTTACAACCAAAAGAACATTGTATATCGACGATTTATAGCACGCTATTTATTAACATACTTCCCCAGCTTGTCGCTGTCACTATAGTTGACGTAGATGTTATTGAGTCCACACAGGAAAGCAGTGAGAATTATCATCAGGATAAACATGAAGCTGCGAGACAAATAGAGAGCGCTCGTTAGAATTAAAATATCATACCATGACAACAGGAAATCCTGTCACTGAATCCTAAATATATTAATCCTCAATAAAGCACTTGGGGAGACATCAACTGTCCAGCCCATTCCTTGTTCATGAAAAACATTCTCTGCTGATTAGAACCTTTACCCACTTAACAACCCAGCTAACCTCCCTAACCAGTAACCTGGTCAGTAACTTTCACCACTAAACCACCCGCCTAACCTGGCTAACCAGTAACGTTACCCACCTAACCTGGCTAACCAGTAACCCGATCAGTAACGTTACCCACCTAACCTGGCTAACCAGAAACCTGATCAGTAATGTTACCCACCTAGCCTGGATAACCAGTAACCTGATCAGTAATGTTACCCACCTAACCTGGCTAACCAGTAACCTGATCAGTAATGTTACCCACCTAATGTGGAAAACCAGTAACCTGATCAGTAATGTTACCCACCTAGCCTGACTAACCAGTAACCGGATCAGTAACTATACCCACCTAGCCTGACTAACCAGTAACCTGATCAGTAATGTTACCCACCTAGCCTGACTAACCAGTAACCTGATCAGTAACTATACCCACCTAGCCTGACTAACCAGTAACCTGATCAGTAACGTTACCCACCTAGCCTGGATAACCAGTAACCTGATCAGTAACTATACCCACCTAGCCTGGCTAACCAGTAAACTGATCAGTAACGTTACCCACCTAGCCTGGCTAACCAGTAACCTGATCAGTAACGTTACCCACCTAGCCTGGATAACCAGTAACCTGATCAGTAACGTTACCCACCTAGCCTGGATAACCAGTAACCTGATCAGTAACTATACCCACCTAGCCTGGATAACCAGTAACCTTATCAGTAACGTTACCCACCTAGCTTGGCTAACCAGTAAACTGATCAGTAACGTTACCCACCTAGCCTGGCTAACCAGTAACCTGATCAGTAACGTTACCCACCTAGCTTGGCTAACCAGTAAACTGATCAGTAACGTTACCCCCCTAACCTGGCTAACCAGTAACCTGATCAGTAACGTTACCCACCTAGCTTGGCTAACCAGTAAACTGATCAGTAACGTTACCCCCCTAACCTGGCTAACCAGTAACCTGATCAGTAACTTTACCCACCTTACCCATAACTCTCACCTCTCAATCAATAACCTGAGCTTCCTGATAAGTAATTTTACTCACCTGACCAGTAGCGTTACCCTTCTGACCGGTACTTTACACTCATGACCAGTACTTTACACTCGTGGCCAGTGACTTTACACTCTTGGCCAGTAACTTTTAACTTGGACCAGTAATCTTCCAGAAACGAGCCCCTATTAAATAATCTATGAGTTTGTTTCTGCATTGATTCTCACCGTATCATATCATCAATCATTTTCCCAATGGAAATCTGCAGAGTCCCCAGCGTCTCGTGAGCGGGCAGAATATATGCCAAGCGGGTGAAGCTGAGCATGCTGGTTACTGCAAATAAAACCTCCGCTATGAACTGAGGGTCCTCTGTGTTCCACTCAGGCCTTTCTGTAAGAGTCCGTACAACACGGTCTGTTAATGATCATTGATATTACACAGTCATGTTACAATGCTACCACCCACCCCATGTCTTCCCTATTAAGGGGTTTAGAAATATACCCTTCTCTGTCATATTAGAGATTGTTTACCTGAAGTTGAATAGTCAGTGTAGGACCCACTTAAGAAGTGTGATACTCAAAGCCTCCAGTTATTTCGATGTGCCCAGGAATATAGCGATGTGCGGGTAACTATTTTCGTTGTTCTTTATAATATTAAGTCCATGAACTGTTGCACATTATTTGAACACGAGTCCCTAACGCATCTGGCAGTACAATTCATGGACCCAGACTGGAATATTCTGTTTATGTATTGTACAGATCACAATTACAACTATGTGTGTAGCTCCAACAAATTCCACAGCGCAGATAGAGCATTTAAATATAAAGCCAAACAAATCCAAAATAATGAATGATAAAACGTTACTCAAATTTTAGGTTAGAAACTTACTGGAGGCTAGCTAATATCCACGCTAAGTGAAGGACACAGTATTGGAATAAAATATACCTTAAATCCAGGAAAGGCACAGCCTCTGTGGAGTTAAGTAGAAATACTGGATTGAGACTCATTTCTTCCCCTATAGTCTTTAAATGTGAGGATCAATAAAATGTCCCCTTTTTTTCTCCTTTCGTCTGGAATTACTACTTTACTCAAGTTTGAATCAATTCCCAGGCATTACACATACTGCTGGCTAACACGGCACACATACTGCACGCTAACACGGGACACATACTGCACGCTAACACGGGACACATACTGCACGCTAACACGGCACACATACTGCACGCTAACACGGCACACATACTGCACGCTAACACGGCACACATACTGCACGCTAACACACCAAAAAGCAGTTGGTAGTGCCCTGTAAATATAGGACTGAGCTACTCAAGCTCAGCTACGACATTTCCCTAGCTGGACATCTGGGTGTCCGGAAAAAAGTAAAGACCGGCTAACCCAGATCTTCTTCTGGCCAGGGATCACACAGGATCTACAAAATTACTGCAGGACATGTGACACTTGACAAAAGACAGGGAAGAGGGGTGACCACCGGAAGGCAAAACTACACCCTTTACCCATAATAGAGGAGCCATTCCACCGGGTAGCGGTGGACTTGATAGGCCCCCTTCATATACCCAGCACCTCTGGAAAGAGCTACATCCTCACGGTGGTAGATTATGCTACTAGATATACGGAGGCTGTAGCCCTTTCTAATATAGAGGCAGAGACTGTGGTGGAAGCCCTAGTGAAATTTTTTACAAGTGTAGGCTTCCCTAGGGAGATATAATCTGACTAGGGGACCCAGTTCACGGCAATAGTGACCCAACAGTTATAGCAAAGTTGCGGAGTAAAACCACTGTTTAACTCTCCCTACCACAGACGAACGGACTCTGTGAGTGCTTTAATGGCATGCTATATCAGATGCTTAAGGCGTTCACAGCCTTCTGTCGACAGTGGGAAAGGTTCCTCCCCCACCTCCTGTTTGCCTACTGTGAAGTGTCCCAGGCGTCCACAGGGTTCTCCCCCTTCAAACTCCTCTACGGGAGAAAAGTACGGGGACCCCTGTACCTCAAACTGGAGCACTGGGAAGGTAACACAGGAGAGACAGGAATACCTGTCATGCTGTATGTTCTGCAGTTTATGGATCGCTTGCAGGCTCTCACTGACTCCGTTAGGGATAGTCTAGGGACGTCCCAGCGGCGCCAGAAAAGATGGTATGATAAGGGTGCCTGAGACAGGGTTCTAGAAATAGGACAGAAGGTATTAGCTCTGTAGCCGACTAAGAAAGATAAGCTTCAGGCTGCCTGGCAGGGACCCTTCCAGGTGGTGGAACACATAAGCGACATTACCTACATTGTAGGGAAATGTTCAGATGAAAGGATACGGAGAGTGTTCCATGTGAACATGTTCAAACCCTACTTCGAGAGGGTAGAGGACGTGGCTGCAGTATGTGCTCCGTCGTCCGAAGTTAATGAGGGCCTTCCCCTTCCTGATTTGCTCTCACCGTCCCCAGGTACGGTGGAACAGGTCCATCTAGGGGAACAACTAAGCCCTCTAGAAAAGATCGAGGCCCCCCAGCTGCTCCAGCTGGGTTCTCCTCATTACTCAGGTACACCACCGCTGCGGTCCACCGGGTTGATACCCAGGGAGAAACTCCCCTACGGCAACAGCCCTACCGTATCCCTGAAGCAGTCAGAGCAAATATACGGAACGAGATTCAGGAGATGTTAGAACTAGGTGTCATAGAGCTATCCCAGAGTCCATGGGCTCCACCGGTGGTGCTGGTACCCAAGAAAGACGGGATTCTGTATTGATTACTGGAAACATAATGACAGTACAGTTACCAATGCCTACTCCATGCCCTGGGTAAACGAGTTGCTGGATCGGCTTGGAGGAAGTACCTGACTACCATAGATCTGTGTAATGGTTATTGGCAGATACCCCTGGAGCCGGCGGCCATACCCAAGTCGGCCTTCGTCACCCCATTTGGGCTATACCAGTTTAAGGTTATGCCCTTTTGGGATGAAGAATGCCTGGCTACTTTTAAGATGATGGCCGACAGGGATTTCAGGACTTTGCATGTGCGTAGCCATCTACAGCTGCACTATTACCCAGGGAGGTCAGCTATGCCACTGTGGAGAAGAAATGCCTGGCTCTTGTATGCGCATTAAAGAAGCTACAGCCCTGACCGACCACAACCCCTCATCTGGCTGAACTGTGTTGCTGGGGATTACTCCCATTTGCTGCGATGGAGCCTGGCTCTGCAGCCCTATGACTTTACCTTGCAGTGCAGGCCTGGTAGGCATAACGGCAACGCCGATAGGCTATCTCGGCAGGTTGGTGGGGACTGGCTAGTTTAGCGGGAGACAAAGGGACCAGAGCCTTTCCTAAGCTTTGGTTCCCAGGTACGGAGACTCCTGGGATGAAGAACCCCTGTCGGAATGGGTATGAGGCCCCCTCGCCTGGGTGGCGGGCTTTCTATACCTGGGAGACAAAGTGACGACGACCACTCTTTCCCATGCGTTCCTTACACAGGTTAACATGGAAAATGCAAAAAAAAAAATCCCCAAACTGTACAAAAGTAAGCGTGTAAAAATGCAGGTATTTAAATAGGCCACAATTTCACAATTCCATATATTAGGGCGGTTGCCTCACCTGCCTTGGTGAAGTAGAAGCATACATCAGAGTCCGGTTCATCCACACAGGACAGATATCCCTTCACGGTCACCAGGATTCTCAGAGAGAACGAGGCCAGATACATACTGATGGTCACAATGTCCAGGAAGTTCCACCAGTCTAAGAAGTAGCTCCTCAGACCCTCAATCCAGACTTCTTTACATTCGTGCCACAGGAAACCTGTACAACATCAGCAGCAGGTTAAAGAAAATAGACATTTATCAACAAATTTTATCTATACTCAAAGGATTGTCTGAGGCTGTCTCTCTGGGATTATTAGATGTCTTAGACCATCTCTCTAGGGTTAATAGACATCTTAGACTGTCTCTCTGGGATTAATAGATGCCTCAGGCTGTCTCTCTGAGATGAACATGTGTATGAGACTACCTTTTTCATAGATAGTATTTAGATATCCCAGTGGTGAGATTAGGGGACAGTCTATGGTGGTCGTCCACAGCTTGTGTCAAACCATTTTCAAGCAGTTTAATAAGAACTTTTGGATTTCATGTCACATACAGCCCCAGCCCCTCTTCTCTAGCTTTGCTAATATCTGTATTAGACCGTCCTGCTTCATATGGTAACGGGCAAAAGCCACCTCCAGTGGTAACGCAATCTGACAGTGTTATGGATATCACCCAGTTTATATCACCCACGGCTGTTCACCTGGTTAGATTAACCAAAGTTTAAGTAGGATTGCGTCATTATCAGCAATTGACCAAAATAAGAAGTTTCAGATATTAATTTAAACAAGTCCATTGTTTCAGATCATATGGTTACTGTCTAACTGAAGACCTGTTGGACCATAATGAATGTGCCATGGATCTCTCTGTGGCCTGTTAATGCAAGCGTGACCTGGTGCATGGGCTTGTGCTAGTGAGCCAAAGTGGCAGAGTTTACACCCACCTGCGACCCAGATCATGTGTAGGGAATTCTGCCAGATGGCCTGGCTCCGGCCTTCATAAATATCATGTCTCCTTTCCATTATCAAGGATTCCACCAAGAGAAAGATAAGAAACCACAAGTACGACGCAGAATGGAGGAGGAACTTAATCACCGGGATCTTCAGGGTTTTACCAACCTGGATGAGAGTTAGGAGAAACGGTTAATACATGGGATTCTGCCTGGGATTCTGGGCAGGATTGTATCATTGTAATCCCAATAAAATGACAGACCAGTTAAATTAATGGGGTGCACACACAGCATAATGGTTTATTCACTAAGCTGAGAATTCCAGAGAATGGAAATAGGGTTGACATTATCACCTGATCTTAAAATTTAACTGAGACGGAGAATGTTACAGCTCGGCTAGTTTGGTTTCCTGGTCAATTCTCCAAGACCACAATAAATAAAGGGTTTATAGAAGCTGATGGAACAGTAAATTTGGGTGATGGGAGACGGATAAATATTGCTGTAACTGGAGGAAATTCTAACTATTGAAATATTTATTGTACAATATTTTATAGGAATGTATGTGTGTTTATGTATGGGTTAATGCATTAAATGGTCGCTCCAACCAAAGACAATGTTTTAATAAAGATACTAAACTGAGCGGTGACATTGCAAGATCTACACTGCACAACCACTTCATTAAACTAGTTATTTTGTGGACTATAGTGTCCCTTTAAGGGGTCAACAAGCAAATCAATCAAGTCAGGTTCCCCATGATGAGCATAATGGCCAGCAGCACATGCACAGTGTTTGGTTTAAGACCATTTTGAGCAGTCCAGCACTTAAAAGGACACTCCAAATACTGTAAGCAGTTTAGCTTGCTGAAAAGCTTCATGTGTGACGAGTGTTTCCTCGTTATTAATTTTACAGAAAGTGCATTATTTTATAGAAATTAATACTTTTAAAAATTAACCTGGTTACACCCCCAGCTGTCAATCATATAATCGATCCTGTTACTTCCTGGTTTGGTTATTTCAGTGGAGATGAAGAGGCAGCAATTGCCCAGAGCACCTGCCTTGCAAAGAAGGGAGGGCTTGCAAGGGCTGGAAATAAGAGACCTGCAGCTCCTACTTTCTGTTTTTAGATTTATCCCCAATGACTAAATGCATGGATGTTTTTATTGGGGGTAAATCTACTAACTTGTTTGAAATACCTTTCCCCCCCCCATTTTAGTGTTCCTTTAACCAGTTAGCAAAAATTGCTATAACAACCGTTGCCGCAGTCTAGAATGATGACCTAATTCCTATGTAAACTGCATACTTTATGTAAATTCTTCTGGTCTTGCCGTTTGATTTAATGTCCCACCTTGGATTTGGGAGACAGCCAGTAGGTGAGGCACAGGATGGGCATAGTGAAGAAGATGGTGCAAGCAATGAATATTTTCCAAATCGTGTTACTCCCTCTCCACCCGGAAAGCTTCCCACTCCAAATGGAAGACAGGACCTGCTGGCAAATGGGGTGAGCAACGAACTGCAACGAGAAACAGAACAATCACACTCAGAGCCGTATAACCCTGTCCTCTCTATAACACCTACTCTATAGCTGACCTCCCTATAACACCCCCTCTATAGCCAACCTCCCTATAGCACCCTCTCCATAACACCCCCTTTATAGTCAAGCTCCCTATAGCACCCTCTCAATAGCCGACCACTCTATAGCCATCCTCCCTATAGCACCCTCTCTATAACACCCCCTCTATAGCCAACCTCCCTATAGCACCCTCTCTATAACACCCCATCTATTGCCAACCTCCCTATAGCACCCTCTCTATAACACCCCCTTTATAATCAACCTCCCTATAGCACCCTCTCAATAGCTGACCTCCGAGTTACGAAGGTGTGTATATACTCTCACGTTTAGCACAGAGTTACGGAGGTGTGTGTACACTCTCAGGTTTAGTACATGGTTAGAGGTGTGTGTATACTCTCAGGTTTAGCACAGAGTTACGGAGGTGTGTGTATACTCTCAAGTTTAGTACATGGTTAGAGGTGTGTGTATACTCTCAGGTTTAGCACAGAGTTACGGAGGTGTGTGTATACTCTCAGGTTTAGCACAGAGTTATGGAGGTGTGTGTATACTCTTAGGTTTAGCACAGAGTTAAGGAGGTGTGTGTATACTCTCAGGTTTAGTACATGGTTAGAGGTGTGTGTATACTCTCAGGTTTAGTACATGGTTAGACGTGTGTGTATACTCTCAGGTTTAGTACATGGTTAGAGGTGTGTGTATACTCTCAGGTTTAGCACAGAGTTACGGAGGTGTGTGTATACTCTCAAGTTTAGTACATGGTTAGAGGTGTGTGTATACTCTCAGGTTTAGCACAGAGTTACGGAGGTGTGTGTATACTCTTAGGTTTAGCACAGAGTTACGGAGGTGTGTGTATACTCTCAGGTTTAGCACAGAGTTACGGAGGTGTGTGTATACTCTCAGGTTTAGTACATGGTTAGAGGTGTGTGTATACTCTTAGGTTTAGCACAGAGTTACGGAGGTGTGTGTATACTCTCAGGTTTAGTACATGGTTAGAGGTGTGTGTATACTCTCAGGTTTAGCACAGAGTTACGGAGGTGTGTGTGTATACTCTCAGGTTTAGCACAGAGTTACGGAGGTGAGCCTTTACCCGTTTCTGATTGTGATGCACAGCGAGCCGGAGTCGGGCCAGGTTTGGTATTCCCTCTTCGAAGGTCTGGATGTCCATCTCCTCTTCATCACTGTCATCCCCACAGTCATTGAGCACAGCAGTGACTTCACTTTGGTTCCGGCACATTCCCAGAAGCTCTACAGCAAACTCCTGACTCAGATCCTCCAGACTCAGGTATTCTGGCTGCAAACCCACAGGGACAGAATGATTAAAGTATATTTACATGGATAACATATCAGCCATGGGGACAGTGTTAAAGGACCCTATAGCTTTTAAATACAAGCCTGTATTAACACGTGTGTGTCCTAACGCTAAATTACTTTTAGTTTCCCGCCTCCTCCTGTTTCTGGTAAAAAACCTTTTTTTCAGTGCTTGGACTCTCTCTGGGCGCTGTTGCCCGGCCTTCTCCCGCTACATTATTTGGCTCTTTAACTGATGACCACTCCAAAGTGCCTCATAGAGGAGTTTTGGAAAATCAGTGGCATGCACTCCATTATACAGCGCCATGGAATTTGCTGGTGCTATATAAATAATAAAATAATAATGCACGGCAAGTGTCAAACGTTCTCTCAAATGCTTCTCACAAGAAAGCAAATTAACTGAATGCGTAACTGTGTCTGTGCAGCGTTAGCGCCTCTAGTGGTTGTGAGGTAGATAATCACAACAGGTGTGTTTAACCCCTTAATGTAAGCATTGCGGTTTCTACAAAATGACAATGTTTTACATTGCAGGGTTTAAAGGACGTGACCGCAGGACTCAGACCATCTCATTGGGATGACGTGGGTGGCTTCAGTGTCCCTTTAATGACAGCATTACTGAAATATCTAATCCTGCAACGGCTCGTTTCATCGCAGAGCTCTTCGCCATCATTGGGTAATCACCGAATTAATCATTATACTTTTCATTAAACTGTTTTTTTTATCAGCTTCACAAGATATTAGTAAATGTTAAGTATTGAGTATTTTTGAATATATTCTGGATAATGTAGTGTAATGTGCTACACATGTCTGTTCATAGTGTTTACATTCTGGAGTATTTTGAGAATTTGTATTTCCACAATTACCAGCAGATCTGTTCCTGATGAACACAGGATACTACTAATATTACTTAATACTCTGTAGTGCTCAAATTTGTTTATATATATATTAAATACACAGGGTGTCCCAAATTAATGTTTACACTATTTGAAAGTTAAATATCAGAGAACCTATTAAGGATAACCTGTTTGGACTGTTTTTATTTGGCGTTGTAATGACTACGCTGAGTGTGTGCGAACGCATGTAGTTATTCTGCTGTTTTTAGTTGCCAGGCGAAGGGCATAAATGTACAGACAAAATGGAAGATTACCATCTAGTTTTGCAGGCAATCTTGTATTAAATATTTGTTGGGAGGTAGATTGGCCGACGAGGAAGTATTGAAGATCCCCCCTGTAACGGACCGTTTTGCACACAAGAGGTTAAAAACCGTTTAGGCGATATTCCCCTTTTCAGATGCACAGACAGCTACTGCAAGCACCAATCTCCTGAACTGCAAACACATGAATTCACCAATCTCCCGAACTGGAACCGGGGGAATGCTGTAAACAGCCGAACAGGAAAAACCATACGAACAGTTTACACTCCTGGCAGTCGCACTGTAACAGCATACAATCCAATTCCCCCCAAGAACAAGACAACACTTCGTTTGAGGGTCAAGCAGAACTGATTTACTGGGGCTACCTTTCATGCTGGTCTCCCACCTGGTGGACACTCCCCTAGGGGACCAGATGGGAAACTGGGAAACATATTGGACATTGACCAATCACAGACATACACCTTTAAACACTCCCACAATGCATCACAATCCCTCCTCTCTATCCTGGAGATAATTGGGAAGTAATCCAATTATCTCCAAGGACAGAGGCAAAACTCCATTAACCACATGGCAGACAAAGGACAATAAAAGACATAAAAATACATACTGTTACATTTATCACATAAAACATACATATTCTACCTATCCCCAGATAGCTTAGATCTTAGCGCACATTATTACCGGATGGTGCTCAGATCACATACATACAGTTCAATAGGAGCCATGGAGCCAAAGTCTTTCATACAGTCTTTCAGTATACGGCTGGGCTCCATGGCAAAGCTATCTGGGGTAGCATGGTTTAAACAGTAAAGTACCGAATGGACCGGTGTTCAGATAATTGACTGCAGGTAGCAGAAGGTAGGTCGGCGGCTCAGCGGTGTTCGTGACTTTAACAGTCCACAGACAGGCACGAACCAGCCTCTCTGCAGAGAAAAAGAACAGTGTTAAACATGGGGCCATAGTCCAGCAGCAGGAGGCGGGCGACCAGGCTCCTCCAGTGGCCAGTGGCGAGGTTGGTTCCGCCAGACCCCCTTCCCCCCACCCCCCGATTTAACACCGTTGGATTTCTACGTGTGGGGAAATCTGAAGAACATTGTGTACGCCCCAAAGCCAGAGACACTTGATGAGAGGCGCGATTGTGACTGTCTGTGATTCCATTCCCAAGGAAACAATATCTAATGTTTATCAATCTGTTCTACGCATTGCAGACAATGTATTGCTGCCAATGGGGGTCATTTTCACACCTTTTATAACATAAAAAGGTTCATGCTTCCTGCTAGACATGTTCGCGTTAACGTACAAAAAGTGTAAACATTATTTTGGGACACTCTGTGTGTGTGTGTGTGTGTGTGTGTGTATGTATGTATGTATGTATATATATATATATACACTTAGGTATCACTGAATAGCAATCAATGTACAATATTGCAGTTTTTTTTTTTAATAATAGTAATTATCGTCAATTAATTTTTATAGCAAAAAATTAGGTAGCTAATGGGTTAAAGCACTATTTTGAGAGATATTTCTTATAGATATCATCTTCACGAAATACTAATACTGACTCCAAAGATTCAATCAGACAATGTAAGGACTACTTTGTCTTATGGACAAGCCTAAAACAAAAGGCGGAGCTCCGCAGTCAACATTTGTCCATTCCTAGCAGCTGTCGCAAGGAGACATCATTTATGAAGGTCTAGTGGTTTCCTCCACAGACCTCAGTGTTGCACTTTCCCAAAGAGAGCAGTGATACGGCTCATGGAGGAAGAACTTCCAGGGGCCAAAGGAGACCTCGAGGAAGAAGATGGCGGTGGGAGGGAGCACTACAGTTAAGTATACCTACCTAAGACTGCACACCGCAACCACTCGACCTTAACTGGAGATGTCACTGTGGCGAAAGTGACCTCGCCACTGTTTTTTGAGGGGCCTGTTTGCCAGCTTCCTATCCTGTGACTTTGGCTCCTATGATAAACCTGGCTAAAATACTTTAAACAGGCTCTGTTCATGTCAGTTATGTACTTTTGTACTCCAGACAGAGACACCGACCGTTAGCCCTGATTCTATAGAACTGTTTTGGGCATTGGACCATGCCTGCGCCTGGGCAAAGCTATGACTTCCATAAAGTTCCTGAACCCCTGAACCGATCTGGGTGATTTTTGGATATATTGTTCACCCTGGTCTGGGCTATCAGGGGATGTAATGTTTATGGGGTTTTATGTGTTTTTAAGGTACTTTGGGGGGTTTCATAAAATTGTATGTTATTCTGTGCTTGGAGATAATTAGGTTAGATTAGCACAGTTCCAGATTCAATTATCTCCCAAGCACAGAGGAGGAATTCTATTGTTTGTGTATGGGAGTGTCTCACTGTATGACTCTGGTTTTATTGGTTTATTCACTTTGTGTCCCTGTCCCCAACAAGGTCCACTTGGGTGTTGCCCTTGTTGGGAAACTTGCATAAAAGGCCAGTGTGCCTCCATTAAAATTCTGTTCCTCAACATAGAGTCCCATCTCATGTGTGGGGGGGAAAAGGCTGTATCTACCCTGGGGATTGCTATATCACTATACTCCACTGGGATTATAATCACTAGCTCTTGAATCTCTGGAGGAAGAGAAGTTCACCCACTGGAAGCTGGATCCTGGTCTTGGGTCCAGGGTGGGTAGGAGAGGGTGAGTTCCCAGCCAAGCTGTAACGCTGGACCTGGGGACTGCAGTGCTGATGGTGTCTGGTGGAGCATTTGGAGTCCTCGGTGAGCACTAGGAGCATCCGTCAGCGGAGGTACCAAACCGGGGTACAGGAAGCTCTGTTGCAATCACCTTCAGGGATCTGTGAAAAGTATGCCAAGATGCCCGAAACATGACAGATCTGCTTTAATGCTATTGAATCTTGGGAGTAAAGCGGTGTCCACTTTTGTTTTATTGCTTTAATGGTTAACTTCACATTTTACATTCTCTGCCTGAATCAATCGGCCAAACTCAAACAGTAAATACATTTTAGGGCAATAAATGATTATTTGTAATTGTACCAAAATCTGTGGGACTTATTTGCAAACCTAAAAATTAAATTGTAAACCGTGAGCTAAACAGCCAAATGTGACTATACGTAGGTCGGAGATTTATTCCCAAATCATCATTTTGTTTACCTAAAGTTTGCAATCAGGTTTTCAATTTATTTTAATTTGTTGTTTAGTGAATAAACCCTCCAATGAAGGGGAGGGGCAATGTTATATTTTAATGAGCAGCTTAAAATGTATAATTACCATAATTGTGTCAAATAATAAATCGTGTTTTACAATATGATATTTCTGATATTTATTATTTGACCTCAATGCCGGCACAGAGATCTCATGGTATCATCGGAGCGCACATAGAATGGGCCAAACATGTGCATGTCTGCGTGTGTCTGAGTGCGTGCGTGTGCGAGGCAAACATCCTTCATGAGTAAAAATGTTAAACAGATTATTATACAGTTGTGGCGAAAGTAACCTCGCCACTTGTGCTTGGAGGGGCCTGCTTGCCAGCCTCTTGCCCTGCGACTATGGCCCCTGGGCTGTAGTGCCCTTCAAAAGCTCTGTTTGGGGTTATTGGACTTGGAACTACTCTTTCTGCCCCTTTAAGTTACATTGGAGCAGTTCTGCAACTTTAAATTTAAATTGGCACTTCAGATACAGCCAAAGTGCCGAAGTAGTCGAAGTGGCCGCCATTCGACAAACGGCCATTTTAATTCAGTCGAACGCATTCAGCGGTGTTTGGTCGTCAAGTTCATGGAATTCAAATCGGACATGCAACCGCACGAACACCGCTAAACTTTACCTTCTCCAGACTTCAACTCATTCGACTGGAGTCGAACGCTGTACGACAATTCGAATGGCACTTTAACTTTGCCGGTTTGCACGAATGGTTGCCGTTCGCCTATTTGAACTATATTTAACATGGGAAATAGACCAGCTGCACAGCCTGATTCTCTGGAACTGTTTTGGGCATGAAAACATGCGTGCGGTCGGTCAAATGTGACTTCCAGGAATTATTTTGGGGATATGTTGTGTTTTGGGTTGTTTTCTATACTTTGGGGAAAATGTGTGTTTTTCTGCTTGTGGATAATTAGGTTATTGTTGTGACGAGACCAATCTCGCCACTGTGCATTGGAGGAGCCTGGTTGCTGGTTGCCTGCCTGCTGCCTTTTGACTATAGACCGGCATCAAATACTTTATTTTCCTATGCAGAAAGGTCTATTCATGTATTTGTGCTCTGGCGTTCGGTAGATTCTCGGATTTACTGAATGAACTCATTAAACCCAGATAGCTATGCCATGGAGCCTATTCGTTTAATAAAAGACTTTGTAAGTAATAATGTGCGCTCAGACCTAAGCTATCTGGGGATATGTTGCATGTCTGTATTTTATGTAATAAATGTAACCTTGTGTATTTTATTGTATTTTACTGTCTTTTTACTGCCATGTGCTTAATGGAGTTTTGCCTCTGTCCTTGGAGATAATTGGATTACTTCCCAATTATCTCCAGGATAGAAGACTCTGTGGAACTGGTTTTGGGCAGAAAAGCCATGCTTCCTTTGGTCACAAAGGACTTCGATCTATCTTTTGAACCAATGGACCAATGTGGATGATTTTGACATATGTTCGTATTTGGAGTATGCTGATTCTGAAAATGTAAGTTTATGTGAATGTGATGCATACTTTTAAAGTTATGAATAATGTGGAAAAACTGTATTTCTTCGTCTGTGATAATTACATTACCCATTGTGTAAGGTAATTGTATCACAGGCAGAGGAGAGGATTTTGTGTGGGAGTGTCTGAGTGTATTGTATGTGTTTATTGGTTGTTTTCCAAAACCCTGTGGGTGGTACTAATGTGTGTGTATATAAGAACAATAAACCCACAGCTCTGTCTGTTCACTGATTGACCCTCAACACGGAGCCTTGTCTCGTTCTTGGGGGGGGGATTTATTGTATGCTGTTCCAGTTCGACTGCTAGGAGTGTAAACCTATTTGTATGGTTTTTCCTATTCGTCTGTTTACGGCATTCATATGGTTCCGGTTCTGCTGTTTACAGCATTCATATAGTTTCCTGTTTGGCGGATTGGTGTCTTTGGTAGCTGCCTGTGTATCTGAAAGGGGAATATCCTCTAAACGGCGTTTAACCCCTTTTATGCCCGGGGTGCCGTTACAATTGTGTTAGCTATTTTAATTATATCCTAGGCAGAGGGGAGGGCTTGTGTGCTGTATGTGGAAGTGTCGGACATTGTTGTATTGTTCTGGTTGGTTTGTGTGCCTGTGTTTCATGCGGCCCAGGGGGTGTGTAAATTGTGTTTAAAGCTCAGATAGAGTCTTTCTGTGACCTGAGATAGACCTTGCTGTGTGTCAGGATATTGCCCATCATTGGTGAGAGAGAGCTTAATTTATATTGAAGTTGTGCTGGGTGTGCATATTACTGTTAGTATGTGGTCAGCGCACTATCTGATGCTAACATTAGTATTAATCAGACATTATAAGTGGATTTAGACCCTGCCTTATATGCATTATGTAACGACACTTACCCAGTCCTTGCACCGATCAGGAACCTCTTAATCCCAGCAATGAGAACGCAGCTGAGTTTCTCTGTAACCTTTTCCTGACTAGTTTACCTATTTCAATGATATACCGTTTACCTGACTCTGTCTAGTTTTTGTTCATGCTGTCTCTCTGTGTTAAAAAAAAAAAGTTGCAGCCTAAACCCACCTTAAACTCTGGCTCCTTCCTGGACAGACGCTTCAGTTCACGGCTAAGTTTGAAAGCCTGAAGCATGGCATCTTCGCTGGCAATGGACAGATAAGCTCTGCTGGCAATGCCTTTGTAAGTATTGATGCGGGACAGTGAGAATTTGAGAAGATCATACTTGCGCCCATTGCTGCACTCCAGGCAGGCACAGGAGATCTTGTGAGGAGTGGTGATTACGTGCCCCTTCTTCATCAACATCTCAACAATCTCATAGAGGTCCTTCTCACAGGCCAACGTAAGTGGAGTCACTCCAGGGGCAAAACGAGAATTGTCTATAGAGTTGTCAAAAAAAGCGAGTGAAAACGACTTGATGTCCATCTTGATCCCTTTTTCCTGATCTAACCGGTCTAGTAACATTTTAACTACATGTGGCTGGTTGGTGTCCACTGCCACCAAGAGAGCTTCATGGATCTGGCGGAAGTCAAACTTAACACAGTGCAACAAAGTCTTCATGATCTCCTCATTCCCTGTGCGAATGGCCAAGTTGAGAGCCTCCCGCCATAATCGATCCTCGCTGTCGTCCAGCTGACGCAGGATCCCATCGCTGACCTGGAGAAGTTGTTGAACCTGGATGAGATTTCCATCGTGGATTGCATTGACGAGTGATACTGGAAACTTGAGTTTTTTATTGACAATCTCTCTCCAGTTGGCTTGCTGGGGAACATGAGAGATAAAATGTCATGTTAAATCAAATTTAAAAGGACACTATAGGCATCAAAACAACTTTAGCTTAAAGGGACAGTATAGGCATCCTGACCACTTCAGCTCATTGCAGTGGTCTATACGCAGTGTCCCTGTCCCCCTTAGTCCTGTAATGTAAATCATTGCAGTTTTTGAGAAACTGCAATAAGTACATTGCAGGACTAAGACTGCTTCTAATGGATGTTAATCAGACAGCCACTAGAGGCACTTCCTGCTTTCTAAGCAACTTGAGGACTGCATGAGGACATCCAGCGTCAGTAAAATCCCCCCATAGGATAACATTGCTTCAATACTTTTTTATGGGGGATTGAGTGCATTAGCGCCCCCAAGCCCCCTCCTCTCGGGTAACATTGGAGGAGGCAGAGCACTGACTCTGCACTGAAATCGGGTAGGTGTTACAAGGGTTTTTTTTTAACCCTTGCAGCACTGGGGTGGGGGTGGGGGCAGTTTCAATGTTAAATTATCTGCCATTTAGGAGTTAAATCAAAGCATTGTCAGATTGTATTTACTGTGTTGACATTGAGCCCAGGAAAGTCAGGACATTCAAAATAGACTTAAGATTTTGATAAAGGGTATAACTTAACAATACATAAAGGGATACTATGTCATCAGAACAACTACAGCTTATTGTACAGTATACAGCTTAATGAGTAGAATCATTCCCTTCAAGCTTTTTGCAGTAAACCCCTGTGTTTTCAGAGACATACTCTAGGGGTACATCCATTGGCCACTCATCAGATGGCTGCTAGAGGTGCTTCCTGGTGCACTGTGGCACAGTATGCCTTACATTCAATGTCTCCATGCTCTGAATGGAGACACTGATTGGCCAGGGCTGTGTTCGGCCTGTGCTGGCTCTGCCCCTGATCTGCCTCCTTGACAGTCTCAGCCAATCCTATTGGAAAGCATTGTGATTGGCTGTGGTCAAAACTTCTGATGATGTCAGCCAAGTATGCAAATCAGCAGCAGTAGTCTGGAATAAAGGTAAGATTTTGCTATATTTATTGGGCATGGGGACTAGGTGGTGATTTTAACAGTATAGGGTCATGAATACATGTGGGTTTAAAAATGTAAATTGTACATGTGTGTCAGTATGTCTGTGAGACAGTATGTCTGTGTGTCTGTATGTCTGTTTGTCAGTATGTGTGTGTCAGTATGTCTATCAGTGTATGTGCCTGTGTGTGTCAGTATGTATGTCAGTGTATGTGCCTGTGTGTCAGTATGCCTATCAGTGTACGTGTCTGTGTGTCAGTAAGTCTGTCATTGTATGTGCATGTGTGTGTCAGTATGTCTGTCAGTGTACGTGTCTGTGTGTGTCAGTATGTCTGTCAGTATATGTGCCTGTTTGCGTGTCCTTATGTCTGTCAGTATATGTGTGTCTGTGTCAGTATGTCTATCTATGTATACATCGGTGTGTGTCAGTATGTCTGTCTGTGTGTGTCAGTATGTCTATCAGTATACGTATCTGTGTCAGTATGTCTGTTAGTGTATGTGTCTGTTTGTGTCAGTATGTCTGTCAGTGTATGTGTCTGTGTGTGAGAGTGTGCATGTCATTACGTCTATAAGTATATGTGTCTGTCTGTGTCAGTATGTCTTTCAGTGTATGTGTCTGTATGTCTGTCAGTGTATGTGTCTTAATATGTCTGTCAGTGTAAGTACCTGTGTTTCAATATATTTTCAGTATATGTGCATGTCATTACGTCTATAAGTGTATGTGTCTGTCTGTGTCAGTATGTCTGTGTAGCAGACCTCTCTGCTTTTGGATTATTATTTAAAACCTGATTCGTCTGTTTGTTTGGTTATTGCTGGTTGTTCATATGTTTTCTGCTTGCATTCATCCAAATACGAACAAACTACCGAATGGCAGGCCACCCAGCAGGGAAGTGTGCTGCTCATTAACCTTTCTGCCCTCATTAACATTGTGGTTAACTGCACACACTTCCAACTCCCTAACGGTCGGCTGGGTGGACGTCCTTCGTATGAACAAACATAAGGCGGCCATATTGGACAGTCGAACGCCCAGCGGTGTTTGTCACCAACTCATGGAACTGATTTGGGACACTGCTTCCCACAAACACCACTGAAATCACGATCATCCAACGCCGTGCCGTTCGATAAATTGACAATACACGAACAGAACTGTACAAGATAGCCGACCCATGGAGATCATTCGTTTAGTCGAACACACAATGTACAAGACTTTAACTCCCTGGCGATTGAACTACATGTATGGGATCTGAGCGCTGTTCGGTTATATTGAGTGCTCAGATCTAAGTTATCTGGGGATACGTTGAATGTGGGGGTTCCTTTCGGTATATTTGGAATTATGTATTTTTATGTGTTTTTACCAGTACTGTAAAATGGAAGATATTCTCTATACCTGGAGTTAATTGAGTTACTTCAAGCACTTAACCCAATTATCTCCAGGATAGAGAGGAGGAGTTGGAATGTTCATGTGGGAGTGTTTCCATACTGTAAATGCATGTGATTGGCTAATGTAAAATTTGTCTCAGTCTTCCACAAGGTACCTTGCGGGAAGACCTGCATAAAAGGGTGACATTAAACAGATCCTGCTTGACCCTCAAGACAGAGCCTCGTCTCGTACTTGGGGGGATAATTCGCATGATTCCTGTTCGGCGCTTAGGAGTGTTCAGTAGCGGACTTCTCATTCGGGAAAAAGAACAGCTTTGGCGGCGTTAACCCCTTCACTTACTCAGGGTGCCGTTACAGTCTGTCAGTGTATGTATCTGTGTGTGTGTCAGTATGTTTGTCAGTGTATGCGTCTGTGTGTGTGTGTGTGTGTGTCAATCTGTCAGTGTATGTGTCTGTGTGTGTCAATCTGTCAGTGTATGTGTCTGTGTGTGTGTCAATCTGTCTGTCAGTAAATCAATCAATGATGCTTTAGGGCTTCACTAGATCAATTGCAATTTTAAAGTGTTAATGTTTACGAATCCATGAAAATGGTAACTTTTTATATAACTTTATTGAAGATTAAAATTCTTATCAGGCTCAGCCAAGCCCTGGATGAGGCTGATTGGAATTCTATACTTCACATAAGTCATTTAGTATTGGCTGCTCTGTTATCATTTAACATCAGATTAATAATGTGGGTGGACAATCCCCTTTCCGTACGGGTCCGGCCCTTTTTGTGCAGGTCTGCCCATTTGGATGGAGCCAGTGATGCAATCGCAACCTTGGTCCCCTTTACGTCCCTCCCACAGGAGTCCCAATTTTGGGATTGTCTTTGTTGGGAGGTATGGATACAGTTAAGAAACAGGAAGGGGGGAATAAACTTTTATTAAAAATAAATTTAAAAACAAGCTACACCCCTCTGTAGCTGACCACGGGTAACCCGACCTGTTACCTCTGCTAATTCCTTCCCTCAGCCACTCTGAAACCCTTACAATAAGCAGACAACCATTTTCCCCCAAGTAACTGGACGACACACCGTTATGGAAGTACTCAACGTAACTTTTAATGGTACAACCAAGTTATACACAGACCCCTAGTCTCCATACAATTACACACAAACTCCTCCCCTGTGCCTGGGAGATAATTGAGTCAGGAACTGTACAAACTCAATTATCTCCCAGGCACAAAAAAACCCATACAATTTTAAAACACCCCACAAACACATTTTAATATTTCAGAGCCCCATGAAATTTACATCACCGAATAGCTGGGATCTGGGGGAGGTGTGACAGCAAGGGTACACAATTCATTGTTGCGTTATAGAATATTGCCATTTAATGTAATTTATGTGGTGCATATATGAATTGGCCACTTGGTAGAGGTCAGATGACAGAAGGGGTAATGTAAATGTTTTTATATTTAAAAAGAAGAAAAACTTCCACAACAAGAGGACATAGTCTTAAATTAGAGGGACAAAGGTTTAAAAATATCAGGAAGTATTACTTTACTGAGAGGGTAGTGGATGCATGGAATAGCCTTCCAGCTGAAGTGGTAGAGGTTAACACAGTAAAGGAGTTTAAGCATGTGTGAGATAGGCATAAGGCTATCCTAACTATAAGATAATGCCAGGGACTAATGAAAGTATTTAGAAAATTGGGCAGACTAGATGGGCCGAATGGTTCTTATCTGCCGTCACATTCTATGTTTCTAAATTGCATAGGAATGTGAAATGGGTCAGATGGTTTACCATATGGATTGATCTTTTGGCTCTGCAAGGTGTGAAATTCTACACTTGAGATGCCTGTATGTCTAGTTCCAACGTTAACTGACTTCAACCATATGGCCTGTAACAGCCAATTGATGAGTTAATTTCTTTGATATGTTAATGATCATTAGCTCTCAAGAAAACAAACCCTTGTGTTCCAGTATCATATCCACAAGAAACATTACTACTTATCCACAGATTAATAATTAAGCCTAATTTTTATTATATTTAGAATGGGACAAGCACAACCTTCCAATCAAGCCTAAACTGATTTGTGAACAAGGGAGATAGGGAGATCCCCATCAGGATGACCTGAAAACAATAAGCAGAAAATCGAGTGGATACATGTGGGGGCATTGTACTCAGTGACGGCATGTCATACCACCCCCCTCCCCAAGAAGACTTCAGATGGCATGTATACATTTTTTAACTGGGACAATGGCATGTTTAATCATTTAGAGCTCCCACCCACCATCAGTGGGTGTGGACTGGACACTAAGTCCTCCCCCTGAATATTATAATTAGGGCAACAACCACTGGCCATGGGGGAGAACTAGTGGGGATTATAATTAGGGCCTTCGTCCACCGCCAATGGGTGACAGACCAGTGGGAGGACACTAGGTCCTCCCCCTGGATATCATTATTAGGGCACCCAACCTTTGCCAATACATGGGGGACAAAGGGGACTCTTGTTTCCCCCTGTTATGTTATAATAGCCCTCTGGTAGATGGGGGCACTAGCTAGATGACTAAGAGTAAGAATGGGGTAGACATTAGGATGCCTCTATTACCTTCTATTAAATATCCCCAAACTGATGGCCACATATGTGGACAATGAGGTGGACAGTGTTCTGTTCACCCCCCACCCCCATTATTTATTTTAAAGTCCCCCACCAGATCCCTGTTATTTAACAGACCCAGCCATTATCATGAGGCAGCAATGGCCTCAGTCGCTAATTTTAGACAGTTAGTAGGTATGCCCCCAGCTGCTGAATGGCGAAGCATAGGGGGTGTTTTAAACCTCACATAAAGGAACATGGAGGTCTTATTGGCCCCCATTTGGAGTTTTTGAAATGTATTTTATTTATGTGGTGGCTGGCTAGCAAGCACTGGCAAGTCATCAGATAATTAACTCTAATGCACACAAAGGTTTTTAACTGATTGTCTGCTGGCAGCGTTACTGAAAATGACCATTCAATGAAAATGACCATTAAATGATTTTAATCCAGACACTGATTGCATCTGGGTAATGATTGCTGATTCGCTTGGCCTGACAGAATTCCCACCGTTTTTGGCTTTAGTTAATATGAGAATTGTCATTGCAGTCAGAATTCAGTCATTTTCACCGGATTCTGTCCATCCTGACAACATTCGTGGTTTAGTAAATAACCCTTTATTGTTTGGATTATCTTGCCATTTGTAAAATATTTGATATCTAAATAAAAAAACTGACATTCTAATGAATAAGAATTTCAATGTTTTATGCAATGGTATAAATTCCAGAGAAGTGACAGTTTCTCTTTAAACAGAAAGTCTATATGAGAGGGTTCATGAGTGGACACTATCTATCACTAAGGTCTGAGGGTGACACTCCCTTGGGGGCGGGGTAAAGGGATGACATCTGTAACGGACCGTTTTGCCCACAAGAGGTTAAAACCCGTTAGGCGATATTCCCCTTTCAGATGCACAGACAGCTACTGAAATCCCCAATCTCCCGAACTGCAAACTAGACGAATTCTCCAACTCCCGAACAGGAAACTCACAAATACTGGAAACAGCTGAACAGGAAAAACCATACGAAAGGTTTACACTCCTAGCAGTCAAACTGGAACAGCATACAGTAAATCTTCCCCCAATAATGAGACGACACTTCACTTTGAGGGTTAAGCAGGAACTCCACTGTAATGGCCACACACTGGCTTTTATGCAAGTCCCCATGCAAGGGGACATCCCACAGGGTGGGACACAGTACAACCAATCATTTACAGGAGAACCGTAAAACACACCCAGCACAAACATACATCCCTCCCCTCTGCCTGTGATATAATTACTGAACACAATGGGTTAATGTAATTTATCACAGGCAGGAAAAATACACTTTTGATACATACACTGTAACTTTAAAAATATGCATCATATTCACATAAAACATACATATTCAGAATCAGCATACTTTAAATATAAACATAACCAAAATTCAGCCAATTCCATCCAGGGGTTAAAAAGTTAAGGGAAAGTCCTATTTGACCAAATGAAGCATGGCTTTTCTGCCCAAAACCAGTTCCACAGAGTCTTCTATCCTGGAGATAATTGGGAAGTAATCCAATTATCTCCAAGGACAGAGGCAAAATTCCATTAGCCACATGGCAGACAAAGGACAATAAAAGACATAAAAATACATACTGTTACATTTATCACATAGAACATACACATTCTACCTTTCCCCAGATAGCTTAGATCTGAGCGCACATTATTACCGGATGGCGCTCAGATCACATACATACAGTTCAATCGCCATGGAGCCAAAGTCTTTCATACAGTCTTTCAGTATACGGTTGGGCTCCATGGCATAGCTATCTAGGGTAGCACGGCTTTAACAGTCCGCAGAAAGGCACGAATAAACCTTTCTGCAGGTAAAATAAAAGTTTAAAATGCAGGACCATAGTCTAAAGGGAGCAGGCGGGCAACCAGGCCTCTCCAGTGGACAGTGGCGAGGTTGGTTCCGCTACAGCATCATTCTCTGGAGTAAGGTTCTTCCTCTGAGGATGTTTCAGATTCATGTCTTGTTGATGGGTAATATCCATGCTTATGCTTTGAGCTGTATACTGCAGCAGGCCTCCAGGATATTTCATACTTAAAGGCAGAGCACTGCTCATATACCAGGGCTGCTTCATATAAGGGGTAGGATGCCCCTACAATACTTACCTATTTGATTTGTTTTACGTGCAGCCTCGGGCTGATTTATTGTATTTTGAAGTCGATATCTACCAGACAGATTTTACGTGTTTGCATTGACACAGTTTGTTATTTCCTGTTGGATGTTTCAGAGTGTTTGTTGGTGGATTACAGTGTTGTAAGCGTAGGTTGCATCATAATGGTTACATTTGTATTCCACATACTGTGTCCCAGCAGGTTACATCCGCCTCTCGTAACTTATTTAGAGTGATTCATGCTATAGCTCTTTAGATATCTGACTATTGAATACATGTAGACATTTTTTTTTTAATTCTTATTTTTTCCTGGGGTTTGCAAGAGTGTATTTTAATGGAGTCTAATACAAATTCAACTCACAATACATTGTTTTGTCCTGGTTACAAATTTCCTTTTATTTATAACCACATACTTATGGATAACCTCTATCATACAAGACTTCACAATACTTTCCACTCTAATCCAGGAGGGACAATGTTTCTTGTTTTTTTTCCCCATAATCACATTTTGGAAAAATGTGCATTTCACCCTGGGTCCATACTGACACTCAGGATTAGAAGTAGGTCAGAGACTGGACCTAAACTCACTCTTGGAGTGGGGGTGTGCCTGAGCATTAACTCATACTCACAATATTAAAGGAATACCCTGTATGGTACAGAATTTAAACTCTTTAATCCCCTAGTACGGAAAAGTATTGGATTTTTTTCCCCCATTATACAAGTGCACAAAAACCTTAAATAAATAAATGTAAACAATAAATGTAAAAAAGTGTCCACCATTCAGACTGTGACTGTAACGGATCGACGGGCACCCCGACTGGGCACCTCCGTTGAAGGATGCTCCTAGCGCTTCCTGAGGACTCCAAGCACTGCAGCAGACACCATAACCACTGTAGACTCCTTCAGAGAGCAAGGCAGGAACAAGCTCTTACAAGAGCGTAGTAGTGATTTAGCAAGAGAGTATGACTAGCATAGCAATCCCTTGTAGCAGATTTCCCCAATAAGAGACGGCACTCCAAATTGAGGGTGAAGTAGAACTGACTGTGCTGGCACATACAGCCTCTCTTATTCACATTCTACAAACATAGTACTGCCCACAGGGTTCTGAAGAACAACCAATCAACCAGGGCCGGACTGACCCACGGGGATACCGGGAAATTTCCCGCTGGCACGTTGGCACCTGGGGCCGGGCAGGCACCTGGGTCTGCTGGCAGCCGCTGGGGGAGGTCTGCTGGCGGCCGCTGGGGGAGCTGCGCTGGCTCTGCTCCCCAGCGCTCAGCTGAATGAGACCGGGGCCGGAATATGACATCATCTCATACAGCAGCGCGCGAGGGCGGGAGAGCAGAGCCAGTGCAACTCCCCCAGCGGCCGCCAGCAGACCTCCCCCATCGGCCGCTAGAAGACCTCCCCCTGGCAGGTATTAGTAATGTGTGTCAGTGTGAGTTTGTCTGTCTGTTATGGTGTGTGTCTGTCTGTGTCATGGTGTCTGTCTGTATGGTGTGTGTCTGTCTGTCCGTCATGGTGTGTCTGTCTGTCATGGTGTGTGTGTCTGTCTGTCTGTGTCATGGTGTGTGTGTGCCTGTCTGTGTCATGGTGTCTGTCTGTATGGTGTGTGTGTGTCTGTCTGTCATGGTGTGTGTGTGTCTGTCTGTCTGTCCGTCATGGTGTGTGTCTGTCTGTCTGTCCGTCATGGTGTGTGTCTGCGTCATGGGGTGTGTCTCTCTCTGTCCATTATGGGGTGTGTGTCTGCCCGTCATGGGGTGTGTGTGTCTGTCATGGTGTGTGTGGGTCTGTCTGTGTCATGGTCTGTCATGGTGTGTGTGTCTCTGTCATGGGGTGTGTATCTGTCATGGTATATGTGTGTTTAAAAATAGTGTTTTTGCGCACCTTTTTTTTCCCCACGCAGCGTGCTGGTCTCCTCTCGACTGGCCCTGCTTTGCCATAGGATTGGCTGCAAAACGCCACTCCAATCAGCATCTCCTCATAGCGATGCATTGAATCAATGTATCTCTATGGGGAACGTTCAGCACCTACAGAGTGTGGAGGCCCTGAATGTAGATGAACTGACACAGGAAGCACCTCTAGTGACCGTCTGAGTGACTGTCACTAGCAGTGTCACTTTAAAGCAATGTAAACACTGCCTTTTCTCTGAAAAGTCAGTGTTTACGTTGAAAAGCCTGTAGGGACATGCTATAGACACCAGTACCACTACATTAAGCTGTGTGTGTGCATCTGCTAGTGAGCTTGCTTGCTTGCATGCGTGTGCCTGCTAGTGAGTGAGCTTGTGTTTTTATGTCAATGAGATGATGTATATACGAGATTGTTTGTTTGTCTATGAGGCTGTGTATCAATGAGCTGGTGTGTGTCATTGAGATGTCAGTGAAATTGCCTGTGTCTGCATGTGAGTATGCTTACTGTATAATTAAACGTTTTACCCTGAAAGGACCAATATTTTATATTAGAAAAAGCAATATATATATATTACTCAATCATCTGTCATGGCAAGACATAGCCTTATATATTACATGCAACAATGACTTATGGGGCTGGCACAATTTTTTTTTTCCAGGGCTGCTTTGTATCCCCAGTCCAGCCCTGCAATCAACACATTCATTACAACACAGCTAACACTCCCATTCATTACATCAGAAATCCTCCCCTCTGTCTGTGATACAATTATCTCAACACAATAGACTAACTTAATTATCACAGGCAGGAAAATACAGTATTATAAAACATATCACAGGAACCCCAAAACATGCAATAACCCCATAAATATTTCATCGGAACCGGGGGATCTGGGTGAACCACAGTTTAATGCAGATTCCGCAGAACATATACAGGCTATATGAAAAATAATTACTGTATAATGTGTCCCCTGTTCTATAGTTTAAAACTACTGAATGATGTCTTTGTGCACCAAATACCGGCGAGATGGCACCGTGTAGAAAAGTCAAAACAGTGTCTGTGAGTTAAAATGGCCGCCATCCATTGTTCTCACCATGTGCCTCTGATACATGAAATGGTGGCAACCCAGTAACTCCACAGTCTTGTAGTCTATCCAGCCGAACCAACAGATGAAACACATGGGGAACAGTGCAACAAACGAAGGGAATCACCAAAAATATGGACAATAGTCAGATTTGTGCACAATCTCCAGTTTTGTCACAGGGCACAAATAGTGTTTTCAAATGCCATATATCCCAGGGCCATAGTCAGAAGGTAGGAGGTGGGCAAGCAGCCCCGTCCAAGAACACGTGGCGAGGTTTGGTCCACCACAGTGACAAACACTATTTACCATGGACGTTTGCCACGAACTCCTGGAGGAGTGTGGAAGCTGGCCTCCTGCCCACCTACTATAGTCCAGGTTGGAGATCCCGTTCGGAAGTTAACCTCCTGAGCCGCACCATTAGCAACTTTCCCCCGGTGCCCCTGGTTCGGCACTTTCCCTTCTCTGGAATTGAACTGAACGCCTGCTCCCTGGCGGCCGTTCGCATATAGAAACTCACGTATTGTCCTCAGAGGTGCTTAGCCGCGACCGCTATGGAACTAATTTCGCCATGAGGAGTTCATTGTTCCCCGATCACCCCAGCGGTGCTTGTGTGGAATGTTGAGGAACTAATTTCGGGACAACTTGGTCCGAGGTTTTGAATGACTTTGTTCTTGGGAGATAATTAGCTTACCGGTCTTTAGTGCAATTATCTCCCAGGCACAGAGATCTCTGGAAGGGGCTTGTCTTGTATTGAATGGAGACCCCCTGCTGGGGGCTGTGTATATAAGCAGGCAACTTGGCTATAATAAATCATTTGTACCCTCGTCAAGTCTTGGCTGATGTTTGAGTAGCTCAGAGTTATAATCACTACTTCACTTCGGGACCTGGGAGACTCTTCAATGGATATACTCAGTCGGAGTATAGGGGATCCATTACACAGACTATTTTGGATTCCCAGAACCTGCTGGTACACATTTGAGGTTAAAATCCCAGGACATGAGACATAATCTTTTGTTCTGACAGTTCGATAAACAGCTTCTAATAACATAGGGGTCTGCAGGAAGGAGAGAGAAAATAAACCATCACCCTCTTTCCTGTCTTACTGGGTCGGTAGAGTGCTCATGCCATTGTACAGAACACTGGTGAGACCTCACTTGGAGTATTGTACACAGTACAGGAGACCGTATCTCCAGAAGGATATTGATACCTTAGAGAGGGTTCAGAGAAGGGCTACTAAACTGGTTCATGGATTGCGGGATAAAACTTACCAGGAAAGATTAAAGGATCTTAACATGTATAGCTTGGAGGAAAGACGAGACAGGGGGGATATGATAGAAACATTTAAATATATAAAGGGAATCAACACAGTTAAGGAGGAGACTATATTTAAAAGAAGAAAAACTACCACAAGAGGACATAGTCTTAAATTAGAGGGGCAAAGGTTTAAAAATAATATCAGGAAGTATTACTTTACTGAGAGGGTAGTGGATGCATGGAATAGCCTTCCAGCTGAAGTGGTAGAGGTTAACACAGTAAAGGAGTTTAAGCATGCGTGGGATAGGCATAAGGCTATCCTAACTATAAGATAAGGCTAGGGACTAATGAAAGTATTTAGAAAATTGGGCAGACTAGATGGGCCGAATGGTTCTTATCTGCCGTCACATTCTATGTTTCTTCTTCCCCTGGAATACAGCAGGAATTACCCCTTAACACCAAATTGGAATAACCCGAAAATTAAACTGCAAGTTTCCAGCTATTATAGCGGAGCAGTTTTAATGTAGGGTAATTTGCAGTTTGTTTTTCAATTCACTCCAACTCAAAGTATCAAAAACATCCAGCTGGATTAAAACTTTACATAAAACCACCAATTAGTGCTGATAAAATGCAATACACACTTTTCCTTGTTTTTTTCCTACAATGTGAAAAATATTCATAAAATACGAATTCTCCCATATTAATCAAACAGTGAAGAATTCTGCGGTCCAAAAAGGGGAAAAAAAGCACTTGACTGAGTAGATTTTACATTATGATAACCCGAAATAAGACACTTAATGGCAGTGGTTTGCCGGCTTTATAATGCAGTGGTTTCTTTAGAAGGGCGATGACTCAATCACACGTACCGTTAAATGTTCCATGGTTCCGATCACCTCTTAGGACTAGAGATGTATAGATTCTCCTCCGGCTTCTCTTGTTTCATCTCATGGGCAATGCACAGCGATACACCCAATGTGCCCGCTGAGCAATCCACTGTGTAAATGTAAAGTTTGAGCAGCACAGAGCTGGCTATGCCTAGTGGAATATTCTATTAGCGTCTGTCACCTTCCCTGCTTGTCACCGCAGCATGGCCTTCTCAGGGGAGCCAGCGGTTAGTGTAGATCATTATGGAAAGAAATGAATATGTTTTCAGTTACATCCTCCAAGGAATTGACTGGCAGGCAAATTAAATCTGTTTACCTCCTGCTGCTTTTTTTCTGTAACACTTATGTTTTACAGGAAATAATGATATTCCTCTCATCGTTCTGATTTGCTTTACACTTTCAGCTTTAAACCTAATTAGATGTCCATCTGTCTGCACTAAAAAAACACACCTTGGACAAGTTACTAGATAAAAAAAAGAGTCTGAGGTCCCCTTCCACTAACATCAGAAGTAAGTGAAATCTGAAACATCATAGAAATGGACATTACATGGCAGCCATCGCTGTGAGATCCACCCATTTATCATGTTATGTATTTACATGTTATGGTATAGCATGTTATGTATTTACACATTGCATTCGCGGTCTTTATTCGTAATTGGAAAATTACCGCAGTGACCTATTGAAATACAATCATCTAATAAATAGATAAAATATGCACACAGCACTTTAAAGGGTTAGTCCAATCATCATAGTCTCTGCAGTGAACTGTAGTGGTTGTGGTGCCAGGATTACCCCGGCGCCATCCCAGTGTAAACGGTCAAACCTATTACAAATGGCTCGACTCTTCCCTGGCTTTATCACTCCACACAACATTTTACCAAGCTAAATTAGATGTGGCTATAATTACAATTTGAAGAGCCGATGGAGGCAGCCAATTTGGAATTGCATCAGAAATTTCACTCCTCAGTATGAGTTATTGACAAAAGAAGGCTCCACTGTGCTGGGAATAAGACATTGCTTTCATGTCATGTCCCCAACATGCCCCAGGAAACAGAAAGGTTAGTTAGAAAACAAACTGCCGGAAAGAGTCCAATATAGTTCAACACAAGGTACAGTGTATTTTTAAAGTGCTATTTGATGGTGCATAGACTATTTCCGGTGACTGACACATAAGGGTTAAGACTAAGGTTATTGTGAGATCTGGTGATATAGGGAGGTGAAGCTGAAACACGTAGTCGCACATAAATGTGATAAAAGGCTGCCTGGTTTGCCCTCTGATTCTGGCGTGAGTGTCAGCGCATCCATTCTATCCCCACCAGGAATTCCCGAGGAGTCACTTATTGATTTCGGAATGGCCCCATTAGACTTCCTTACACCAGTCAATGCCTTCGCAATCTCACCTGGGTTTGTACAGAACAATTGTAACAATTTAAATCTAATGCAATAGCAGCCACAATAGCAAGTGGTAGAGCTCCTTGGACACTGCGTTTCCAATTTTTACTCTCCACTATTTTACTATTTTCTCCTTGATTAAAGATCTACCATCGCTATTTTCTAGTCAGCAGCCAACTTTACTTTCACAAGTTTTACATTACAATTTCCCTGTTAAATGAATCACGCAGATAGGGTAGGATGGCTCTAGGACAAATAAAAGTTGATTCTCAGCTGGGCCTTTAGACCTGTGCTCTTTGGAGACAGCTTCTGACTGATCGAAAATAATATTTAAAATTACAAAATCAGTTTTAAATTTTTTTGTTTTTTAATTAATAGATTTTTATTCACCCTGATTAGAAACCCCTGGCTTTTGGAAGATAATGGCTGTTGCTGGAAGGTTTTGAAGGAGAGATATGAGCTGAAAACTGGGCCGTAATTGGTTACAGGTTTCATATAGAGTTTTATATAACATCTATAATATTTACACGCAATCATCTCAATCTCTAAAAGGAAGAACATTGATTGGTCCTACATCTCTGGAAGAATTCAAAAAAGCTATTTGGATTCTCATTTAGACGTAATTCACTGTAAAAAAACTAAAACAACTCTTCGTTTTTAAAATGTTTTTTTTCCTGTTGTAACAGCAGTAACTGTTTTTCATTTGTTATTTATAGTTCTGACTGTGCAGTTTATAAAAAGTCATGGATAATAAAAAGAGGAAGTGCTACTTCTTAACAATTAAGAGTTTCTGATTCATTTTAGGAGTCTGTATCAACAGTCTATAAAAAAAGAAGCGCAGCTGCTAAGAAGATCAAATTTCAGCCATTTCTGCACAGAGTATAGACTTCTATAAAAGTTCACATCGGCCTAGTCCCAATTCAAAGCATAGCCTCTCATTCCCCACACGTGCTGGCATGGCGCTCAATCTCTACGCTTCCAAAGCGTAAGCCACACAAGGGACAGGAAACCCATGACACAGTCTGTTCAGGTAAAATCAAGTCCACGTGGTCAGTCCAGGAGTCATCTTCAGACGAGGACAGGTAACTGTTGCTTGGCTGAGGAACCTCTCCACACATCGAGGCATGAGTTGGGAGATAGTCTACACGAAAAAACCCTGAGAAAGGGAAGAAAGGAAATGGCATTAAACAAAGGCCAGAACTGCTGCCATGTTTGGAGCTCTGTGCATTCAGTTGTATATTTTTGCCAAACCCATGCAGCAGTCCTACTTATAATGGGTGTCATTTAATGAGGATTAGCATTGCACATGCTACTAAAGGATTTTAGGGCATTTTAATTCACGGATAATGGGAGGAAGGTTTTCCTAAAATGGTAAGTGGTCATTTTATTGTATCCAAACCAAGCTGCACGCAGAGTCTAGACACCTTCTCACCTCCGCAGATCGGACAGCAACTGCACTCCTGTACTGTCTCAGGGGGGCTGCATGTCACCGGTGAAAGGTCCCTCTCATGCTTTGTCAATCGTCGCTCTTGTACCTGCGTTCGTCCCTTGCTCCTATTGCAGAACAGGATATCAGTAACTATGTGAATGAACTGAATGAATCACTTACCTCACTGACAGTAAATCACTAAAAATGACATCCAAAAAATACAGAGAAGAATGTACTTGTTATACTGCAGAGAGAAATAAAAGGCATTCGACATCCCTGCCCTAGGACAAGCTTGAACATAGAATAAACAGCCATAATTATGGATTACAATTTTTAAAGGGACATGTCAAGCTCCAAAACCAGTGTAGTTGGCTTCTTATCTAAGGTCCTCAGCTCCACTACTGCCAATGGAGAGTAGTCAGCTGATCACGCTCAGCCAGTGAGCGAAGCCCTGCACTGCAGATAAGCTCCCGGGTCTCTGCTAGAAGTAGTGTAGACAGGAATCAGCACCCAGTGGACTCCAGGTAAGAAGTCATGTTATAATGGTTTCATTACTCGCAGTGGGAGCGGACGCCAGAGAATTATTAGCACCATGACGTGCACCATGACCACTACAGTGTGCTGAAGAAATTAATAAATGGCAGCAGTCAGCAGAGCAAATGATAGTTACTACACATGCTGATACCCAACACAGCACAAGACAAGCACACTATTGTCATTAGGTGTTGGTAGTATCAAAATGTTACCTAGCATTATGAATGGCTAAGATCGCTCTATGAATCAGCTGTTACCCATTACCATTACTCTGGAAGCACTTTAACATCTTTATTTTACGTGTTGCTCTATTTGCTGCATGGATGCACACACTTTACTTAATGCTTTTATGCTGTCCGTACAGTGAGGATAAATTAATGTGGTTTTTCAAAAGTGTGGCCTCGAGAACGCCATCTTTGAAATAAAATTATAGTGTTTGGTAGAAATCTTTCAAATAATTATTAAACATACAGTACACGTAATATAACATACAGACACACATTACACGTAATGTAACATAGACACACATTACACGTCATGTAACATACAGACACACATTACACGTAATGTAACATACAGACACACATTACACTTAATGTAACATACAGACACACATTACACGTAATATAACATGTAGAAACACACATTACATGTAATGTAACATATATAGACACATCACACGTGAAGTTATATATAGAGACACGCATTACACGTAATGTATCATATAGACACACATCACACGTTAAGTAACATATAGATACACATCACACGTTAAGTTACATATAGAGACACACTTTACAAGTGAAGTTACATATTGAGTCACACCTCACACGTGAAGTTACATATCAAGACACACCTCACACGTGAAGTTACATAGAAAGACACACATCACACGTGAAGTTACATAAAAATACACACATTACATGTGAAGTTACATATTGAGACACACATTACACGTGAAGTTACATAGAGAGACACACATTACATGTGAAGTTACATATCAAGACACACATTACACGTGAAGTTATATATCGAGAGACACATTACACGTGAAGTTATATATCGAGACACACATTACATGTGAAGTTACATAGAGACACACATTACATGTGAAGTTACATATCGAGACACACATTACACGTGAAGTTACATATCAAGACACACATTACACGTGAAGTTACATATCGAGACACACATTACACGTGAAGTTACATAGAGAGACACACATTACACTTGAAGTTACATATCGAGAAACACATCACACGTGAAGTTACATAGAGAGACACACATTACACGTGAAGTTACATAGAGACACACGACACGTGAAGTTACATATCGAGACACACATTATGCGTGGTTACATATCGAGACACACATTACGCGTGAAGTTACATATCGAGACACACATTACACGTGAAGTTACATATCGAGACACACATTACGCGTGAAGTTACATATCGAGACACACACTACGCGTGAAGTTACGTATCGAGACACACATCACATGTGAAGTTACGCATCGAAACACACATCACACGTGAAGTTACACATCGAGACACACATCACACGTGAATGTAACGGACCGTTTTGCACACAAGAGGTTAAAAACCGTTTAGCCGATATTTCCCTTTCCAATGCACAGGCAGCTACTGCAAGCACCAATTTCCCGAACTGCAAACTACACGAATCCTCCAACTCCCGAACAGGAAACACACGAACACTGGAAACAGCTGAACACTCCTGGCAATCAGCATACAATCCAATTCCCCCAATAACGAGACAACACTTCAGTTTGAGGTCAAGTAGAACCTGGTTTACTGGGGCTAACTGCCCGGCTTTTATGCAGGTCTCCCACCTGGTGGACACTCCCCTAGGGGACCAGATGGGAAACTGGGAAACATATTGTAACGGATCACCTGGCACCCCGACTGGGTACCTCCGTTGAAAGATGCTCCTAGCGCTTCCAGAGGACTCCAAGCACTCCACCAGACACCATAAGCACCGCAGGCTGCAGCTATCTCCCTTCAGAACGAAGCAGGAACAATCTCTTACAAGAGCTCAGTGATTATAGCAAGGGAATATGCCTAGCATAGCAATCCCTTGTAGCAGATTCCCCCAATAAGAGACAGGACTCAAGTTGAGGGTAAAAATAGAACTCTCTGGCTGCTAGCTTGCAGCCCTTTTTATTAGGTGCTCCCATGAAGGGGAGGGACACACACAGTAACGTACATTAACCAATCACACAATAGTTACATCCCACACATAGCCCTCCCCTCTACCTGTAAACTAATTATCTGTACACACAGGAAAATACAATTATCATAGGTAGGGAAAATACAGTTTTTACACAACATTCATAACTCCCAAAATATACATCACATTCGCATAAAAATACATATTCACAATCAATCCATTCAGGGGAACAACATATTAAAAAATGGCATGAATCAGACCAGGGGTTCAAAAGTTAGTAAAAGTATCTTTTGTTCCCCCTGGCTCAAACAGTAAAAGTAAAACATCCCCACAATGCATCCTGGCTTCCTCCCTTCTGCCCTGGAGATAATTGGAGAAGGAATCTAATTATCTCCAAAGACAGAGCCAAACTCCATTACCCACATGGCAGACAAAAAGACAGTAAAAGACATAAAATTACATACTGACACATTTAGTACATAAAACACACATTTCTACATATCCCCAGATAGCTTGGATCTGACTGCACATTATTAGATGAATGGCACTCAGATCACACGAATAAGCCTTTCTGCAGGGAAAATAAACAGTTTAACCTGCAGGGCCATAGTCCAAAGGCAAGAGGCGGGCAAGCAGCCCCCTCCAAGGACACGTGGCGAGGTCGGTTTTGCCACACTTCTCCCCTTTGCCCCCCAGACTAACAGGGTATCTGACCTCCTGCCGGTCAGTGCCCTGGTTAGTCCAGCAACCCACCCACGAAGCACAAACAGCAGTACAGCCCACCCACAATAAATGTTTACTCCACCTGGATAAAGTAGCAACTTGTCCATGTCCAGGTGCCTCACCACGGCTGTGTGGGGAGCTGGTAGACTGCCTTGGTGGGTTGCTGAGTGGGCAGAGACCAGCGGTACTCTGCCCTGGTGCCAGCGCTACCACCGAAGTAGCCTGATTGGAGCCTGGTTGTGGGAGGGGGAGACCGACCGTCTCCCCTCTGGGTACACAGCTCTGGGGCTGGGGAACAGGACCGACCGTCTCTACCCCTTGGGCTGTAAGCACAGAGACTACGGTCCCATCTGCACAGTTGCGGGGCTCAACATCTCCCCTTGGTGGGTTAGGCTGCCGCTGGAGAGAGGGTGTAACAAGCTCCTCTCTCTGGACTGTCAACTGCCGCTGGGGAGAGGGGTTAACAGGCTCCTCTCCCTGACACTCTCTCTGCTGGTGGAGAGGCGGACCAGCTGTCTCCCCTTTCATTATTTTGTCCTGCTGCTGGGGTGTGAGACTGACAGTCTCTGCTCCCTGCAGGACACACTGCCGCTGGGGAGGAAGGACGACACCTTCAGCTCCCTGGGGTACACACTGTCGCTGGAGAGGAAGGATTGCACCCTCAGCTCCCTGGGGTACACACTGCCGCTGGGGAGGAAGGACGACACCTTCGGCTCCCTGGGTTACACACTGCTGCTGGGGAGGGCGGACGACACCATCAGCTCCCTGGGGTACGCACTGCCGCTGGGGAGGAAGGACGGCACCTTCCGCTGGGGCAGCCTGTAGAAAGTCAGGCTCAGGGGAAGGAAACAAAGGAGGACAGAGGCCAGCGGCGCTCTGCCCAGTTGCCAGCTCTTCTGCTGGGGGGTCAGGGAACAAAGGAGTTGGCTGGGGAGGAGAAATATCACTTACCTCCCCCTGGTACTCCGGCTGCTGCTGGGGGTGGAGGTCAATGCTCTCCACTTTCTGTAACTCCAGCTCTAGTTGGGGATCTGGGCCGGTTGCCCAGCATCCCTGTAGGGCCGGTGGAGAGATCTCGGTCCCATCTCCACCTGCCTGTAGGGGGTCCTCCCAGGACCACTCTATGAGGTCCTCTACCTCGGGTACCTCTGGTTGCTGTTGGGGAGGGAGACCGGTTGTCTCTTCCTCCAATAACACATTCTGCCGCTGGGGAGTGAGACCGACTGTCTCCCCTCCCTGTAAAACCTACTGCCGCTGGGGATCTGGGCCGGGTGCCCAGCATCCCTGTAGGGCCGGTAGAGAGACCTCGGTCCCATCTCCACCGGCCACCTCGGTTTCTTCCTCGTCCCACTCTACCTGTGGCTGGAGTTTCTCCCAACGTGCCCACTGGCCTTCCCTCAACGCCCTGTGTTGTAGGTTCCGGGTCACCATGTCCCACACGAACCGCACGTATTTCTCCTCTGGATTGGGTCCGTAAAACTTCAGGTGCAACCCTACCATCGTGCCAAACTCTAGTACGGAGTAGCTATATGCCATGCTTGCTGTAGCCACTGCTGGTTCCATTATGTTGCTGAAGATAAGGACGCTGCACAACTCCACACGTTACCGGTGTCTCCGAGCTGCTTCTCCTCGCACTAGGATGCCATCCCGCCGCTTGCCACCAATGTAACGGATCACCTGGCACCCCGACTGGGTACCTCCGTTGAAAGATGCTCCTAGCGCTTCCAGAGGACTCCAAGCACTCCACCAGACACCATAAGCACCGCAGGCTGCAGCTATCTCCCTTCAGAACGAAGCAGGAACAAGCTCTTACAAGAGCTCAGTGATTATAGCAAGGGAATATGCCTAGCATAGCAATCCCTTGTAGCAGATTCCCCCAATAAGAGACAGGACTCAAGTTGAGGGTAAAAATAGAACTCTCTGGCTGCTAGCTTGCAGCCCTTTTTATTAGGTGCTCCCATGAAGGGGAGGGACACACACAGTAACGTACATTAACCAATCACACAATAGTTACATCCCACACATAGCCCTCCCCTCTACCTGAAACTAATTATCTGTACACACAGGGAAATACAATTATCATAGGTAGGGAAAATACAGTTTTTACACAACATTCATAACTCCCAAAATATACATCACATTCGCATAAAAATACATATTCACAATCAATCCATTCAGGGGAACAACATATTAAAAATGGCATGAATCAGACCAGGGGTTCAAAAGTTAGTAAAAGTATCTTTTGTTCCCCCTGGCTCAAACAGTAAAAGTAAAACATCCCCACAATGCATCCTGGCTTCCTCCCTTCTGCCCTGGAGATAATTGGAGAAGGAATCTAATTATCTCCAAAGACAGAGCCAAACTCCATTACCCACATGGCAGACAAAAAGACAGTAAAAGACATAAAATTACATACTGACACATTTAGTACATAAAACACACATTTCTACATATCCCCAGATAGCTTGGATCTGACTGCACATTATTAGATGAATGGCACTCAGATCACACGAATAAGCCTTTCTGCAGGGAAAATAAACAGTTTAACCTGCAGGGCCATAGTCCAAAGGCAAGAGGCGGGCAAGCAGCCCCCTCCAAGGACACGTGGCGAGGTCGGTTTCGCCACACATATTGGACATTGACCAATCACAAGCTTACAATCCCACAATGCATCACAATCCCTCCTCTCTGTCCTGGAGATAATTGGGAAGTAATCCAATTATCTCCAAGGACAGAGGCAAAACTCCATTAACCACATGGCAGTAAAAAGACAGTAAAAGACATAAAATTACATACTGTTACATTCTTAACATAGAACATACACATTCTACCTATCCCCAGATAGCTTAGATCTGAGCGCACATTATTACCGGATGGCGCTCAGATCACAGGCATACAGTTCAATCGCCATGGAGCCAAAGTCTTTCGGTATATGAATGGGCTCCATGGCTTAACTATCTGGGGTAACACTGCTCACATTGGGAAAATAAAGGGTTTTTAATGCAGGGCCATAGTCCAGCGACAAGAGGTGGGCAACCAGGCTCCTCCAGTGGCTAGTGGCGAGGTTGGTTCCGCCACATTTCTCCCCTTTACCAATCAGACTAACAGGGTATCTGACCTCCTGTCGGTCAGTGCCCTGGTTAGTCCAGCAACCCAACCTCAGAACACAATCAGCAGTACAGCCCACCCACAATAAAGGGTTACTACACCTGGGGAAATGAGTAGCTTGCCTTTGTCCAGGTGCTTCACCACTGCTGTGTGGGGTGTTGCTATTCCAGGTCGGTGGGTTGCTGAGTGGGCAGAGACCAGTGGTACTCTACCCTGGTGCCAGCGCTATTACGGGAGTAGCCTGGTTGGAGCCCCGCTGAGGAGAAGGGGTAGTAGGCTGCCTTCTCTGGATCTGGTGCTGCTGCTGTAGGGGGAGACCGACTGTCTCCCTTTTGGGCAACCAGCCCTGCTGCTGGGGGACAGGACCGACCGTCCCTACCCTCTGTGGTTTGGGCACAGAGACTACGGTCCCATCTGCACCGGTGTGAGGCTTATCATCTCCCCTTGGTGGGCTAGGCTGCTGCTGGGGGCAGGGGGTAACAAGCTCCTCTCCCATACATACTTTCAGCCGCTGGGGAGAGGGGATAACAAGCTCCTCTCCCAGACACCCTTTCTGCTGGTGGAGAGGGGAAACAACTGTCTTCCCTTTCGATATATTGTCCCGCAGCTGGGGAGCGAGACTGACTGTCTCTGCTCCCAGCAGGACACACTGCCGCTGGGGAGGAAGGACGACACCTTCTGCTCCCTGTAACACACACTGCCGCTGGGGAGGAAGGACGGCACCTTTGTCTCCCTGGAACTCACTGGACTGCTGGGGAGAGGGACCCACTGTCTCCTCTCCTAAGGACACACACTGCCGCTGGGGAGGAAGGACGGCACCTTTGGCTCCCTGGGACTCACTTGACCACTGGGGAGAGGGACCAACTGTCTCCTCTCCTAAGGACACACACTGCCGCTGGGGAGGAAGGATGGCACCTTCAGCTCCCTGGGATAAATACTGCCGCTGGGGATCCTCGCAGGACCAGTCTAGGAGGTCCGCTACCTCGAGATCAACAGCGCTAGGGAGACCCAGCATGTCTTCTCGGTCGTAACACAGGTCCCAAAAACGAGAGTCGGTAGCTTTCCCAAAGTCCTCATCGTCAATATTATCCCAAAATAGGCCAGGGCCAGCGTAATCTCCGCCCTCTGGGAACTCATACTCTGCCATCTCGGGGACACACTGAGCAGCGTACCACTGTATCACCTGGTATGTGTCGTCGAGCGCCAGTTCTGCATATACTAGAATCTCGAGTCTAGTCACCCACGCTTCTTCGGTCTGTTTTCTCAGGAGGGGCATCTGCTCTGCCATTCGAGCCAGTATTCGCTGCCTTCTGCTGCGGCGCCGATCCCCTCGCGAATACTGTACTTTCTCTAGGGCTTCTTCCCACAACCCGGCTCTGGCAATCTCTCTGTACCTCAACATGTCCTCCTCTGACACTGCTCCAGACCTCAGGGATACGTAACAGTGCAATCTATCTTGAAACTTCTCCTCCATTTTCTGAGTTCCTTTGTAGGTAGGGCCACTGTAAGGATACTAGCTTTACCTTCAGTTTGTAAATCCGGGAATGGTGTTACCTTGTAGCTGTCCTTCTGGGCTGTGGGAATGATCCCGCCACTTGCCACCAATTGTAACGGACCGTAACACAAGAGGTTAAAAACAGTTTAGGCGATATTCCCCTTTCCAATGCTACTGCAAGCAGTAGTAGTCTTTCGGTATATGAATGGGCTCCATGGCTTAACTATCTGGGGTAACAATGCTCACATAGGGAAAATAAAAGGTTTTTAATGCAGGGCCATAGTCCAGCGGCAAGAGGTGGGCAACCAGGCTCCTCCAGTGGCTAGTGGCGAGGTTGGTTCCGCCACAGTGAAGTTACATATCGAGACACACATCACACGTGAAGTTACATATCGAGACACACATCACACGTGAATTTACATAGCGAGACATATTTGCCACGTGAAGTTACATATCGAGACACACATTACACGTGAAGTTACATAGAGACACACACATCACATGTGAAGTTACATATCGAGACACTCATCCCATGTGAAGTTACATATCGAGACACACATTACACGTGAAATTACATATCGAGACACACATTGCACGTGAAGTTACATAGAGAGACACACATTGCACCTGAAGTTACATAGAAAGACACACATTACATGTGAAGTTACATATCGAGACCCACATCACACGTGAAGTTACATGTGAAGTCATGTTTAACTGCTCTCACACCAATATTATCTTTGGAGGTAAATGGAGTAGGGGTATTTGGCGGCGAGGGGCATCAGGAAAGCCCACACCAGTTCAATATCTGCTGAGAAGTTTATTTTCTCGATGCTCAGAAGTTCCAACCTTCTCACCCACATGTTCTAATGTATTCCATTGGTAAGGATCTAATTGTTGTAAAAGTCACATTCACTTTTCCACCTCATGTCTGAGAGGTTACCTGAACGCCTGCTCTTCCTGTGAATTCTCTCTGTTACATGATCTCAAATCAGATATATTATTTACCCACCATTGCTGTTTTAATATTATTTATAATTAATGGTGAATCGGAATCCTGGCATGTTTCTTATTTATAGTTTATTTTTATTAATTTAAAAAAGAAAAAAGCCATGTGATTCCAATGTTGCGATTAATTGGCCTCCATGCAGTAAATGTCCTCTGAGACTAATTGTGTCTAAATATCCTGGGAATAAATACAGGTTGCTCATATCAATAGCTAGAACATCATACACATACCTTGGAGAGGACACCTGCATTCTCAGCCTCCTTCTACGAACCTTGGTACCTTCTTTCTTTTTGGGACTTGGTGGAGTCCTAGAGGTATCTGGACAAGTAGCTGCTGGGAGAGATATCCTTTAATACTGAGGCTAGGAAAAGGAAACCACAGCTGTCTGACCCAATGCAGCCCATCCAGCTCCCACCACACATTGCCTCACATTGCCCTTTATTTACGTAGCACGAAATGAATGACACTTTCACACATCTACCTTTCCTACCTGGGCTGTGACTGGTATCTGCTGCCTCTGGATCACGGGGCAGTGAACCTGTGCCAGTTAAATTAAGAAAGCGTCGTTTGCGTGAGTTGGTTGCAGATAAAACCATCCTCTCAGTGCGGCTCATGGGGGAGGCCCTTTCAATTCGTGGTGAAGTGCTAGACAGGGCTTGGTGTAACCGATCCTTAAGCTTCCCTTCCTCCTGGCGCCTGGAAAGAGACCAATTGGAAAAGATAGTTTCACTTTCACTTGAGGCAAAATTTAAATTAAAAAAAACATTCAGGTTACCTTACATAGACAGTAAAACGTATCACAACAATTATATCGTCAGTGTAAGTGTGCCATTTGTGTGTGAAAAATGCAAAAAATTGCACTTTCATTGACGATATCGTCGTTGTAATACATTTTACTGTTTTCAAACACTAATATTTGTGTACATTGAAGTCTTCCGAGTAAAACGGTATCCCCCATGTACAGGTTTTATGGTGTCTTGGAAAGTTACAGGGTCAAATATAGTGCTAGCAAATTAAATTCCCTGAACTTTCGGCCTGGGTTGTCAGGCAGGTCCTGCAAATTGTAATTAATAAATTTACCTAATTATGTAAAATTATTACATAAATATATACGTAGAATCAATTTTGATAATATATATATTAATTTTAAAATACAGTTAGAATGAAATTACACATGTATATATATTTATTTTTTATTATTTTGAAATTTTATTTTTTAACGTATTTACATATTTATTTTATTTTATATATAAATAGATATATAATGATAATTATATATATATTTAGTCAATATCATTGTACGTGTATATGTATTAATATTAAAATATACTTAGTGTATGTGCATGTGTGTATATGTGTATATATATATATATATATATATATACTTAGATCATATATATATATATATATAATAAATATATATACAATCTATATATATAATGTTATTTGACACTGTTTTAACATTTATTTTATTTAATTTTCAGACAGCAGGGGGAGTACCTGTCATTACAGGCACTCCCCCTGCTGGAAATGCCTTGGACGGCTATGTCGTCCATGTGATCGCAAGGACCTCACAATCACATGGCCCGGAGGGGCCGAAGAGGACAGAGGGGGACTCCCTGGGGTCCCAGGTAAGTCCCCATACCGCGATGCTGACGACCGGATAAGTATATAGGATGGCGGGGACGTTCTATGCCGCCCTTAAGGAAGCGGCTCTAAACGTTGCAGGGCGGCATAGAACGTCTCGCTTCCTTAAGGGGTTAAAGGGACACTCCAGGATGGATTTACTCCCAGATGCACCTTCATAGTCCCACTTATCCTGTTTGAAGGAGGACACAAAGGAGCAGTGTCAAATGGTAAAAGTGATTTGTGTAATTTTAATAAAAATGAATAAAATAAAGAAAGCCAAGTTTTGCCTGAGATTTCTCTTCAGTCAAACATCAGCAAGTCTGGTTTTGGGGTGACAGAGTCAGGTTTATACTTAAAGAGATCATAGTAATTGTGGCAGAAATGCCTCTGCCACGTGTTCTTGGAGGGGCCTGCTTGCCAGCCTCCTGCCAAAAGACCATGTGCCCCTTAAAAACGTATGTGATTTATGTACTTTTGTACTCCATAAAGAAAGACCGATCCGGTAAAAATTATGACTTCCATGGAAATCCTGAACCCTTGAACCGATCTGGGTGATTTTTGGATATGTTGGTCTTCCAGATCGGGGCTATCAGGGGATGTGACTTTTGTGGGGTTTCAATTTGTTTTAGGGGTTCTTTTGTGGTGGTGTTGTATTGCGTGCTTCTTGTTCTGAGAGATAATTTAATATGTTTGTGTACTCAAGTAATTATCTTCCAGGCACAGGGGAGGGATTGACCAATTTTGTATAGGAGTGTCCTGGACCTGAGAGCCAATGTAATTGTGTGTATGTGGTCTACTCTCAGGTCCAGGGGGGAGTGCCCCTTGCATGGGGACCTGCAAATAAGGCTAGTTGTGGCTGCCAATAAATTAATTCCTGCTCACCCTCAACATAGAGTCTCAATTCATGTGTGAGGAGGAACAGCTGTATCTACTCCGGGGATTGCTATATCACTATACTCCACAGGGTTATAATCACTTGCTCTTTTAAGAGCATATTGCTACACTCTCTTGGAGGAGAGATCTGCCCACTGGAAGCTGGATCCTGGTCTTGGGTCCAGGGTGGGTGGAGGACAGCGAGACCCCAACCAAGCTGTAATGCTGGAAGTGGAGATTACAGTGCTGATGGTGTCTGGTGCGGTGCTTGTGGTGCAGTGATTGGCGGAGGCACCCAGTCGGGATGCCAGGTGGTCCGCCACAGAAATTAATTGCCAACCGCACAACAAACGCCTATAAAAATATTAATTTTACTGACTATCACATAAAGAAATGTCAATTAACAGATATACACCTATATGTTCAGGTATATGTACCCATATATAATAATATATAATATCGTTACACCATTCAATATAATGCCAAAAAATATATAAGCTGTAAAATAGAACCTAATGCCAAAAATAAATACAGGAATTATATACACATAATCAGACAAAACAAACGTCATGTATCATAGCAGATAAGACTAGTGATAATATACCTTGAGAAAGTCCAACAGGTCGAAACGTCGGTTGTTAGGTATGTTATGCCTCGAGTCCTCACTAGTCTTATTTGCTATGGTACTTGACATTTGTTTTGTCTGATTATATAATTCCTTGGCTTATAGGTGTTTATAAATCGATTTTCATTTTTATGTGATATTCAATAAATGTTATATTTTTATAAGCATTTGGAGTGCAAGTGCCAATTATTTACTATGATTTCTATGTGACCGCTATGGGGTTGTATGCCCCTATTTGTATTAATTACTGCTCGTTAAAGGGACACTATAGACACCCAGACCATTTCAGATCAAATTAGTGCTCTGGGTGGCATGTTCCTGTAATTTTAAACCAGCAAATGAAAACATTGCAGTTCTGCAGGAACAGCAACATTACCGGGTATAAATGCCTTTAGTGCTTGTCACTACTGAAATACCTGAGTAAAACTCAGCTATTTCAATTAGATGCTCCCATAGACACTTGTGCCATGCACCAGCAATGGCCTCCCAATGCTTTCCTATGGGAGAGATCATTAAGAGGAATTTAAATATATATTAAAGGTTGATGATCTCAGACAAGGAGGCGCGGAGACTGCAGAGAGAACACAGCGAAGAGGGAGAAAACATGCGCAAAATACATTTTTAACCCTTGCACATTAATGCTATAGTTAATGTTTACCACATGGTAGCTAGACGAGATATTAACGTTTATACCTGAGTGAATCACTATGCATCTCTCTGTCTGTCTGTCTGTCTGTCAATCTCAGGTATCGCAATGCCCTTATAGAAACGTAGAGGCACAGGACAGTCTGGGAATTGAGACAGTCTGTATGTCTCTTTCTGTGTATCCCTCTCTCTGACTATACCTGAGTGAATCACTATGTATCTCTCTGTCTGTCTCAGGTATCGCAATGCCATTATAGAAAGGTAGAGGCACAGGACAGTCTGAGAATTGAGACAGTCTGTATGTCTCTTTCTGTGTCTCACTCTCTCTGACTATACCTGAGTGAATCACTATGTATCTGTCTCTCTCTGTCTGTCTCAGGTATCGCAATGCCCTTATAAAGGTAGAGACACAGGACATTCTGAGAATTGAGACATTCTGGGTGACATGGTGCAAATTTATATCATGTATAACATTACAGTGCACTGTTTTATTATAAGGTAATAATACAGGCTCTCACAGTTTATTGTCCTCTCTGCCATTCGCCAAGGACTCCCTGGAAGGTGAGTAGGGAAGACGAGAGTTAGACAAGCTGCTGTCCTGTGACACTTCAATCTGTGGATACAAAGCAAGAGTTACAAGACATTACTTCAACAATAAAAAAATGTCTCTGTATTTTGGGAACCATAAGTGACTGATTTCTTTTTGAGATTTTGAGAGTGTTTTACCAATACTGTGTGTGCTTTCTCATACTATTTTATAACAGCCCTACAGCATAGAAAGCCCTGACTGGATGACAGGAGCAATCTCCTCCCCTGCACAGACTACGTGTTGCTCTAGATATGGTGAATGTGTATTTAGTAGGTGTGACAGGTGAAGAGCAGCTCTAGATGGGCTCAGAGCAAGTGCTAAATGTACAGATTTTCTGTTTATTATTAGGTCACATGTTTTGGATGAATATTGTTCTCAATTTGTAGAATCTACTAAACACTATGACTAATATTGATGTTGATAGTTCTTTTTCCTAGTACAGTCTTCTTTTAAAAACGCCCCATGGGTGAAGGCACTAAGTGACAACGATGTGTGTCAACTCAGCCAACCAGCAGAGAAACCAAGAAAGAGGTTAGAGATACTTTGCCTGAGATGCCGTTTTATGACTGTTCTGATCGTCTTCGCTAAGTGGGGATTGTAGGCGTACGAATGATAGTCCAAACATGGCTTGCTTGTTGAAGGGCTGGCTACAGATAATCCGAAGTCTGTCCCACTTTTCTTTTGCCGCTTCAGCTATGAAGTCACCTGCACCCAACAACAAAACAGGTCTCTCATCTGCACATCACAGCAATTGGAACAGAGCACAGTAAGAGAAAAAGTGCACTAGATCAGGATTTCACAGCCAGCAGATACATTTAGGCCCATACACTAAGAACCAGTATATACATGTAGGCCCACACATTAGGAGCCAGCAGATACATGTAGGTCCATACACTAAGAACCAAGCAGATACATGTAGGCCCACACATTAGGAGCCAGCAGATACATGTAGGTCCATACACTAAGAACCAAGCAGATACATGTAGGCCCACACATTAGGAGCCAGCAGATACATGTAGGTCCATACACTAAGAACCAAGCAGATACATGTAGGCCCACACATTAGGAGCCAGCAGATACATGTAGGTCCATACACTAAGAACCAAGCAGATACATGTAGGCCCACACATTAGGAGCCAGCAGATACATGTAGGTCCATACACTAAGAACCAAGCAGATACATGTAGGCCCACACATTAGGAGCCAGCAGATACATGTAGGTCCATACACTAAGAACCAAGCAGATACATGTAGGTCCATACATTAAGAACCAAGCAGATACATGTAGGTCCATACACTAAGAACCAAGCAGATACATGTAGGTCCATACACTAAGAACCAAGCAGATATATGTAGGTCTATACACTAAGAACCAAGCAGATATATGTAGGTCCATACACTAAGAACAAGCAGATACATGTAGGTCCATACACTAAGAGCAAGCAGATACATGTAGGTCTATACACTAAGAGCAAGCAGATACATGTAGGTCTATACACTAAGAACCAAGCAGATACATGTAGGTCCATACACTAAGAACCAAGCAGATACATGTAGGTCCATACACTAAGAGCAAGCAGATACATGTAGGTCTATACACTAAAAACCAGCAGAAACATGTTGGCCCATACACTAAGAACCAGCAGAAACATGTTGGCCCATACACTAAAAACCAGCAGATACATGTAGGTCCATACACTAAGAACCAAGCAGATACATGTAGGTCCATACACTAAGAACTAGCAGATACATGTGGGTCCATAAAATAAAAAACAGCAGATACATGTTATTTTATTTATTTATAAAATATTTTACCAGGAAAGATACATTGAGATTTCTCTCGTTTTCAAGTATGTCCTGGGTCCACAAAAATTGCATTGATAGAATAGGGTACAATAAAATACAAAAATAATATTAATACACAATATATACAAAATTTTACATAGAACAGGTAGGAAATATGTAATCAACCATGACAGGTGCATTCTATTTTGAGGTATGTAGAGAAGGATCTCTCAAAGGACTTTAGGCTTGGGGAAGATTTGAAAGTGTGCGGGAGGTCGTTCCATAATTGTGGTGCTCTATAGGAAAAGGAGGAGTGTAGGTCCATACACTAAAAACCAGCAGATATATTTAGGTGCACACACTAGAAGCCAGCAGATACATGTAGCCTACACATTATGAATCAGTATATTTATGTAGGAAGGTAAACTTTTTTATATACACTGCTCAAAAAAATAAAGGGAACACTTAAACAACACAATATTACTCCAAGTCAATCACACTTCTGTGAAATTTAACTGTCCGCTTAGGAAGCAACACTGAGTGACAATCAATTTCACATGCTGTTGTGCAAATGGGATAGACAACAGGTGGAAATTATAGGCAATTAGCAAGACACCCCTAATAAAGGAGCGGTTCTGCAGGTGGTGACCACAGACCACTTCTCAGTTCCTATGCTTCCTGGCCGATGCTTTGGTCATTTTTGAATGCTGGCGGTGCTTTCACTCTAGTGGTAGCATGAGACGGAGTCTACAACCCAAACAAGTGGCTCAGGTAGTGCAGCTTATCCAGGATGGCACATCAATGCGAGCTGTGGCAAGTAGGTTTGCTGTGTCTGTCAGCGTAGTGTCCAGAGCATGGAGGCGCTACCAGGAGACAGGCTAGTAGGAAACGTGGAGGAGGCCGTAGGAGGGCAACAACACAGCAGCAGGACCGCTACCTCCGCCTTTGTGCAAGGAGGAACAGGAGGAGCACTGCCAGAGCCCTGCAAAATGACCTCCAGTAGGCCACAAATATGCATGTGTCTGTTCAAACGATCAGAAACAGACTCCATGAGGGTGGTATGAGGGCCTACAGAACAACACCGTGCAGGACGTTTGGCAATTGCCAGAGAACACCAAGATTGGCAAATTCGCCACTGACGCCCTGTGCTCTTCACAGATGAAAGTAGGTTCACACTGAGCACATGTGACAGACGTGACAGAGTCTGGAGACGCCATGGAGAACGTTCTGCTGCCTGCAACATCCTCCAGCAAGACCGGTTTGGCAGTGGGTCAGTAATGGTGTGGGGTGGCCCTCCATGTGCTCGCCAGAGGTAGCCTGACTGCCATTAGGTACCGAGATGAGATCCTCAGACCCCTTGTGAGACCATATGCTGGTGCGGTTGGCCCTGGGTTCCTCCTAAAGCAAGACAATGCTAGACCTCATGTGGCTGGAGTGTGTCAGCAGTTCCTACAAGACAAAGGCATTGATGCTATGGACTGGACCGTCCATTCCCCAGACCTGAATCCAATTGAGCACATATGGGACATCCACTAACGTCACATTGCACCACAGACTGTCCAGGAGTTGGCAGATGCTTTAGTCCAGGTCTGGGAGGAGATCCCTCAGGAGACCATCCGCCACCTCATCAGGAGCATGCACAGGCATTGTAGGGAGGTCGTACAGGCACGTGGAGGCTACACACGCTACATTTTGTTTTAAGGACATTACATCAAAGTTGGATCAGCCTGTAGTGTGTTTTTCCACTTTAATTTTGAGTGTGACTCCAAATCCAGACCTCCATGGGTTGAAAAACTTGATTTCCATTTTTTACTTTTTGAGTGATTTTGTTGTTAGCACATTCAACTATGTAAAGAACAAAGTATTTCAGAAGAATATTTAATTCATTCAGATCTAGGATGTGTTATTTTTGTGTTCCATTTATTTTTTTGAGCAGTGTATATAAATCCACACATCAGGAATTAGTCAATAGAAGTAGGAAGGTGAACTGCAAACTGTTTTTTTTAACCAAGGTGAAAAAACCATGGCTCCTTGCATGAGTGGTTTATCAAGCTCTGAGCCAAACTGCAAAACAGAAGGTCTATAGAGAAGGTATTCAGGTCTTACATTAAAATGGCATACTTTATAGCATTAAAAAAATTATTTACCAGTCTCCATTGTTTTAGTTTTTGATGAACAAAAACATTTCTATATGTTTGTGATCCTAACCTATGTTGTACAGCCATGTTATTCCATGGGAGATGCACAGGACCCAGAGGCAATTTTTGCAAGAGCTTACAATCTTGTGTCAGAGACACAAATAATGCAATCAGTTCCATTCTAAGTAGACATCACCTGATCACTTGGAAGAACTGTTTAACTGAAAAAAAAAATAACAGGAGGCGTGCTGCTTCCTTGGATGCAGTAATTTGAGAAAGGACGGTGCCAGGGGATGTTACCTGGCATATTAAAAACACTTGCATAGCACGCCATGCCACCCAGTAGGAGATACTGCATAAAAAATCAACCCGTGTTTCAGTCATCTACACTGCTTTCATAATCAAAATATAGATCTATAAGGACTAGCTACAGCTCTGGTTTTGACAGTCAAAACCAGTTTGAATGCTAATGGCCTGTCCTAAACACTGGTCTCCACCCATCATAAAAATTAATTCTATAAAGTAGTCTGCCCCCCTCACCTCACAAAACATGTACTCACAGAAGGCTCGTGCATATCTCAGCATCTAAGTGTATGAAAACTGTACAACATGAAGGTAAAACACAATACGGGGCGCCATGGTCACAAAATGTGAGGTAGTTATGGTTACCATAATGCAGAGGAAAGTGTAAAACTCACATGAAAAAGAGAAACAAAAAAATAATAGTGCAAGCTTTAATAAACACAAAATGTTACAAAAGGTAAAAGGAACACTGACAAAGGTAATGGCACAATTGAAGTAAATCAATATGTGCAAAAGCGCTTTAAGCCTCAATTAGGCTAGGTCCCCAGGAAAGTCTATCAGCAGTAGATATCTCTGAATATTAGCTGGGCTTCCTCCACAGACCACCAGTGATTAGGAATGAGGAAATCAGTTCACGCTGCAGTCCTTCCGGGGGTATTTATCTGCTCAACGCGTTTTGTCTTTCTTCAGGAGATTTTTCTTTCTTCAAAATCCAGCGTTTAAATATGCCGGGCAGCGTCCCTTTGCTGTGTCTGCGAATGTTCGGTGACCCTTTGGCATGACATCATTACGTCCCGTCATCGTCTACCGCGCATCTTACTTAGGAACTCCCACTCATGTTGCACAATGTATAAAAATATACTATGATACAAACTGTGCGTTGTGTAATTTATCTTCTCGTTGCAGTATATTAGTCTTTACCTTTTTGTGTTATATCACACATCCTCTAAATTGTTAGCTTTTTGTTTGTGACACTGGATAACATCACAGAAAACACTGATGCTTAATAAGTACAAATAAAATAATAATATCTAAATTGTGGATACGGTCAGTCCATAATTACTTTTGGACAAGTTGAGTACACAGTAATAGTTTCACTTCACACAACGATCCCGATTTACCTTCTTTGAACATTCTGACGGAGTTGCAGTTCTTCCCGAGTTTGGAATCCATAGGGTTCATAAGCGTAGTTGTTGGGAGCAGAGTTACAAAGGGTTTATCTGAGGGCCAGCTAGAGCGGCCTACATCTATCTGTAGGAAGGCAGAACCACTGTTCCCTGCAAAAGGAATAAAATAATACTTAAATATCTGTTCTAAAGTAAATAAAACCGATATAACATTGCAAACAACATAAACATGCTGCAAAAGGAAAAAAACATTCAACAAACCTTCGTAAAATCCCATATGTGAATGAAATTAGATGTATGCGAGGGATTAGATGTCTGTCAAAGATTAGATGTATGTGAGTGATTAGATGTATGCGAGGGATTAGATGTATGCGAGTGATTAGATGTATGTCAGTGATTAGATGTATGTCAGTGATTAGATGTATGTGAGGGATTAGATGTATGTCAGTGATTAGATGTATGTCAGTGATTAGATGTATGTCAGTGATTAGATGTATGTCAGTGATTAGTCAGTGATTAGATGTCAGTGATTAGATGTATGTCAGTGATTAGATGTATGCGAGTGATTAGATGTATGTGAGTGATTAGATGTATGTCAGTGATTAGATGTCTGTCAGTGATTAGATGTATGTCAGTGATTAGATGTATGTCAGTGATTAGATGTATGCGAGTGATTAGATGTGTGTCAGTGATTAGATGTGTGTCAGTGATTAGATGTATGTCAGTGATTAGATGTATGTCAGTGATTAGATGTATGCGAGTGATTAGATGTATGTCGAGTGATTAGATGTATGTGAGGGATTAGATGTATGTCAGTGATTAGATGTGATTAGATGTATGTCAGTGATTAGATGTATGTCAGTGATTAGATGTATGTGAGGGATTAGATGTCTGTCAGTGATTAGATGTATGTCAGTGATTAGATGTATGTCAGTGATTAGATGTCTGTCAGTGATTAGATGTATGTCAGTGATTAGATGTATGTCAGTGATTAGATGTCTGTCAGTGATTAGATGTCTGTCAGTGATTAGATGTATGTCAGTGATTAGATGTATGTCAGTGATTAGATGTCTGTCAGTGATTAGATGTATGTCAGTGATTAGATGTATGTCAGTGATTAGATGTATGTCAGTGATTAGATGTATGTCAGTGATTAGATGTATGTCAGTGATTAGATGTATGTCAGTGATTAGATGTATGTCAGTGATTAGATGTATGTCAGTGATTAGATGTGTGTCAGTGATTAGATGTATGTCAGTGATTAGATGTCATGTCAGTGATTAGATGTATGTCAGTGATTAGATGTATGCGAGGGATTAGATGTCTGTCAGTGATTAGATGTCTGTCAGTGATTAGATGTCTGTCAGTGATTAGATGTATGTCAGTGACTAGATGTATGTCAGTGATTAGATGTATGTCAGTGATTAGATGTGTGTCAGTGATTAGATGTATGTCAGTGATTAGATGTGTGTCAGTGATTAGATGTGTGTCAGTGATTAGATGTATGTCAGTGATTAGATGTATGTCAGTGATTAGATGTATGTCAGTGATTAGATGTATGCGAGGGATTAGATGTCTGTCAGTGATTAGATCAGTGATTGTCAGTGATTAGATGTGTGTCAGTGATTAGATGTATGTCAGTGATTAGATGTGTGTCAGTGATTAGATGTGTGTCAGTGATTAGATGTATGTCAGTGATTAGATGTATGTCAGTGATTAGATGTATGTCAGTGATTAGATGTATAGATTAGATGTCTGTCAGTGATTAGATGTGTGTCAGTGATTAGATGTATGTCAGTGATTAGATGTCTGTCAGTGATTAGATGTATGTCAGTGATTAGATGTATGTCAGTGATTAGATGTATGTCAGTGATTAGATGTGTGTCAGTGATTAGATGTCTGTCAGTGATTAGATGTATGTCAGTGATTAGATGTCTGTCAGTGATTAGATGTCTGTCAGTGATTAGATGTCTGTCAGTGATTAGATGTATGTCAGTGATTAGATGTATGTCAGTGATTAGATGTATGTCAGTGATTAGATGTATGTCAGTGATTAGATGTCTGTCAGTGATTAGATGTCTGTCAGTGATTAGATGTCTGTCAGTGATTAGATGTGTGTCAGTGATTAGATGTGTGTCAGTGATTAGATGTATGTCAGTGATTAGATGTGTGTCAGTGATTAGATGTATGTCAGTGATTAGATGTATGTCAGTGATTAGATGTCTGTCAGTGATTAGATGTATGTCAGTGATTAGATGTCTGTCAGTGATTAGATGTATGTCAGTGATTAGATGTATGTCAGTGATTAGATGTGTGTCAGTGATTAGATGTATGTCAGTGATTAGATGCATGTCAGTGATTAGATGTATGTCAGTGATTAGATGTATGCGAGGGATTAGATGTCTGTCAGTGATTAGATGTCTGTCAGTGATTAGATGTCTGTCAGTGATTAGATGTATGTCAGTGACTAGATGTATGTCAGTGATTAGATGTATGTCAGTGATTAGATGTGTGTCAGTGATTAGATGTATGTCAGTGATTAGATGTGTGTCAGTGATTAGATGTGTGTCAGTGATTAGATGTATGTCAGTGATTAGATGTATGTCAGTGATTAGATGTATGTCAGTGATTAGATGTATGCGAGGGATTAGATGTCTGTCAGTGATTAGATGTGTGTCAGTGATTAGATGTATGTCAGTGATTAGATGTCTGTCAGTGATTAGATGTGTGTCAGTGATTAGATGTGTGTCAGTGATTAGATGTATGTCAGTGATTAGATGTGTGTCAGTGATTAGATGTGTGTCAGTGATTAGATGTGTGTCAGTGATTAGATGTGTGTCAGTGATTAGATGTGTGTCAGTGATTAGATGTGTGTCAGTGATTAGATGTATGTCAGTGATTAGATGTATGTCAGTGATTAGATGTATGTCAGTGATTAGATGTATGTCAGTGATTAGATGTATGTCAGTGATTAGATGTCTGTCAGTGATTAGATGTATGTCAGTGATTAGATGTATGTCAGTGATTAGATGTATGTCAGTGATTAGATGTATGTCAGTGATTAGATGTATGTCAGTGATTAGATGTCTGTCAGTGATTAGATGTCTGTCAGTGATTAGATGTATGTCAGTGATTAGATGTATGTCAGTGATTAGATGTATGTCAGTGATTAGATGTATGTCAGTGATTAGATGTATGTCAGTGATTAGATGTATGTCAGTGATTAGATGTATGTCAGTGATTAGATGTATGTCAGTGATTAGATGTGTGTCAGTGATTAGATGTGTGTCAGTGATTAGATGTCTGTCAGTGATTAGATGTATGTGAGTGATTAGATGTATGTGAGTGATTAGATGTATGTCAGTGATTAGATGTATGCGAGGGATTAGATGTCTGTCAGTGATTAGATGTGTGTCAGTGATTAGATGTCTGTCAGTGATTAGATGTATGTGAGTGATTAGATGTATGTCAGTGATTAGATGTGTGTCAGTGATTAGATGTGTGTCAGTGATTAGATGTGTGTCAGTGATTAGATGTCTGTCAGTGATTAGATGTGTGTCAGTGATTAGATGTATGTCAGTGATTAGATGTATGTGAGTGATTAGTCAGTGATTAGATGTGTGTCAGTGATTAGATGTATGTCAGTGATTAGATGTCTGTCAGTGATTAGATGTATGTCAGTGATTAGATGTCTGTCAGTGATTAGATGTATGTCAGTGATTAGATGTGTGTCAGTGATTAGATGTGTGTCAGTGATTAGATGTGTGTCAGTGATTAGATGTGTGTCAGTGATTAGATGTGTGTCAGTGATTAGATGTGTGTCAGTGATTAGATGTCTGTCAGTGATTAGATGTATGTCAGTGATTAGATGTGTGTCAGTGATTAGATGTGTGTCAGTGATTAGATGTGTGTCAGTGATTAGATGTGTGTCAGTGATTAGATGTGTGTCAGTGATTAGATGTGTGTCAGTGATTAGATGTCTGTCAGTGATTAGATGTATGTCAGTGATTAGATGTATGTCAGTGATTAGATGTCTGTCAGTGATTAGATGTATGTGAGCGATTAGATGTATGTCAGTGATTAGATGTATGCGATTAGATGTATGTCAGTGATTAGATGTATGTCAGTGATTAGATGTATGTCAGTGATTAGATGTATGTCAGTGATTAGATGTATGTCAGTGATTAGATGTATGTCAGTGATTAGATGTCTGTCAGTGATTAGATGTCTGTCAGTGATTAGATGTATGTCAGTGATTAGATGTCTGTCAGTGATTAGATGTCTGTCAGTGATTAGATGTCTGTCAGTGATTAGATGTATGTCAGTGATTAGATGTCTGTCAGTGATTAGATGTATGTCAGTGATTAGATGTGTGTCAGTGATTAGATGTGTGTCAGTGATTAGATGTATGTCAGTGATTAGATGTCTGTCAGTGATTAGATGTATGTCAGTGATTAGATGTATGCAAGGGATTAGATGTATGTCAGTGATTAGATGTGTGTCAGTGATTAGATGTATGCGAGTGATTAGATGTATGCAAGTGATTAGATGTCTGTCAGTGATTAGATGTATGCGAGTGATTAGATGTATGTGAGTGATTAGATGTATGCAAGTGATTAGATGTCTGTCAGTGATTAGATGTATGCGAGTGATTAGATGTGTGTCAGTGATTAGATGTGTGTCAGTGATTAGATGTATGTCAGTGATTAGATGTGTGTCAGTGATTAGATGTATGCGAGGGATTAGATGTATGTCAGTGATTAGATGTATGTCAGTGATTAGATGTATGTCAGTGATTAGATGTATGGGAGTGATTAGATGTATGTCAGTGATTAGATGTATGTCAGTGATTAGATGTATGTCACTGATTAAATGTATGCGAGTGATTAGATGTATGTCACTGATTAGATGTATGCGAGTGATTAGATGTATGTCACTGATTAGATGTATGCGAGTGATTAGATCTATGCACAATTCACCCCCCAGGCTAAGTGGAGCAATTACAAGCCCTGCCTCCCCCCTCCCTGGTAAATAAAGGTTAAAAACCCTTTATTTACTGACCATATCCATCCCGTGATGAGCTGGGTCTAATGCGCATGCGCAGCAAATGCCGTGTGCGCATTAGTCCTCCCCATAGGAAAGCACTGAATCAATGCTTTCCTATGGGGAAATTCTGACACTGGAGGCCCTCATGCAGAGCATATGGACCTCCAAAGTCAGATAATGGACCAAAAGTCCATTACGATTCCAGAGACGCCCCCATTACGATTCCGATAGACAGCCACTGAGAGGCCGCAATGTAAACATTGCAATTCTCTGGAACTGCAATGTTTTGCATTGCAGCACTAAGTGCAAAAGGTACACAGCACCGTCTGGGTACCTACAGAGTTCCTTTAATAAAGCAGTTTTGGTGTATAGATCTTGCCCCTGCAGTCTCACCGCTCAATTCTCTGCCATTTAGGAGTTAAATCACTTTGTTTCTGTTTATGCAGCCATAGCCACACCTCCCCTGGCTGTGACTGACACAGCCTGCATGAAAAAAATGGTTTAATTTTCAGTCAGGTGTTAACTATACATTAAATTGTATCTTCTGCTCTGTAAATGTAACTTTTATCAAACACAGGATTTTCCTACAGGGTCTGGCAAGCTATCATCAGAGCAAAGAAATTTTAAATTAATAGAATTTGCAATAAAGGTAGTGTAAACATTAGATGGCTCTATACAGGAAGTGTTTTGGAAGGCTGTGTAAGTCACATGCAGGAAGGTAGGAGTAGACCTACATACTATCCTTACCTGACTGACAGCTCAGCTCGCTTTCTATACCCGCTCCCCTCCCCAGCCAAACTGTGTTTGCATAGAAACACTATATATAGAGATCTCTCTATATATAGTGTTTCTATGCAAACACACAAGTAGTAAAAAATTAGACATACACACACACTCTTTCTCCATCCATATCCATCCCCATCATCCGTATCCATCCCCATCATCCATATCCATCCCCGTCATCCATTCCCATCATCCATATTCATCCCCATCATCCATCCATCCCCATCATCCATATCCATTCCCATCATCCATCCATCCCTATCCATCCCTATCATCCATATCCATTCCCATCATCCATCCATTTCCATACCCACTCACCCTCAGTCACCCACCCACACTCACTAAATAAGTTTACTTACACAGTTTGAATCCTCCCTTCCTCCTCTTCGGTCTTCAGCCTGTCAGCTCAAGCCACTCCCACAGCAGTGCTGACAGCCTCAGCACGCAAAGCGCGTTCACAGTGCTTTGTGTGCTGATAGCACGTCTGAAGTATTCACCCATGCGTGAATACATCAGACGTGAATGAAGCCTTTTTAGGGCTTCTGAACTCGGAAGTCCCTCTGGTGGCCGTCTGATTGACTGCAACTGGAGGTGTTCCAAGCTTCCAATGTAAACACTGTATTTTCTATGAAAATACAGTGCTTACAAGAAAAGGGCTGCAGGGAGCTGTAGCACTCACCTGAACAACCTCATTAAGCTGAAGTTGTTCAGGTGACTATAGTGTCCCTTTAAGCTCTGAATAGCAGAGAATAGAGCAGTGAGACTACAGGGGCATGACCTATACACCAAAATGGCTTCATTAAGTTGACATGGTTTTGGTGACTATAGTGTCACTTTAACTACAGATTGATAAAAAAAACAAACAAAAAAAGCTGCAAAAGCATTTAATGTAACAATACAGAAAGTAAAAAAAAAAAAAAAAAATTTAATAAAAAAACAAATGATTTTATAACAAGACAGGAGGCTCATATTATGCACAAACTTTGAAATGTAAAAAAAGTTTAGTGAACAACAGAATAAAAAACAGTCAAGTAACTGAAGTGGAACATTCATAGTCTATATATTGAATGATCCCCAATCTCCTTCCTCTTTCTTTGTTGCTGCAGTGGAGATAAGTAACATATATATTCATATTGTTACATTTCGCTATAGTTAATTACAAGTGTTTTATCAGTATAATTATTACAATTGATTAAATTTCCATATTTATATATTTATACATTTCCTCACATTTCTTTGTATTCTGAGGTATATATGTATATACACACATTACATTGTAATTCATGTGGTCATGAACAGATTATTTACCTATTAAGATATACTTCTTAACATATTTTATTTTATAAACTGTTGCCACATATTATTCCATTTTGTTAAGATTTTTTCAGTTCATTCATATAGCTGTTCACGGAAAAACTCACAAACAACACCATTAATACTCTTAGTGCCGTTCGCTTAACGCACGCTTTGTTCGCACTTATAAAATTTCGTATTAATTTTCCATTGGGGAGTTTTTCTCCCAAACACAATATGAAGTTCACTGACTGTAGTCGATTTCAGTCTATTCGCAATACGAACGTGGATTGAATTTCTCCCGTTATAAAATTCTACCCGTTCGACCATTCCATTCGCATAATCTCCCTCAGATTCACGCTGACGTCATTTCCCATGGGTTTTCACAACTAGTTCGTTGTCAGCTAGTTTTCACGCCCATTGCCCGCTTACATCACCTCAGCTGAACCTCTTATACTGACATTGTTTCTTTCCTCAGGAAAAGATTACATTTCATCCTATTTGTTCCTGTTCAGGTTATTCTGTTATTTACCATTCATTACTGTTACTTAATTACAATATTTTTTATTACATTTATATAAATTACTTGAGTGCAGAATTTAGAAATATGAGTTCTAAGGAAAACTCCTGGTGCTGCGGATGATTGTGAAATCCTCATAGAGGATTCTTTACAGAATATTGTTTATTTATCTGTCAGTAAATCTGTCTCATCTGCAATATTTAGTGCCATGTCCTCTATGCAAGAGGCGATTGCTAAATCTGTGGCTCAGGCTATCAGAAAGTCCAACAAACCTATTTCACAGACTCAGACAATTAATACCCCCTCTGACCAATTTTGGTCAACTGTAGAGTCTGAGAGGAATTTGGTGCAAGGTTTCAGGAGGTCTGGGAAGGCCACCCAGAAGTGCAAGCACTGTTTTGACGGTCCTGATGAATTCCCTTCTGGCTCAAGATTAGTTAAAAAAGGGAAGGACCAAGACCTTAATTAAATGAGTACATTATGCAAACTTGAAGAGAGTAAATTATTCAATAGACTGTCTGTTCGTGAGGAAGACAAACGAGCACGGAAGGCCATGCACAGGAGCAAGCCTGACTCCTACAAAACCTCCTCTGACGATTTATCTTCATTTTCTGAAGAAGAGAAATCTGCTGCAGACTCTGATTCTAATTATTCTTCATATTCTGAGGCACCTGTGCATATCTCTAAGACAGGTGATCAGAACATCATTACAGATATTTCAGGAAAACCTTTATTTAATCCTGACCATATAAGACACCTGTTCAGCCGAATGGGTCACTATGGCTAACATGGCCAAATACCTTGAATTATGGTTAAGGAAACCCCATGACCAAGCAACCAGAAATAAATTGAGTGCTGAGTGTCCTAGACCGACTTTATCTAAAAAAGTCACGCAGACCCCTGATTTAGACCCTGCTTTGGTTCAATTCCTTAAAAAAAAAAAACAGGGAAGAATCCCAACAAGGGGCTCGACAGGTCCTTACAATCCTGCCAGGATAATTTAATGGATATTTCTGATCCAGTGGCAAAAATCTTTAAAATTTTAGAGCAAGCTGCTGCTTCTGGGAATGCCCCACATATTGATATCCTTAGAGGATGGACACAACGAATTGTGTGTTTTTTAGAAAATACAAATATGGCTCTAACTACTGAACTCCGCAGATTATTTCTCTTAAAGATTGATCCACATTTAAGAAACCTAGCCACTTCAGAAGCAGGACCAGCGGCAGAAGGTTCCTATTTGGAGAGTCTTTTATTAAAGACATAAATAAACATGTCAACCTTTTTAGTTCATTAGATAAGGCTCACACCTCACTGAAGAAAGTTTTCAACCCTAAGGTTTTCAGAAGGGTTAGAAGAGGACAGAACCGTTCTTCCAGTCGCTTCCATCATAATAGACAGGTTCCAAGGAACACATACCAAGCAAACAGATCCTCTTTTAATACACAACAAACATCTCCATTCTTCCCCCTTCGTGGCAGACCATGGAGATCCAGAGGACATCGAGGAATGTCTCGTTTCAGATCATCATCTGGTGAGTATGAAAATTTCCCCTTCTTCCCAAGAAAGGTTAGGAGGCAGACTTACTGATTATTTCCATGTTTGGAATCAGATCATAAACAATGCCTGGATTTTAAACACCGTTCTGGGTTACAAAATAGATTTTATTTCAAATCCTGTACAAACCAAGGTACCTTTCCCAATAAAATTCTAGAGTCAAGACCAGACTCTGGTACTCCAAGATATACAAAATTTATTGTCAAAAAATTCAATTTTCCAGGTTCCCACGAACACTCCATGTTTCGTAAGCAATATATTCCTGGTAAAAAAAGAAGGATGCTGGTCACAGAGCAGTCATAAATTTAAAATATCTAAACAATTTTGTCAGATACGATCATTTTAAAATGGAGGGTATTTATTATCTCAAAGATTTGTTAATACTCAACGACTGGTTGATAAAAATAGATTTGAAAGATGTGTACCTCACAGTACCTATTCACTACTCCTGTCAGAATTATTTATAGCTAATATGGGAAGGTAAGAAATGGCAATTCAAATCATTGCCTTTTGGTTTATATTCTGCACCTTAACCCAGTAATATCCCTTCTTCGGAGCATAGGCGTGAGATTGATTATATATCTAGATAATATTGTAATAATGTCACATAGTTTACATACTCTTCACACGCAAGCTCAATTGACGTTGAACCTGTTAACGAGTCTTGGCTTAGTAATAAATTATGAAAAGTCAATTTTTACTCCCTTACAGGAAATGGAATGTAACGGCACCCTCAGCATAAAAGGGTTAAACCGCCGTTTAGTAGATCTTCCCTTCCAGAGACACAGGCACAGCTACTGCAGAACACCAATCCGCCGTACAGGAAACCATATGAATGCTGTAAACAGCCGAATAGGAAAAACCATACGAATAGGTTTACACTCCTAGTAGTCGAACTGGAACAGCATACAATAAATCCCCCCAAGAACGAGACAAAGCTCCGTGTTGAGGGTCAAGCAGTGAACAGACAGAGCTGTGGGTTTATTGTGCTTATGTACACATTCTTACACATTAGTACCACCCACAGGGTTTTGGAACACAACCAATAAACACATACAATACACTCAGAAACTCCCACACAAATTCCTCCCCTCTGCATGTGATTCAATTACCTTACACAATGTGTAATGTAATTTAGCACAAGCAGAGAAATACAATTTTTCCACATTATTCATAACTTGAAAAGTATGCATCACATTCACATACATTTTCAGAATCAGCATACTCCAAATACAAACATACGTCAAAATTATACAAATTGGTCCAGTGGTTCAAAAGATAGATCGTAGTCCTTTGTAACCCCAGGAAGCATGGCTTTTCTGCCCAAAACCAGTTCCACAGAGTCTTCTATCCTGGAGATAATTGGGAAGTAATCCAATTATCTCCAAAGACAGAGGCAAAACTCCATTGAACACATGGCAGCAAAAAGACAGTACGATACAATAAAATACACAAGGTTACATTTATGACATAAAATACAGACATGCAACATATGCCCAGATAGCTTAGATCTGAGCGCACATTATTACTGAATGGCGCTCAGAGCACACACATACAGTTCAATTGCCATGGAGCAAAAGTCTTTCCCATAGTCTTTCATTATACGAATGGGCTCCATGGCATAGCTATCTGGGGTATCACTGCTCAAACAGGGCAAGCACCAAATGACCCGGCTTTCTTGTCTTTGCTGGGGAAAATCAAGCCTTTTTTACATGGGGCCATAATCCAAAGGCAACAGGCGAGCAACCAGACTTCTCCAATGCAATGTGGCGAGATTGGTCTCGTCACATGGAATTTCTGGGATTTTCGTACATTCCAAATTAGCTACTCTCAGTCTTCCATCAAGGAAATTGAAGACAATTCGGAAAGAGATCAGATCAGTTTTAAACAAAGAACTAATTTCCATCAGATCTCTAACGAGAATTGTGGGCCTATTATCAGCTTCAATTCAAGCTATATTCCTGTCCTCTCTTCACTACCGTGAACTCCAAAGGCTAAAGAGAGAACATTTACGAAATGGTCTTTGATAGTCAGACGAGATTGTTTTAACTCCAGATACGAGAATAGAACTGTTCTGGTGGCTAGATCATGTCCAAACGTGCAACGGGAAAGCCATTTTCAACATTCCTGGATCTAATTATAGAATCCGATGAGAGTCGGATTGGTTGGGGTTCCCATTGCGGAAGCAACTCAACGGGAGGCAGATGGTCTCTGACAGAGACACAAATGCATATAATTGCCTGGAACTCATGGTAGGGTTTTTCGCTTCACGAAGTTTTGCAAAAGAAAAATACAACTGTTGCGTCATACTCAAGATGGTCAATATTTTAGCGGTCCAATATATGAACCGTTTAGGAGGCACAAAATCCAAACAACTGGCGGATACTGCCAAAGATTTTTGGCACTTTTGCTTTAATCGAAACATCGTTTTGATAGCAGAATATTTTCCCGGACTTTCCAATACTATAGCGGATTGGAATTCTTGATTCCTACTAGATTGCAGCGATTGGATGTTGGATCCCATCATTTTCCAACGTCTGTACTCCCTATGGTGTCCGTTCTGATACCTCTTTGCATCATGCCTCAATTAAAATAATTTTTCAGCTGGCGTCCAGATCCAGAAGCACTAGATCAAGATGATTTTCTTCAATGTTGGAGGAACCGAGTCAATTATGCATTTCCACTGTTTGTGTTGATTTCCCTGGTTCTTCTGAAGGCATGGTCTCAGAAATCAACCCTAGTATTCATAACTCCCCTCTGGCCATCACGGCCTTGGTTACCTCAACTTCTCAGCATGCTAATAGATTACCCAAGACTCATACAAATGCGTCAGGATTCTCTGCGCGATCCGGACGGGAATCTTCACGCCCTGGTGATATTAAACCAACTACCTCTAATAGCAATCACGCATTTCGGGTCACACGAATCTCTGTTAGGAACCAGACAGAGACAGAACTAGATGCAAAAACACCTTTATTAATAAATAACAAATAAAGAAATAACCAAAATCAAAGTCCAGAAGGCAAGCAGGGGTCAGTCACCAGAGCGGGTAGTCAGACAAGCCAGGGTCAGGAGAACGTAGATCTCAGGAACAAGGCCAGAGTCAGGAACCAGGAACAAAAAGGAAACATAGGAACAAGGAGACTTCTAGGGAACAGGAAACTACGCAAGGGCAAGGAGGTACTGGGATTTGCTGCTTAAATAGGCTGCACTGATTACCAGAAGGGTTGATTACTATTCTCAGGTGAGTAACCGTGGCAACATAGTGAAGGAGCTGATCGTTAATCTCAGCTGAAAACTCAGACACTGAAAAAGGAAGGGTTGCTGTTTAAAACAGCAAAGAAACCCTGACAGTACGTCCCCCTCAACGACTCCCCTCATCTCTTCTGGTGGGTCCAGGCTTCATGGGGAAGCGGGCGTGATAGGAACGAAGGAGGGATGGTGCATGGACATCAGGGGCTGGAACCCAGGAGCGTTCCTCTGGACCGTATCCTTTCCAGTGCACCAAGTATTGGATCTGTTCTCTGAAGACTCGTGAGTCAATGATGCTGCGTATTTCATATTCTTCATGATTGTCAACCAGAACAGGATGTGGACGTGGCACTGAGGTGGTGTAACGATTACATACTGTAGCGGACCGGCAATAATAAATCCCACAAATTCCGCTGGTACATACAGTAATCCACAGTCAGCGCTGAAAAGTAAGGCAATCTCCCCAAATCTCCCAGTAACCGGACGAAACACAGTTCTGAGAGTCAACTGAGGTCTTTATTTCCAGCTCCACAATTTATACAAGTCCCCATGCAAGGGGTTTCCTGAGTCCCCTTCCCAGGGGCATTCCCAGAGGGGACTACATGGGAGACTTACAGTACAGGGCATTTCTCCCATCAGGCACTGCTGCACGAGAGGGATCCTCCCACAGGAATGTACCGTTAAGTAGATTATCCCTCCGTGCAGCAGAACCTACAATTTACATTAAAATCCATAACTGTTTGAATATCCGGTTCATTTAAACGAATGGACGTTCGGTAGATAGCTGGGGTCTGAGTGCATCATTCGTGAAAGTACCGCTCAGATCCCAGCTAAACCAACCGAACGCCGCACGAAAAACACATTCATGAAAATTCAGGCTCAAAATACTGATTGCCTTCCAGGGAACCAAATACCGAACGGCCCGGAAGCTCAGCGGTGTTCGCGCCGTCGAGTAGCCGTTTTTAGTACCATGCGCTCGACGACCAAACACCGCTGAGGGAACAAAGGATCCAAGATGGCCGACCGCCGCATGGTCGGTAGTCGAACGGCGGCCACCTAGGAGAGCCTCTAATTACCGATTGCAACATTGTTGCAATCGGGTAACAAGCGCCACATGCCTCTAAGTGTGTGGGCTTCTACATGGGGGTATTTTCGTTTCACGAACGGCCCGCAAAAGTGCCGTTCATGAAACGAAAGAAAACACAATACATACAGCTATCTGCATTCGGCAGATAGCCAATACAGCAAATACATGTTAATACAACCAGCATACATTCTACATAGGTAAGCACATATTCCACAACCATACAGGCAACCCTTAAAGGCACAGTCTCTTAAAGGCACTAGTGTCCAAGTGGCTAGGTTTGCCACACATACCAACGGTTTCAAGAGGGAAACATGGAATACATTCGAGATGCGCATGCTAGCAGGAAGGTCAAGTGCGTAAACTACAGGTTTAAACCTTTGAAGTATACAAAATGGCCCGACATATCAGGGTGCCAGTTTTTGTGAGGGAACACGGAGCCGTAGGTTGCGAGAAGACAGCCAGACCCTCTCTCCGACCTGATAGGTGCAGGAAGGCGTCTGCGGTCGGCCTGGAGCTTGTAGTTCTGCATTGCGCGTTGCAGAGAGTTCTGAACCTGCACCCAAGATTATTACTTTGGGTAACCCATGCAAACAAAAGACCTCCCGAGCAAAAATTTTTGCTAGTTCTTGAGAAGTTGGTAGTTTTTTCAAGCGAATGTAATGCAACATCTTAGAAAATCGGTCAACAACCATGAGAACGACTGTATTGCCACTGGAGACTGGAAGATCTACGATAAAGTCCATGGACAAGTGAGTCCAGGGTCGTTCACCATTAGGTATGGTTTGCAGGAGACCCACTGGAGGGTGTCATGGGTTTTTATTTTGAGCGCATACAGGACAGCCAGCTACAAAGACGGTAACATCCGAATGGGGACTAGGCCACCAAAATTTCCGAGAGACGGACCAGATTAACTGGTTTTTGCCTGGATGTCCAGCTGATTTGGGGTTGTGATATGTACTTAATAATTTAGTACGGAGATGAATGGGTACAAAACAACGGCCATTAGGTTTCTCTGGAGGAGCATTAATTTGTGCAGCCAGAATCTCCTCGCCACGGATGGTGGCCAGTATACGGTCCGGAGGAATCACAGGAGTAGGGGTTATCTCCTCTCTAGATGGAGGGGAGAACTGTCGAGACAAGGCATCAGCCCGAATGTTTTTAGTACCGGGCAAGTAAGAAACCACATAATTGAATCTTGATAGGAAGAGAGCCCATCTAGCTTGCAGGGGGGAAAGCCGCTTAGCTTCGGAAAGATATGTAAGATTCTTGTGGTCTGTGAGGATGAGAATTGGCACTGAAGTACCCTCAAGAAGGTGCCTCCATTCTTTGAGAGCTAAAATTATAGCTAGAAGTTCTCTATCACCAATCTGGTAATTGCACTCCGCCAGGTTCAATTTCTTTGAGAAATACCCGCACGGATGCCTGGAGCTCTCTGGGTTAGGACGTTGAGACAGGAGGGCGCCTACTCCTGTCTCAGACGCATCGACTTCAAGAATGAATGGTAAGGCAGGGTTAGGGTGTGCCAGTATAGGAGCAGCAGCAAAGGCGTTTTTCAGAGACCTCAAGGCAGTAATGGCTTCCTGTGACCAATGCTGTGGATCAGCATCTCTCCTTGTCATATCCGTGAAAAGGTTTAACCAAGGAAGAAAAGTTGCGTATGAACTTCCGATAATAATTGGCGAAGCCAAGAAAACGCTGTATAGAGCGAAGACCCGTAGGTTGAGTCCATTATAGTACGGCAGAAAGTTTCACTGGCTCCATAGAGAATCCAGAATCTGAGATAACATAGCCCAAGAATGTGACCTGTTTGCAGTTGAACTCACATTTCTCCAATTTACAGAACAGATTATTCTCTCTGAGTCTCTGTAGAACACGAGAAACATCTGCGTGATGGTTCTCGAGAGATGTGGAATGAATAAGAATATCGTCAAGATAAACCACCACACATTGCTGCAACATATCTCACAGGACATCATTTATAAATTCCTGGAAAACCGCCGGAGTATTGCAAAGACCAAAAGGCATTACTAGGTATTCGTAATGCCCGCTCCTGGTGTTAAATGCGGTTTTCCATTCGAGGTCCTCTTTTATCCGGACGAGATTATATGCCCCTCTCAGATCAAGTTTAGTGAAGACCGTTGCTCTCTTGAGGCGGTCAAATAACGCTGTGATCAACGGAATGGGGTAAGCATTCTTAATAGTAATGCCATTGAGACCCCTATAGTCGATACAGGGTCTCAACTCACCACTCTTCTTTTTCACAAAGAAAAAGCCGGCCCCGGCAGGAGAAGATGACTTCTCCTTGACAACGCATCGGTAACATACTCCTCCATGGCTCGATTCTCTGCTACCGACAGCGGGTAAATACGGCCACGGGGAGGAATGGTACCAGGTTGGAGTTTGATACCACAGTCATATGGACGGTGTGGCGGCAGAACGCTGGCTTGACCCTTGTCAAATACCTCTTGGAATTTGTGGTACTCAGCGGGTAAGGAAGAGGCAGAAAATGTGCCCAAAACTTTGACCGGTTTCCGGAGACAAGAAAATGTGCATTGCTGGGACCAAGATAATATCTCAGATTTGCGCCAATCAATTGTGGGTGGTTATGCTTCTGTAGCCAAGAGTATCCCAAAACAACCTGGTAATATGGAGAGGAAATGACCTGGAATTGGATCGTCTCATGATGTAGAGCCGCTACAGTGAGAGATATGGGCACGGTCTCCTGGGTCATGTGGGTTGGCTGTATTGGACTGCCATCGATGGTTTCGAAAGCTAGCGGAGAGTTACGAGGCTGTAAGGGTATAGAGTGCTCCGATGCAAATGCACAATCTATAAACGAGCCTGCGGCCCCAGAACCAAGCAATGCCCGGGTTTTAATGGATGAATCAGGCCAGGAGAGGATAATAGGCACCAAGGGTTTGTCCTCATATATCGATGGGTCTGCAGAAAGACCACCCAAGATCTGCCCCTGACAGTATCTTGGGTGCGGGCCCTTTACCAGACGAATCGGGCAAAACTTTAACCTGTGACCCTGGTGTCCGCAGTATAGGCACAGGCCCTCCCTCCTCCTAAAGGCTCTCTCCTCGACAGAGAGGCGTGAGAAGCCTAATCGTCTCGGCTCCACACCGACAGAGGGCTCAGGACCAGGAGGCATGGGAGGTGAGGGAGGTTTGGGTGGGCAAGAAAAGCTCTGTGCCAAATATACAGGAGGCCCTTCGCAGGCGCTCCCTGGATGAGGAACTCTCTCGGCGTCTGATATCAATGAGGGTGACAAAGGATATCAGTTCCTCAAGATCTTTAGTTAATTCTCTGGCTGAAATCTCAATTTTAATAATATAATAATAGGGGAGAGCCCCTGTGCAAAGGCAGCCACGAGAGTCATGTTGTTCCAGTCACCCTCTGCTGCCATGGTACGGAATTCACTGGCATACTCGACAATAGTTCTCGTGCCCTGAGCATTAGACATGAGTTGTTTGGCAGTAGGGGTGGAGCGAGCTGGAATATCCCTTTTAAAGGTCGCAACAAATTCAGGGTAACTGTAAATAATGGGCCTCTCTGCCTCCCAGAGAGGTTTTGCCCAAGCTAGGGCTTTTTCAGACAGCAAAGAAATCATGAACTGGGCCTTGTCTCTGTCTGTAGGAAATGTCTGGGGAAGCATTTCAAGGTATCCTTTAACCTGATTTACAAATTCTTTGCACTGAGCTGGGTTGCCCCCAAAATACTGAGTGAGCGGGACAGGCCCAGTCATTCCTCTAGCCGCAACAGGTTTGGAGGCTACAACCGGTGCTAGAACAGAAAGTGAGGCAGAGGCGGCCGTAATCGCAGGCTGGCCGGGTGCTGGATCCAGATGAGCATACTGGTCCAAATGGTGGTTCTGCTGGTCCCACCGGGTAAATAGGTTAAGTATAGGCGTATTGCCTGTACCATCTGTATTCATGGCCCTTGTGTAATGTTAGGGACCAGGAACCAGACAGAGACAGAACTAGATGCAAAACACCTTTATTAATAAATAACAAATAAAGAAATAACCAAAAGCAAAGTCCAGGAGGCACGCAGGGGTCAGTCACCAGAGCGGGTAGTCAGACGAGCCAGGATCAGAGGAACGGAGAGCAGCGGAGTCAGGAACAAGGCCAGAGTCAGGAACCAGGAGCAAACAGGAAACACAGGAACAAGGAGACTTCTGGGGAACAGGAAACCACGCAAGGGCAAGGAGGTTCTGGGATTTGCTGCTTAAATAGGCTGCAATGATTAGCAGCAGGGCTGGTTACTACTATCAGGTGAGTAACCGTGGCAACATAGCGAAGGAGCTGAATGTTACCGTGTTTCCCCGAAAATAAACCCTACCCCGAAAATAAGCCCTAGTCGGATTTTCGGGGTGGGCTGCAATATAAGCCCTACCCCGAAAATAAGACCTAGGCATTGTACCTTTGCGGCGAGACTTCCTTCTTCTACTGTAGGAGGAGCGTTGCGGGCCGCGGCATCGCGCAACGTGATGACGTCATTTCGCACGTCAGTCTGCCTTCACGGATCTTCAGCGGAAGGATCCATTTCCGGGCGGTGAGGCTCCCAGTGGTCGGACTCGGCAAGGAAACTTTGAAATGTGAGTACCGGTAGATATTTTATGTCTGGGACTGAATTAATTAAAGGGGGTGGGGGGTGAATTAATTAAAGGGGGGTGAATTAAAGGGTGGGCTGGATTAATTAGAGGGGGGTGAATTAATTAAAGGGGGGTGAATTAATTAAGGGGGGTGAATTAATTAAAGGGTGGGCTGGATTAATTAGAGGGGGTGAATTAATTAAAGGGGGGTGAATTAATTAAAGGGTGGACTGGATTAATTAGAGGGTGTGTATTAATTAAAGGGGGGGTGAATTAATTAAAGGGTAGGTGAATTAATTAAAGGGTGGGTGAATTAATTAAAGGGTGGGCTGGATTAATTAGAGGGGGTGAATTAATTAAAGGGGGGTGAATTAATTAAAGGGTGGACTGGATTAATTAGAGGGGGTGAATTAATTAAAGGGGTGGTGAATTAATTAAAGGGTGGGCTGGATTAATTAGAGGGGGTGAATTAATTAAAGGGGTGGTGAATTAATTAAAGGGTGGGCTGGATTAATTAGAGGGGGGTGGATTAATTAGAGAGGGTGGATTAATTAAAGGGGGGGTTCAATGTACATACCGGTACCGTAAATAAATAAGCCCTACCCTGAAAATAAGCCCTAGTGTGTTTTTTGTGACTAAAATTAATATAAGACCCGGTCTTATTTTCGGAGAAACACGGTAATCTCAGCTAAAAACTCAGACACTGAAAAAGGAAGGGTTGCTGTTTAAAACAGCAAAGCAACCCTGACAATCTCATAGAGAGTTTTCAGATTCAACTCGAAACATACTCTGAGAAGCATGGGCACCAGGTACCTGTGCAAGTAATGGATAAGTCTGGAAAATGTGGCTTGATTAGTGCTTGGAACGGGCTGTGAATCCCTTACATTGCGATTTAGCAAATATCCTAAATGTTTTGTCTTTTTCAGGTAAAGCATACCAAACTATTAATGTATATCATTAATTTCCTGTGGGCAAGCACCCCCTAGTATGCAGACTTAGAAAGGGCATTAAATTCAAATGCCCTCCTATGCCCTAAATATAATTCTATTTGGGATGCCAATCTAATTCGCCAATTAGGAGAATCTTGGGGTGACAATGATTCATTATCTTTTAAATCCCTTTCTTTTAAACTCACTGTTTTACTTTGTCTCATTTCTTACAAAAGAGTTTCCGATGTTAAGGCTTTAGACCTAAATAATAGACAATATACACTGGATGGTGTTAAATTTTCTATTGTTAGACGTACTAAAACTAACCTGCATTCGTTTTTTCACCCTTCTTTTCCTGATCATCCTCTTTTATGTGTGGTTAGTTGTCTTCAAACTTATGAACTTAAAACCTCTTCTATAAGCACTCTAATTTGTCTCAACCAATCATTTCTTTTCGTAAAAACCTTTTATCCCTGTCTCTTCTACATCTTTAGCCAGACAAACTATGGTTAAGACAAACTATGTTTAAGGCAGGTATTGATATCTCTATATTTGGAGCTCACTCTTCCAGAGGAGCTATGGCTAGTAAGGTTTTCCAAGCCAAAGGCTCTTTATCAGATTTATTAAAAGATGCAGATTGGTCTTCGGAATCTACTTTTAAAAGGTTTTCTTTTAGGCCTGTTACGGTTACCCCCAGGCTTGCTGGACGCTGGACCGCTTGGATGATCTGGATCCTGGTGTGGAGAGAGGGAGAAGCCGCTTCGACTAGTCGACCAAAAGGATCTTGCAAATGTAGAACAATCCCACTAGCTATAGTACAGCTAGGATACTCTTTTCCCCACAAAACGAGTCGAGGCTGCGATTTGAAGGTCAAACAAGAACTGGCTTTAATGGCACACAGGGATCTATATTTATGCAAAATCTCAGGTCCAGGGACAGCCCCCTCTGGACCTGATGGGATACAGGAATAATACAGGGGATCAACCAAAACGAATGAAATGCATCATTTGAATTTGTTACCGCCCAGCTTGGAGATAATGAACCCAACGGCTATGCCAATACAATTATCTCCAAGCGCCCAAAATACCACGTTTTTATTACACATCAAAAACAGGTTAAAAATATATAATTTCAACATTTTCAGCTATACTTCGGGACTTCCACCATTAATTTTGTAGCCCAGGTCTGTGTGCAATATTTCACCGAATAGCGCCTCAAACCCACGAACCATATGCTTGGTTTCTTCGTTGTAAAGTCCGTTCGCATATTTGGCCCCGAGCTTGAGATGGCGGCCATGTTTTTGAGTGAGTCAATAGGCAGTGGGACCTCGGAATCAAACTTGTGGAACCAGGGCCGGACTGGGAAAAAAATTAGGCCCGGGCATTTTTCAATCAGAGCGGCCCCCTAAGAAAGGGGCGGGGCCAGAGAGTGTGTGTTTTGTCATCACTAATGACAACACGCCCCCTCTCAAAGTGAGCATGTTGGTTCAATGCCCAGAGCCCTGCTGAAGAGCTCTGACATTAGAAAAAGACCCTGAATTTGTTCTGCTTGTGCTGTGTTTGCTTTTAAATTGTCTCTGGTGTTTCCACAAGTGGGAACACACAAGTGGGAACACACAAGTGTTTGGAGCCTGCTTGTGGGATTGCATGTGTGTAGAGAGTGGTGTGGTATTGTATAAATAGGTCAATTTAATTTGTGTTTGTGGTGTAATATGTGTGGCTAGGGGCTGTAGAGAGTGTGTGTATAGGGGGCATAGTTTTATAGGGGATGCAGCGAGTGTGTGCATACGGGCTGAAGTGTGTGTGTATAGGTGACGTAGTGTGTGTAGGGGTTGCAGAGAGGGTGTGTTTAGAGAATGTTGTATGTGTTTGCTGACAAGGAATGTAGTGTGTGTGTGTAGGAGATCTACTGTGTAAAGGACCCAGTGTGTGTGTGTAGAGGATTAAGAGTGCATATAGGGTAAGGGATCTAATGTGTATCTGGAGCGTGTGTAGTGGTGCAGGGTGAGGGGTGCTGTAGTGTGTGTGTGTGTGTGTGTGTGTATGTATGTATGTGTATATATATATATATATATATATTTTGACTTATTGTATGTGTGAGGGGCGCAGTGTGTGTATGTAAGAGGGGTGCTGTGTGTGAGGGTGTTTTTATCTGCTGTCACATTCTAGGTTTCTAATTTTCTTTGTCTGTTATCTCACTGAGGGTTATTTTATATATATATGTGTGTGCTGTGTGTGAGTGAGGGTGCTGTGTGTGTCTGGGTGCTGTGTGTTTGGGGGGCGCTGTGTCTGTCTGGGTGGCGCTGTGTCTGTCTGGGTGGCGCTGTGTCTGTCTGGGTGCGCTGTGTGTGTCTGGGTGGTGCTGTGTCTGGGTGCTGTGTGTGTCTGGGGGGTGCTATGTGTGTCTGGGTGCAGTGTGTGTCTGGGGGGTGCTGTGTCTGGGTGCAGTGTGTGTCCGGGGGGTGCTGTGTCTGGGGGGTGCTGTGTCTGGGTGCTGTGTGTGTCTGGGTGCTGTGTGTGTCTGGGTGCTGTGTGTGTCTGGGGGGTGCTGTGTATGGGGGTGCTGTGTGTGTGAATGTATTTTTTTATTTAAATTTAAATATTTTTTTTACTAATAAAAAAAAAAAATTATATCCCCCCCCTCCCTTCTTACCTTTATCCTGGGAGGGGGGGGAGGGAGAAGATCAGTTCTCCCTGGGGGGTTGGGAGCCATGCTGCCTTCCCTGGTGGTCCAGTGGTGAGAGTGAACTTTAACCTGCGGGTTAGAGTTCACTCTCGCGAGATCTGAGCGTTGCCGCGGCAACGCTCAGAATCCCGCGAGAGGACCGGCGGAGCTGCTTGTTGGAGCTCCGCCGGGTCCTCCCTCCCTCCCTCACCAGCCGGCGCGGCCGCATCTCACTGTCTGTGGGCCGGTGAGGGAGATCTTTGATCTCCCCACCGGCCCACGGAGGCACTATGCAGGGCCGGCGCTCGGATAGCGCTGGCCCTGCAGGGGCCGGCCGGGGAGATCCCCTGCCGGCCTCGGCCCCACGGCCATCGCGGCCCACCGGGCATTTGCCCGGTATGCCCGATGGCCAGTCCGGGCCTGTGTGGAACAATTAACGGCCAGAGTGTGTACGAATCCCCGCTCTCTGGCTGGATGTTTCAGCTGTTCAGGAGACGAACGTAGACCGCCGTGAAGCGGGTACTTAACCTGCGATTAACCGCAATACTCAACATTCTAATTGAGGCCACCCGCCAGGCTGTAGGTGGTCCCCGTTCGGTAGTTAGACCATCGGGAGATAAGGCACGAACGCGGATGCCCGGGACCGTCAATTAACCTGCGGTTAACCGCAGACCGCAACTCTCTGGGCGATCAAGTGGTAACACACTCCCCTCGCCGGGTGGTCGGTTTGTTCGGTTGTTTTCAGGGTGACCGGGGTTAAGTGGCGGCACACGCCAGGGACCGGGTGGTCCGTTATTCGTGTAACGAATTGGTGTGAGTAATCCGTTCATGAGTTGGGTACAGGATTCACGTACCGAAGCAATAGTATAACAACGAAACAACATAATGCTGGTCTGTAATGAGTTTGTAATAAGGCCTAACTCTCATGTGTCAAAAATTATTATGTAATTTAATTATATATTTTTATACTATTAATTTTAGTTAAGCTTGTAAAATACATAATATGAGCTGCCTGTCTTGTTATAAATTTTAAGATTTTCCTAGTCTTGACGTCAGAAAATATAGTTTTCATTTAAAGACAGGAGGCGAGTATTATCCCTCCCATTAGCCCACCCTCTTATTTGTATTTCAGCTTGATCCAGTTTGGGATTTACATTTTTTTTGTGTTACCTGTTTCCAGGAATTTATTCGGTTGGACTATTCCTCTACAGTCGCAGCTCGAAAGAGGAAGTTGATTGGGGATCATTCAATTTATAGACTAGGCTGGATGCTGATTGGCTACTGAATGTTCCACTTCAGTTACATGACTGTTTTTTCTTCTGTTGTGCACTAAACTTTATTTAAATTTCTTTGCTGCTGGAGTTAAAGGACCACTATAGTGCCAGGAAAACATACTTGTTTTCCTGGCACTATAGTGCCCTGAGGGTGCCGCCACCCTCAGGGACCCCCTCCTGCCAGGCTCTGGGGAGAAGAAGGGATTAAAATCTTACCTTTCTCCAGCCCTGGGCGGGGAGCTCTCCTCCTCCTCTCCGCCTCTTTGGCTGAATGCGCATCAGGAGCCGCGCGCGCATTCAGCCAGTTCATAGGAAAGCATTTACAATGCTTTCCTATGGACGCTTGCGTCTTCTTGATTTTCACAGTGAGAAGCACGCAAACGCCTCTAGCGGCTGTCAATGAGACAGCCACTAGAGGCTGGATTAACCCATTTTCTGAAACTGCAATCTTTATAAAAAAATGGGTTAACCCTAGCTGGACCTGGCACCCAGACCACTTCATTAAGCTGAAGTGGTCTGGGTGCCTAGTGTGGTCCTTTAAGTAAAGAAAGTTTATGCATTAATGCCTCCTGTCATTAATAAAATCTATATTTCTATATACTTCTGACGTCAAGACTAGGACAATCTTGAATTAAAGACTGTGTTATGTGCCGTAAATAGAGTTTCCTGCATTACCTATATCAATGTAAGTGATCTGAGAGGCCTTCTCCAGCTGTAAGTCCACCTTCAGCTGTCGGCTCCGGTCACGCGGGCAGCTGAGCCAGGGATGGATCAAGCTCTCATTAAGCAGATTGTCCACTGGGTGCTTGGGATCCTTAAGGAAAAAACATCAAATGAGAAAGTGCACAATGAGATCCAACACAGGGCAGAGAGCAAACAGGGAAGGAGGCCGAGTGGCTTCAAACAATAGGAGATATGTGAGCCTGGGTTTTATGAAAAACAACATCTTGATGGTTTTATTTCATTAACTTGTTGCTACCCAGGGGTTAGGAAAATGCTTTCTGTCTAGCATGCTCGATAGTCACAGCTTCACCCGTTTCCTGCACCTTTATTTCAAGCAATAATCATTCCTGGATATTCACATACATTGTTTGCAGCTGCTATTTCCTGCTGAAAAAACCCACCGGTCAATTACATCTCGACCACACACTATAACCCAAAAATAATATTCACCCACATTCTCCATGGGTGAAACACACTGGGGGCCTCTGTCCTATACTGTCCAATTCTGCAGCAAAGATCTAAGAAAGCACGCACGACGGAAGCCAATGGGTAACGGGCCGTGTCTATCTGCAACCTAGCCATTGCTGGGGGTATAACTTGTCACTGTGTAAATAGGTGAATTTACTTATTCACTAAACAGTGAATTAAAGGGAATTACCAGAGTGCTTGCAAACGTGTGACCAAAATAGTCAAATAGAAATAATTCCTTAACTCTCCTGCATTAGCCTAGAAGTTTCCTTACAATTCTCAAGTGGATTGTCAGGAATTATAAAAAGCTGAAATTAATATAGCTGATTTAAAGGGACACTCTTGACCCCTAAAGCTCTTTGCTTTGCTAAAAAGCTGTATGTGTGAAGAGTGTTACCTCTTTATTTTATTTTGAAAATAGTGAAGATTTCAATAGAAAGTGACACTTTTTATACTGGCTATGCCCCCTGGCTGTTCAAGCAGACAACAGATAATGTTACTTCCTTCTTTGTTTAGCTTAGTTGCCCTAAACTCAAGAGGCAGCAATTGCCCAGAGCACCTGTCCTTCAAAGACTTCTCATTGAGCTGCATTGGGAAGTCTGTGATTGGACAGCCACAGAAAGTCTGGGCGGGATTAGAAGGGAAGCGCTTCCAAAGGCAGCCAATAAGATAACTCTGTTTTTAGATATACCCCTAATGTAAAAATGCAGAATTAAAAGCATGCATGTTTTCATTGTTGGTATGTCTACTAAACAGTATTTATTTTGTATGTGGGCTGTGGAGTGTCCTTTAAAAGCATGCCTGCTCTCATTTGGGGTATATGTAGTAAACAGTATTTATTTTGTATGTGAGCCGTGGAGTGTCCCTTTAAAAGCATGCATGTTTTCATTGTTGGTAGATCTACTAAACAGTATTTATTTTGTATGTGGGCTGTGGAGTGTCCCTTTAATACAACTATTTGGGCGTAAAATTTTAAATTTTGGGGGATTTGCTTTGAATTCTAGAAAACTACAAATTAAGCGAATAGCTCTGTGAGAACTGAAAAGCAATTGCAAATGTTATGCCCAAAGTAGTCAAATTGGAAAAATTCCCTAAATCCTCTAAGATAACTGCTTTGGTCTATATTTTGTAATGCGTTTTCAGTTTTCACAGGTTTAACTACCAACATTTGAATTGCTGGGTGTAGCGGACCACGGGTATCCCGACCGGTTACCTCCGCTAATAGCTTCCTTCAGCCACTCAGGAACCCTTACAACAAGCAGGCATCCATTTCCCCCCAGTAACGGACGACACACAGCTCTGGGAGTACAACACAAACTAAACTCTATTTATTTTGTCACACATGGCTTTACAGGCACAGACCCCTACATGGGGTCTCCAACACAATACACCAGGGGTTTAAATCCCAAGAACCTGATGGGGGGGTGGAAGAGGGACAAAGCAGCCAGTTCAAACTGGGCTGGCAGTGTCCCTGTGACAACGCCCTGCTGTGATAGGAAGGGGGAGGGCCACAGACAAGCGAAACATTTCACTTAACTATACTTTACAGAGCTGCTCTCCCCCCTCCCCTTTTGTTGACCCACAGCTGCATGTACAGGCACATGTAAAACAGTCCCAAAATGGCCCTGCAAGCTTGTGCCAAACAAATCAGGCCTTCCATCACATATCTCTCCCCATAGAAATAGACAGACCTGTCGCCAGAACCACAAAGGGCCTGAAACAAGTTGGTTGGACCCCCTTGTGTCTAAAATCCAAGTCCCTGGGGTCCAATGTGACTGGACAAGTGGAGGGGGGGAGGGGCACATGTGGGTATGGCACCCCGTCACACTGGGAATTCAAAGTGTTTGTCATAAATGACTTGGGGAAATTGCTTCTAATTTGGCTATTTTGGTGAAGACTTTAGTGAGTAACCTGGTCAGTACATTTTTAGTTTAGGTTTGCTTAAGGTTTATCATTGTATCGAGAAAACTAGAGAAAGAAAGAGAGTGAAAGGGAAATTATAGAAAGGAAGCATAAAATGAAAAGTGAGAAGAATGGTAAAACAAAAGCCAGAAAAATAAGCAGAGAGCTTTAAGTGGTGATGGAGGGTGTGATTGTGACGTGTGGTGGTATTTGTTACCTTTGAAAGCTTACCTGGGAGCTGAAGGACACTACATGCTGGATTTTAATTGGAGCCATTTGCTGATCTGTAGATACACCAGGAGCTCACTGCTTTGTGATCTTTATTCCAAAAAACAAAGATATTCATTGAAACAAATTGCAGCAACTCGTTTTCGACACACAAATTGTAAAGAGTAAAATACAATACTGCAAACACACAACACATTGGATTTATTCAAACATTGTCAGGAATGGAAAACCTGACTGCAACATATACGTAAAACGTTACAGCTTTGGTACTTTAGCCCAACACGTGCAATTCGGTTTGCGGTTAATTACAAATTGTTTTGTTTTTTTTGTAAATAAACTGCATATTATGTATCTAGAAAAGAGGGACTAAAATCACAAAATTTAACATAAATTGAAAAGTGTCAGTATTTTTATACAACCAAGTCCAGTTTACATTGAAGTTTAAACTAAACGAAGGTTGGAGCCAGGGCTAATCATATTGAAGTCCCTGCATCCCTCACTGCTCTACAAATAGATCTATGGACATTTCTTTATTAGATCGGCATATTTAATAAAGCCAGGTCGGTTTGTCATCCTGACCAGATCTGCACCGTGCAGTGTCTACTTATAATCCAGTAGTTCTCATATCTGAAGCCTATATAAAGTATAGGATCCAGACATTTACAAAGCACCAGTTCTAAAGAAAATTAGAACCTAATTCATCCAATAGGTTTCACATTCGCAATTTATCGTTTCCTTGCTTTTGATGGCAGTTGATAGAAATCAGTACTATTTGCTTGCTGGAAGCTCTAGCTGCCAATGGATAAATAGCTAAAAAAAATATCTCAGCATTGCAAGGGTTAAAGGGACACTCCACTGCCAAAATAAAAATAACTATTTAGTAGATATACCCCAATGAAAACATGCATGCTTTTAATTATACCTTTATGGGGGTATCTAAAACCAGATACAACAGATTTGCAGGAAGAGCAATGTTTTCATTGCAGAGTTAAAAGGACACTATAAGCATCAAAACAATGTTGGCTTAAAGGACCCCTCTAGGCACCCAGACCACTTCAGCCTACTGAAGTGGTCTGGGTGCCAGGTACCTCTAGGATTAACCTTTTCTTCTATAAACATAGAAGTTTCAGAGAAACTGCTGTTTATAAATGGGTTAATCCAGCCTCTAAAGCCTCTAGTGGCTGTCTCATTGACAGCTGCTAGAGGCGTTTGCGTGCTTCTCACTGTGAAAATCACAGTGAGAAAATGCAAGCGTCCATAGGAAAGCATTGTAAATGCTTTCCTATGAGACCGGCTGAATGCGCGCGCAGCTCCTGCCGCGCGTGCGCATTCAGCCGAAGGGGAGGAGAGGAGGCGGAGAGCTACCTGCCCGGCGCCGGAAAAAAGATACGTTTTAACACTTTCCTCGCCATCCAGCTTGGCAGGAGGGGGACCCTGAGGGTGGGGGCACCCTCAGGGCACTATAGTGCCAGGAAAACGAGTATGTTTTCCTGGCACTATAGTGGAGCTTTAATAAATCAGATTTGGTGTTTAGGTAATGCCTGTCACGTATTCATCCGCATAAAAATGTGGTAAATGGCATTTACTGTCCTGATAGGAAAAGTTGTGCCGAGCAGCAATCATGCACATTGAAACCTGGTAATTTGGGGTCAAAGGTAATGTTCATGGCCAATCAAATCCACAGGAGGATCAAAGGCTGGTTACAGCCAATCAGATGCACAGGAGGGGTATTTAAACCCAGCTCTCTTCTTGCTCAATGCCCTGTCGTGGTTTCATGTCTATGTGTTCCTGATCTTTGGCTTTGTTTTGACTTCCCTGATATCTGGTATCCTTGACTTTGGCTTTCCCTTATCGCTGTGTCTGATTCTGTGTCCCTGACCTCGGCAAGTATTTCGACTATTCTTGGAGACGTTAAGTCCGGCCATTCTAAGGTCCGGTTATCAGTGGTGTATCCTGGTTTTGTGCTGCCCTAGGCAGGACAAAACTCAGGCGCCCCCCACCCCCCCCTGCGCGCGCGACCCCCCACCCATCCCTTCTCCCCCGCGTGCGCGACCCCTCCCATCCCTTCCCCCGCCTTCTAAATACACACACACACACACACTAGCAGAGACACACTCACTAACAGACACACTCACTAACACACACACACACAATAACACACACATTAACACATATACTTTTTAAACCTCCCCCCCCCCCTCCAGCCTCCTTACCTTTGGGAGTGCTGGGGAGGGAAGGGGTTCTCTATCTCCCTGGTGGTCCGATGGCTGCTGGGTGGGCGGCATTGGCGGGCGGGCGGCTGACGAGGGAGCTTTTCCTGTGAGCTGACTGCTCAGCTCCCTCGCGCGCCGCAGAGTGAGCCTGGGAGCCGGTTGATGACGTCATCTTCCGGCTCCCAGGCTCACTCTGCGGCGCGCGAGGGAGCTGAGCATTCAGCTCACAGGAAAAGCTCCTTCGCCAGCCGCCCGCCCGCCAATGCCGCCCGGCGCCCAGCATGTCTGTTAGCCGCGAGGCTAACATGACATTTGCCTTGGGCATTTGGGGGGCGGCTTTTTTTGCCGCCCCCTGAAAAATGCCGCCCAAGGCAAATGCCTTGTTTGCCTCGCGGGTAAAACGCCCCTGCCGGTTATACGTTATCCTTAGTCCTAGGTGTGACTAAGGATGCTGGATCAACTTGTAATCCTGACAATGCTCCTATAGTCTCACTGCGCAATAGAAACATAGAATGTGACGGCAGATAAGAACCATTCGGCCCATCTAGTCTGCCCAATTTTCTAAATACTTTCATTAGTCCCTGGCCTTATCTTATAGTTAGGATAGCCTTATGCCTATCCCACGCATGCTTAAACTCCTTTACTGTGTTAACCTCTACCACTTCAGCTGGAAGGCTATTCCATGCATCCACTACCCTCTCAGTAAAGTAATACTTCCTGATATTATTTTTAAACCTTTGTCCCTCTAATTTAAGACTATGTCCTCTTGTTGTGGTAGTTTTTCTTCTTTTAAATATAGTCTCCTCCTTTACTGTGTTGATTCCCTTTATATATTTAAATGTTTCTATCATATCCCCCTGTCTCGTCTTTCCTCCAAGCTATACATGTTAAGATCCTTTAACCTTTCCTGGTAAGTTTTATCCCGCAATCCATGAACCAGTTTAGTAGCCCTTCTCTGAACCCTCTCTAAGGTATCAATATCCTTCTGAAGATACGGTCTCCAGTACTGCTTACAATACTCCAAGTGAGGTCTCACCAGTATTCTGTACAATGGCATGAGCACTTCCCTCTTTCTACTGCTAATACCTCTCCCTATACAACCAAGCATTCTGCTAGCATTTCCTGCTGCTCTATTACATTGTCTGCCTACCTTTAAGTCATCAGAAATAATCACCCCTAAATCCCTTTCCTCAGATGTTGAGGTTAGAACTCTATCAAATATTCTGTACTCTGCCCTTGGGTTTTTACGTCCAAGATGCATTATCTTGCACTTATCCACGTTAAATGTCAGTTGCCACAACTCTGACCATTTTTCTAGTTTACCTAAATCATTTGCCATTTGGCTTATCCCTCCTGCAACATCAACCCTGTTACAATAATAATAATATTCTGACATTTAGGAGTTCTATAACTTTTTCTGTTTAAGCAGCCGTAGTCACACCTCCCCTGGCTCTGACTGACACAACCTGCATGAAAAAAATCAGTTTCATTCCCAATCAGATGTTAACTTGCTTCAGGAGTTTTTATCTCCTGCTCTGTAACTTGAATTTTAACCCCTTAGTGACCAAACAGTTTTTTCAAATTTCTTACTGTTAAGGACCAGGGCTGTTTTTACATTTCTGCGGTATTTGTGTTTAGCTGTAATTTTCCTCTTACTGATTTACCTTACCCACACATTATATACAGTTTTTCTCGTCATTAAATGATCTTTCTAAAAATACCATTATTTTCATCATATCATATAATTTACTATAAAAAGTTTTATAAAATATGATTATTTTTTTTTAAAAACACACTTTTTAGAACTTTGACCCCCAAAATCTGTTACGCATCTAAAACCGCCAAAAAAAAAACCCGTGCTAAAGTTTCAAAATTCTGTCCTGAGTTTAGAAATACCCAATGTCCTGTTCTTAGCTTTTTTTGCAAGTTATAGGGCAAAAAGTACAAGTAGCACTTTGCTATTTCCAAACCATTTTTTTTCAAAATTAACGCAAGTTACATTGTAACACTGATATCTGTCGGGAATCCCTGAATAACCATTCACATGTATATATTTTTTAAAAGAAGACAGCCTAAAATACTAAACCTGGGGTATTTTGACTCTTTTCATGCAACCATTTTGCCAGCACTCTATCCCAAACTTAAAAAAAAAAAATAATAATTGGTGATTGTTTTGACACACATAGCAATTTAAGAATAAATGTACGGAGAACCTTAAGGGTTACTGCCAAAGAACACCCCAATACGTGTTCAGCAACATATAGGTGTGTCAGGTACTCTGGGGGCTAAAACATCTCCTGAGTACAGTGATACCACCCATGTTGTCAGGATATTTATATTGGCAGACATTTTGTGCTAAGATAGAAATTAAAAGTGTATATTGCCAGAATCACTCAGAACAGAGCGGACTCCATTTTGGATTTCAGTCAAGACAGACACAAAATTTATTTCCTTTCAGTAACACTAGCCATCAGCCTGAGCTAAGTAATGCATTATGCCAAGTGATAAGCAATGAAGCAGGGGGATGGAATGCTCTGTTTAAATGTTAATGTAATAGAAATAATTTTAAACACAGACACTAGTGATAGACAAGACTCAGTAATTAATTTTACTTTCTAAATCTTACAAGGCCCCATTGTAAGTAAGGGGTGAAATTGAGTTTAGACATGTCAATCCTAGAAATTACGATCAAAGTCGTTGCCACAAAGACTGAGGCAAACGCTTTGAACTGACAGCAAATTTAAGTTATGGTAGTCATTTCAGATAAGCCAAATGACGTCAAAATCGTCATCAGGAAAAGTTAACTTTTTCTTGGATAGGAAAATATAGTGAGGC